AAAGTAAATAATTAGTAAGAAAAATTCTTAAAGAAAAAGGGTAATAATATATATTTTATATATTAATATACTTCTTCTTCTTATAAGTTATAACTAAAAGCTCTTAAATATAATAATACTTAGTTTTATCCTTATACTCTTAAAGACTAATATTATTACTATTTAGAGATAGATTAAGAGATAGTATAATAGTAGATATATTATTATAAGGCTAGATTAAGGTTAAAATAAAGAAGGTTTAAGGTAATATAAGTATAATATAAAAGTTATAAAGATATAAAGGTTTAAATATAAGGATAAATAATTAATATTATAAAGGAGTTAAGGTAATAGAATAAGTAAGGATTATAATAAAGTTAAAGTAAAGTAGGTTTATATTATAATTACCTTATACCTATTACTATAATAATATATATCTATAGTAGCTTTAAAAATAAAAATACTAAGATAAAGAAAGGATTATTTAAACTCTTAGTATAATACTTTAATAAGTTCTAGGAAGGCCTTAAGTAGAAAGGTATATTATAAACTAAGGCTTAGTAAGATCTTAAGTTAAGCTTAATAGAAGGTAACTATAAGTAGCTTAGGCTTTAGCTTAAGTTATAATAATATTATAAAAAGAGGAACTTAGGCTACTAGAAGGAACTTACTCTCTTCCTCCTTAAGAATATAAACTTAAGAGTTAATACTTATTTATAGCTACTATAGGGCTAGTTTACTATAGAAACCTAGAGATTAATAAATTATATAATTATTTATCCTTAATAATAAGTATTAATATCTTTAATAGCTTATACTTTAATATCTTAATATATCCTTTAAGATATTTATTAATATTAAGATTTAATATACTTATAATTAGTTAAGTTTAAAGTAGATTAAGTAAAATTAATAATAAATATAAGCTTAATAAGATATTTAAGACTTAAGTATATATAAGTTCTTAACTACTTTAAAGATAAAGCTTAATATATTTAATTATTAGTAAAAAAATAAAGGTAGTAATATATAAAGTAGTAAAGGTAGTAATATATTATTAAATTATCTTAGAGTAATAAAGGTAGTAATTATAAATAGATTATTAATATAGACTTAAGCTATATAGTTCTATTAGGCTAAGGATAATAGCTTTTAAATAGATAGAAAGTAGTATTTTAAGGTTTATAAAAGGAGTTATATTAATAAAAGACTTATATTTAAGATATAAGCTATTATTAGTATTAAACCTTATATATAGCTAAATATAAGCCTTATAGCTAGGTAAAAAGGCTAAAGTTTAATATATTATAATACTAGGTATAATATTAAGTTATTTAATTCTTAATATTTAGGAATTTCCTTTTTTTTTTTTTTAGTAGCTACTATATAACTATATAGCTCTCTTACTTACTAATTATTATATAATATATAGTTTATTAATTAAATTAGTAATAAGTAATTAATTATTATTATTAATCTAAAAATTCTATATTAATAACTTTTATATTAAAATATATTAAATATAAATTAATTTTTAATAAACTTTTCCTTTAATTTTAACCTCTTTAATAATTAATAAACTTTTCTAAAAAACTTATTTAATATTATTAAGCTACTTAATTTAATCTATAATATAATATTAATTATACTAATAAAATAAGTTTAATCTTTAAGAGCTACCTTTATTTAAATTAACTTAATATAGTATATAATATACTAAAATTAAAGGTTAAACTTTAAGTTATTATAATTAGTAAGTATAAAAGAATAATTATTAATAAGATTTAGCTTATTTAGATTTTTCTTATCTTCTAAAAGTACTTTATATTTAGCTTAATTTATTAATATTATCTTATTAGCTTTATAATAGATTAATAGACCTAATAGCTATAATTACTAAATTTAAATTATTAATAATAGCTTTATTATTATAAGGAGGCCTATAATTAATTAAAGGCTTAAATATTTAATATATTTAGAAAATAGCCTTTTTAAGTTATCTTTTATAATTATTATTATATATTATAAGACTTAGTTATTTACTATAATTAAGTATTTATTAAGGATAATAATATTAAATATTAATATTATTATTTTACTTAGATTAAATTAAATTAAATTAAAAGAAATTAATAATAATAAGTATCTCCTTTTAAGGCTATAGCTAACTTATATATTAGCTAGCCTTTATTAAAGTTTTTTTAAGATATTAATACTTATATTTAAACTTTATATATAATCTTAAAAGTTTTTATAGTATTAAAAAGGTTTAAATATAAACTATAGCTTAGTTTTTTTAAGATATATATTAAATAGCTATAGCTTATAGTTATATATATAGCTTAATCTTAGGATATTACCTTTATATATAGTAAAAAGAAATAAATAATATAATTTTAATAAAAGTTATTAAGATTTTTATTTTTATTAAATAATTTAATAAAATTAGAATTAATATAATTTTAATAAAAGCTTTTAGATTTTAAAAAAAAGGTTTTAATTATATTATAATTTATATTTTAAATCCTTAATATTAAATAATATCTTAATAAAATACTTCTTATTTTTAAAACTATAAAAAAATAATCTTTTTTAAGTTTATTAATATTATATTACCTTTAAGAAAGGTTTAATTAATTAATTATAATTTCTATAATTAATTATATATTTATCTTTTTATTAATTTTACTTTTAAGTATTAAAGTTAAAGCTCTTAAGTTTTAACTTTAATTAAATTTTAATTACTTATAAATAAATAATATTTAAGTATAAATAATAAAAGTCTTTTCTATAAATTAGTAATTTATAAGTAAGTAAGAGAGCTATATAGTTATATAATAGCTACTAAAAAAAAAAGGGAAATTCCTAAATACTAAGAATTAAATAACTTAATATTATACTTAGTATTATAATATATTAAACTTTAGCTTTTTTACCTAACTATAAGGCTTATATCTAGCTATATATAAAGTTTAATATTAATAATAACTTATATCTTAAATATAAATCTTTTATTAATATAACTCCTTTTATAAACCTTAAAATACTACTTTCTATCTATTTAAAGGCTACTATCCCTAGCTTAATCCTAATAGAACTATATAGCTTAAGTCTATATTAATAATCTATTTATTCTATAATTACTATCTTTATTACTTTAAGATAATTTAATAATATATTATTACCTTTACTACTTTATATATTACTATCTTTATTACTTTACTAATAATTAGATATATTAAGCTCTATCTTTAAGATAGTTAAGAACTTATATATACTTAAGTCTTAAATATCCTATTAAGCCTATATCTTACTTAATCTACTTTAAACTTAACTAACTATAAGTATAATAAATATCTTAAAAGATATATCCTATAAGATACTAAAGTATAAGCTATTAAAGGTACTAATACCTATTATTAAGGATAAATAGCTATATAACTTATTAATCTCTAGGTTTTTTAGTATAAATATAAGTAATTATAAGCTTATAGATATTACTAAGGCTATAAGGTTATTAAAGATTAAAGTACTTTAAGACCTTAATCTTAAGTAATTAGCTAGTTTATTTAACTTTAGTAATTATATTCTTAATAAAACTAACTCCTTTAAAGAGGAGGATTTAGATAATTAGATTATAATTATTAAAATATATTTCTATTAATTAACCTTTTTAATCCTAAAGTATATATTAATATAAAATAGTAATTATAATTATTATAACCTCTAGCTATTATTATAAAGATAGCTATTAAGGTTATATATAATTAGGGAGGAGAGAAGGAAGAAAGGAAGAAAGGGAGATAGATAGTTAAGCTAGTTAAATATAAGCTTATTTATCTCTCTTAAATATATAAATATATATAAATATATATCTATCCTTATACCCCCCTTATTAGTAATTTATAAAATATCTCTTTATAATTAAAAGAAGAGTTTATAAATAGAAAAATAAATAATTAAAAATTCTTATTAAATATACTTAAGTTCTTTTTACTTTAATAATATAAAAATACTCTTTTTTTATTATAAAGTTATTTAAAAAGCTAAATAGTAATTAATTAATTAAAATTCTTTACTTTAAAGATTAAGCTTAAATAAAATTCTTATATAAGTATTAATAGAAATTCCTAATTAATAATATTATAATTATAAAATTAAGTAAATCTATAATTATAATATTAATATTAATTAATAAAAAGGTTTATAATTAGATTATATTATTAAGATTAATAATTATAATTAATTATATATATATTTAATATTTAATTAAAGACTTTTATATTTAATTAATTAAATAAGATTATTTAAGTTATTATATAAATTAAATTAGCTATATAAAGAATAAGATAAAGATTATAATTTTAAAAATAAAGAATAATTTAAGAGTAAAAGATAGTTTTTTAATTATAAAGAGGTAAATTACTTACTTAAGTAGTAGAAGTAGTAAATCTAACTAATAAAGGAAATTATATATACTTTTATTATATAGTTTAATTAAACTTTAATAAGTAGAGATATTTATATTTAATATTATTATTATTATAAAGTATTTAGTAATTATAATTAGTAATAATAAATATCTCTTTTTAAAGCTATAGCTAATTTATATATTAATTAGCTCTTATTAAAGTTTTTAATAAAATATTAATATTTATATTTAAACTAAATATATAAATATTTAAGTTTTTATAATATTAAAGATTTAAATATAAGCTATAAATTATATTTTAAAAACTATATATAATAATTATATATATAGTTTAATTTTAAGATTAAATAACCTTTATTTATAGTAAGAAAAAAAATATTTATATTATTAAACTAATTAATAATAGCTCTTTTTAAAGTATTAATTAAAGTTTCTTATTATATTTAATTATATAAAAATTAATTAAGTTAGTTAAAAGCTTAAAAACTCTAATTATTATATATTACTCTTATTATTACTTTTTTTTATTATTTTAAAAAGCTATATAATTATTTTATCTCTATATCTTTAAATAGAAAGGTTTTTAGCCTTAAAGAAAGTTTTCCTAAAAGATAGTAAATAGAAGAAGCTATATATTATCTAACTATATAGCTTAATATCTAGCTAAAAAATAAGAGCTATCCTAAATAGATACACCTTAGCTAGAGTAAATAATATAATAAGATATTATTTAATTATTTATATAGCAAAAAGAAATAAATAACATTAATAGCATCTCCCGGCGAGCCCTCTTAGATTGCTAAATTATCCATCTACCAACAATCATCGTGCGTCCCGGTGCTCAACCTGTGCTGCCAGCTCCTTTGCCCGCGGGATCATCCAAGAACCTCTCAACGGCAAGATTTCGATTCTTCCCGTATCTAAGGACCAATCCATGTGCATCTGTAGTCCGCACACGATGGTCCAGAGTTTGGCCCTTGGAAACCATATCCTAGGAACACATTTGGGCTCAGCCGAGTGGCTGATCTACCTGGTATGACTGTACCTTGACGCAAACTTTCAGGGATTCCTATGAAAAGCACGCTACATAAATGAATTATATTCATCTTGTCTGATTTATAATAGAACGCAGCATTTGACGGTGCATCTGAACGTCATTGTACGCCGTCACACCCCCATTACTCCCATATCCATCGAACCACTCATCAAGAATAAGGCTTCCGTATTCACCATTGACATATCCATTGAGCCTAAATCGGCAAGGCTAATGTCCAGACCGAGATGGGCGTGCTTATGAAGGCTTTCATTAAATGTCGCAGGATCAATGGTTGTGTTGGGAGGGTGTTGTCGAAGCGCACGAAGCATCCTCTCAAGCCCATCTCCCATGTGATGTACCAGATGCCACGAGTTGACGGCGGTAGCTTGATATGTCGCAACAAGCCGGGATAGAAGATCTATAAACTGATATCTATCTACCAATTGGTTTCCATGGTTGGTTATGAGTTTCATAAGGAACATGCAGGCAAATCCAATCATGGATTGAACATAGGAAGGCAGCCCGACGAGGGCTTCACGCACCACGGGCTCGGTGATGATAATGTTCAAGATAGCCATGGCAGCAGCAGTGGCGCCATGAGCTGCCTCTAAAAACTCGGACGGAATGGGAGAACAGCCCAGTCCATGAAAAACATGTGATAACAAATAGAGCTTAGCGAACTGGTAGTGAAAAACACACCCCTTTCTAGGGAAAGTACCGAAACCCTCTTGAACCTCTGGGAGATTAGGTTAGAAGCAGTTGACCAACAGAGGAGACAGGTTGCACATACCTGGAAAGGTTGTTGACCAGCGACCGAGCCACTGATCGAGTTGGCGAGAGAAAGAGCTTATGTGTGAGGCGAAGACGGTGGGGATTGGTTTCCCAGAATTGGTGGCAAAGAAAGCACGAATCTTGTGAATGATGGTCAAGAGAGTGACTTGGCTTACCAGCCGCTGGTCACCGACAGTCACAGTAGATGATTCGACAAGCCACTCCGCGTGCTCGATGGCCCGGTCCTCTCTCATCTCACCCTGCCGAGCGTACAAGGTCGAAAGATGCTGATCACAGATATATATTAAGAACCAAATTCGAATGAAATCAGCAGCATCTTCCTCTTTTTTTTCGCGAAGTGTTTCCAGGTGACTGCCAACGTTCATCGCCGCCGCACGCCGAGATGCGATACCTGTTAATGTCCAGGACGAATCGTGGAGCCAGTACGAGGCAACGCACAAGGCGCGAAGGTGATCACGATCGACCTGTCAATCAAACAGGGACTCAGTCATTAGACGCTTGAATTCACGGTCACATATGGGGTAGATACTGTTGGCTTTGGGATCATGCATGGCAGCAACGGTGAGGATGGCCGCTGTGAGAACCGCACTATTGCACCGCAAAGCCTCCAACGTTTTGTATCTTGCGCCAACGCCGTAGGCAAAATGGTCGACGCGATCTGTGTAGAGGTGGAAGAGCATCTCTGCATCTTCCAGGGAGATCATCCCTTGGGAAATAAAGTCGGCCTGTGACCCGGTCTGCATCGACTTTCCGGGCGACGCATCTATATCGGCTTCGGGGGATCGCAGAGCGCTTAATTTGGTGAGATGGTATACAGAATGCATTGGGATTCGGGGGAGATTTTCTTCATCTTGGGCTGAGAGATCTGGTGAGTTGTCGCATGATGGGCCAATATCTGGGAGTTGGTTTGGGTCACCCTGCTCCCCTGAGGCTGGAGAAGGCGCAATAAACCTGGAGCTCTCAAGCTGCGGCATGCTTGGAAGATTCAGTGTCTTCAGAATGTGCTGGACGCTTGTCGACACAATCTCTAGATCGTGTATCAACGCATTCGTCTGCCTACAAATCGATCATTCAGGTCAGCCGAGGCGCGTATAGAGAGCAAAGAGGGATAGAGGTGTTTAGAGAGTCAGCTTACGGTACGCGTTCATTGATAAGAGTCTGCAGGCTTTTGTTGAGGACACAAGACAGATCCTTTTCGGCGCACCGCTTGCATGGAGGCCCGCTCTTGTCCATGAAGCATCGAACCTGGCAGCAAAGTTGTCACGTCAGCCAGTTGATCCCTCACCGACGCGTCCATAAAGGAGACCACCTTTTGCTTTCGACAGGCAGCGCATGCCTTGACTTTACGCGATATGTTCGGGAGAGGTGGAATATGGGCTGGATCGACGTTGTTTGTAGCCCTAACTTGCTCATCCGTAGGTGCATTGGGCAGGGGAGAGAAGCTCCCAGGGTTGGGATTCCATCGAAGGGAGGGTTCAGGATCTCCCTGATTTGCTTCGTTCCACGATCTTTTTATCATCGCCAAAAATGCGCATTCCTAGTGGCGGTTGTTGCGATCTTAGTGGCGATAATTTCCCATGAACAGAGGAACAGCGCAAGAGGATGGATAGCTCCTCGGTCAATCTTTCACACGATTGATCCCCTGCGCTTATTTAATTAACCGACTTGAAAATGTTAGTTGAATCTACTTGTGTCTACCGACTGTTTCCTAAGTAGCCTACCCTATAACGTCTAATCCTACAAATCGACCGAGATATATTGCGATCCAAATGCACCACCTGCATGAGACAGACATGGGAGGAAATAGAGGAGGCTTCTGTGAAATCTTCAGACCCTTCTGCCGAGTCTCTTCCTCGAAAACAACAGATGAATTCACGTACTCGGTCCTGGTCGTAGAACGATGGAGAGAACTCCGCAAAAGAGGACTTCGGAGTTAACTCCGATACTAGAAACCAGATATTGCTCCTCTATGTGCCTTGCATAATTAATATTACCTCGGAGGGGTCATTACTTGAAGATGCCCTTCTGTTCGGCTACTGAACTCAAGGAATGTTAAATTAAAACTTGGCGACCTCCAAATCTAAGAAACAGCCTGGCTTAGCACTAGCCCCTTTCCCCGAATACAGCCTTCGTTCCGACACCATGGCATCGCAAAAAATCAGCACCTCTAAGACTAAGCCTCTACCACCAGGGGTATACACCCCTGTGATTACAATCTACGATGACACTCCTACGCAGCAAGTAGACCTCGACGCCATGTACAAGCACTGCCAGTATCTCGTCAATGCTGGCTGTCATGGCCTCGTCTATCTTGGAACCAATGGAGAATTGGCTATGCTGAACCACCAGGAACGGATTGACATTGTTAAGATGGCGCGCAAGGCTGTGATCGACCTGGGTATTCCAGATTACCCGATTCTGGCTGGCATTTCAGCCCAGAGTGTGGCCGAGACCATCCAGCTCGCTAAAGAAGCTGGAGAAGCTGGTGCGGCATGGGGTTTGCTGCTTCCTCCGAGCTATTGGACGAAATCCATCAGCCCCAAGGTTCTCGAAGGATATTATCGTGATGTCGCCGATGCCAGCCCTATTCCTATTGTTATCTACAATGTGAGTGGCGGCATGCGAATTGGGCAATGGGATTAAGGCTTCTATGTGTTCTGACATATTCTTGTAGTATCCTGGGGTGGTATCAGGTGTTGACCTTGACTCTGATATTATCTGCGCCCTGGCTTCTCACCCAAACATTGTTGCCGCTAAACTTACGTGCGGTCAAGTTGGCAAGGCTATCCGCGTGACATCTCAATATGGTCCCCAGCACATGGCGGTCTACGCCGGCAGCGCTGATTACCTCGTTCCTTCACTTGTTGGAGGTGCCAGTGGCTGTGTGGTTGGCATGGGCAATGTGTTCCCCAAAACAGTTTCCAGACTGTATGATTATTACAAGGCCGGTCGCCTTGATGAGGCCGTGGCGTTACAAGAGAAGATTTCAGTAGCAGAGGCAGCTTGCAAGAAGAGCCTGAACAGCACCAAATGGGGTGCTTGGTATTATATCCTGCGCAACCTTGGTGTTGAGAGCGATGCCGGGTTTGCGATGAGAAAGCCCTACATTCCCCCAGGAGAAGAGCAAAAGAAGAGTGCACTAGCAGCATTTAGTATATTGGAGGATATTGAAAAATCCATGCAAGGCAGAGAAGGCATTTTTAAACTTTAGATGAAAGATGGAAGAGAACAGATTTCATACTAATGTACAAATATTTTCCTCATTTCAACCTCCCTGTCACTTGGTCATTGATGAGACACTTCAATACACAATGGTGGATTGGTTAAATAGAGGACAACTGCTGGGTGCGTATCAGAGCATGACTGAATATGAGTGCCTGTGCGTACGTGACTCGGTTGCCTATACTTATTTACCTCACTGGCTCAATAAAGTTGCACTGAAGGCGAGCCGATGACTCGAACAGCATATATGCTGCCACCGACAGTGCCAATGTAAGAGAAAATGCTAGGCTCCACGGACGGATAACACCTTACTTGACGGAGTTGCCCCCTGCGTTTACGCGGATAATGCTGAACAATGGGTAAGCTTATGCCCGAGGATTACAAACATGGGTTTCCCATATTCCCCTCACAGTCTTGCGGACAACACGCCGTAGCCGAGAAACTACGACCCCAGAACCCCCACGTACATGGTGGATTGCCGGACTTCTCACCGCACACTTCATCCTCCGCTTCCCCGTGGGGTAACTAGCCTCTGGCGGGGGAAGAATCGGCTCATTGTTTAATCGTATATTAGGCTGTGCTCAGCATCGCATCAGTTTTCCATTTCAATCACTTCTGATACCAGCAGAGACCATCTTCAACTATTTAAGCAACAACTTCCAGTAAAAAAAGTTCCCTCAAGTGTCTCATCATGAGTGCGCATCCCGCAGCTCCTGGACATCAATTGGCCTCGGACGTTAAAGACCAGGACAAAGTCCAGCAGATTGACCGCGTCGAGAGCAGCGGGCAAAATGAGATCATAAAACCATCTTACTTGAACGTCGATGAGTTTGGAGCTCATGATAAAGTTGACCCCAAGGAGATTGCCCTGGTTCGAAAGATTGATATTTTCTGCCTCGTGAGTCTTCAAGCCTTGCATGATTTCAATTTCAAAGGACCTCGCTGACTCATGCCAATTCAACAGCCGGTTCTTTGGCTTATGTACTTCTTCAACTTCCTCGACCGAAACGCAATCGCCAATGGGAAGCTGAATGGCTTAGCCGAAGATCTTAAACTTAAAGGGACCCAGTTCAATACTTGTGTCTCCATTTTGTTTGTCGGGTATCTCTGTGGACAGATTCCATCCAACATGATTCTGAGTAGGGTCCGGCCCTCCATTTACATGTCTGGTAAGGAGTTTCTCGTGTGAGCAGTGGGATCAACTCTAACAGATGTATTAAGGCTTTATGGTTACTTGGTCGATTGTCACACTACTCAGTTACAAGGCCTACAATTTCGAAACTTTGCTTGCTTGCCGCTTTCTCCTCGGAATCGTCGAAGCTCCAGTAAGACAAATGGACGACTTCGATAAGAATTACGCACGGCTAACAAGAGTAGTTTTATCCTGGCGCAGTGTACATCATGAGCATGCTATATACCCGGAAGGAGATTGCCTCTCGGATGTCAATCTTCTATACCGGTAACATCTGTGCAAGCGCCTTCTCGGGCCTTATTGCTGCTGGTGTATTCGGTATGGATGGCAAAATGGGCCTTGCCGGCTGGCGTTGGTACGTGCTAGAAATTTAAACTACTTTATCGTGAGACGCTGACCACATGTGTCAACAAAAAGGTTGTTTATTATCCAAGGCGCGCTCTCTTTGGCCGTGGCACTTCCGTCTTTCTACTTGCTCCCCGACAGTCCTTCGCGGACTCGATGGCTTTCTCAGGAGCAGCGCGAACTCGCTCACAACCGCATCCGAATCGACACTACGAACTTTACAGAGGAACCGACGTCCGTGTGGTCCGGACTCAAGCAAGCTGCCAGTGATTGGCGCACCTGGGTCTTTTGCCTCATGGCCAATCTGCATTTTATGACCAACGGCTTCAAGAACTTCCTTCCGACCGTGGTCAATACGTTTGGGTTCAGCACTACGGCGACCATGGGTCTGACCTGCCCTCCGTACATCCTCTCCGGCGCCGTTACAGTTCTTGTCTCGTGGAGTTCGGGTCGTCGAAATGAGCGAACCTGGCACATCATTGGCTGCAAGCTTGCAGCCATCGTCGGCTTCACGCTGAGCGTCGCGACGCTAAACATTCCAGCTCGCTACTGCGGCATCATGGTTTTTGTCGGTGCAACCTATGGCGTTAATAACTTGATTGTCAGCTGGGCTTCCAACGTTCTCGGCGAGTCGAACGAGAAGCGCGCCGTTGCTATTGCCATGACGAATACGTTTGGAAACTTGGCTTCCGTATACAGCCCTTACCTTTGGCCTGACGCGGATGCGCCACGATTCATGAAGGCTATGGTGTCTAGCATCGCCTTTTGCTTTGCCGTTATTGTTTGCGCTTTGGGTTTGAAGTGGTGGCTGAAGAGGCTGAATAAGAAGATGAGAGAGGAGAACCCCAACACCGAGAATTACTTTGTATATTAGGGGTTAATTAGGTCACTATTAAGGATTATGAAACATAAGACCTTTACTTGAATAGTTTCCAAGGTTTATTACTGAATGAGCTATTGTATATAACCCTAGTTTTATAAATTCTTTAGTAATTTGATTAAGAAGTTAGTTAAAGCTATTTTCATATTTACTGTAATATCTTGGAAGCTTCTTAAAATCAAGTAGTGCTGATATACTGTGAAATTAAGACGGAATTTTACAAGCTAGATATAAGAGTCTTGGAATGCAAGCATTGAGAAGGCGATGTCGCCTGTTTTAATGGTATTGAAAAAGAGTCAGATATCACCTCCAGAAAGTTTGTTACCAAGAGTTTCTAAGTATCTCCGATTGCTCTGTATAGAATTATCGAGGTAGAAGAGGTTAGTCAGTGCGTATACCAATTTCTTCTTAACTTCAAATTTTATTCAGTACCTAAATTAATAATTCTTGGCAAGTTATATATATCACTGGACGTAGCGCTCGGAGACGAGCAAAAAAACTCCTATCACTATAAAAAGCTAGCTGAATAATTATCTTAGAAAGAAAATATTATAGTAATCAAAGTCTCTCCTCACTTGGTGTTCGCGAACTTGATCCCCTCAGTGAAGGTGTGATTGGCATTATCCAAATTCATCTCCTTCAGTGTAGTAGCCGGCTTCGATGCCCCATTCATGTAAACGTCGGAAAACGTTACCCCACTAACCTTGACTGTCGAATTCCATCCGCTCAGGAAGCCGTTCTTGGCACCCTGCTTGCGAGCCTTGATGTTCTTAATGACGGTGTTCGTGACAGGTCCCACGCCGCGCTTCAGACCCTCCCTGATCCAGATGGCGAGCCAGGTAGCCCGGCCACCAGGAGATCCTGCAAGATCCTCGATGTCGATATTCTCGAATGTGACTTTGTTTGCAGCCGCGGTGCCGAACAGGTGGTGGATACCAAGACCCACGCCGGCTTTGTAAATGACGCTGTTCTTGAATACAACATTCTCTTGCAGCTCGTGGACACCTTGGCCGACCTTGTACCCGTAGCAGTAGGTCCAAGCCAGGCAGTCATCAAAAGTAACATCACGGAGCTCCCGCGGGCGGTATGGGTACGGAACTGTTTGGCCGTAATCCTCCAACCAGGTCTTGGTTGAGAAGCTATCGTCATTCGCAATCGCGATGGCTCTTCTGACAGTCACCCTAGTCGACTCGATCACATCTATTCCATCATTCTGGGTAACATCAAATCGATCGAGGATCTTGATGTTGGTTAAGTAGCATCCGGTGACCTGGATCGGCGTGACAGCCCAGAAAGAGCCATCTCGAACAAGAGGACCATCAAATCTGAAGTTCTTAGTCCCTGCTGGAACAACAAGCTTCGCCATATACTTATTGTTTCGCGTATTTTTGCCATTGCCATCAATTGTTCCGCGGCCGTAAATCTTGATATCTTGAGAGTCGAATTCAGTCGAGATCCACCAGGTAGCATCAAAGAGATCACTCTTTGTGAAATATTTCTTATAGTCCTTGGCGTTTCCAGTAAAGCGAAGCGTCGCTCCTCCAGCCAGATATAAAGCTGTGCGATTCCTCAGCACAAGGTTGCCCATTTGGTACAGGCCAGGAGGAACGTAGACAATACTGCCAGGCTTCTTGCCAGCAGCGTCCATAGCACTCTGGATACCAGTATTGAGCGTCTTGCCAGTGTTGTCAGCTTTATAGTCAAGCACATTGAAGATGCCGTCCCCCCTCTCCTTAGGGACATCTGTCTCTTTAGGATCGATCATAATAACAAACTCCTTTCTGTTATTAATCTTGACGATCAGGTAGTGGGCTTGCTTGAGCGAAAATACAAGCTCCTGGCCTTCCACCTTGGCTTGGATAGGCAGGTTCATTGGCGTGATTCGATAGGTGTTGATCTTCGACTCGGTCATAGCCTTGATGCGGAATTCGGTTGGACTTCCGGTGTCCATCGAGAGGTGGACGTAGTCGTACTGGTCATAGCTGACCGTGTACATTTGCTCGCCATTTACTTTCAGGGAGAAGTGTGCCGACTTGCTGTAGATGTCGGGGCGCGGATAACTGACAGCACCGGCCGCAACCGTAGCTACCAGGCCGGACAGCACGGCGACGAGCGAACTGAAACGCATGTTGAGGGGTGGCAAGGAACAAGTGCAGATGAGATAGTAGACAGTTGGTCGAGGCATTGATAACTGGAGGCGTGGTACTCATTATTATTATACACGACGTGTGCTCCTTGGCCCCGCAGCCTGGATGGCACAATTAATGGATTATACCTTCCCGTGGTGTCATTATCCCTGCCCAGCGCCTTGGCGACAGCTATTCTAGGTGCGAGAGATTACTAGTCGTGCCTGAATTACGGCTTTTGTCTTTTATGTAACGTGCCTTGAGGAGAAGCAACATTGGCGAGCATCCCGGCCGTTGCCAGATGTGGAATTGCCGAGAGCTTTGTGACCAACCCATGTGCGGGATAATTAAAGTAGCTGGCTTTCCTGATCCTCCTGCACGACTAATTGATTAACAGGCCTAAAAATAGGCTGCCATAGCCAATATGGAGACTGGAAGGCGAAGAGAGCGTTTCATTTGGCGTTGGCACGCGCCTAGATTACTTTTGGAACTGCCTAGGCGTGGCGAAAGCTTTATCTTTAGTTCCTCGCCCTTGCCAAGAAATATCTTTATTAGTTTCAGCAACTATGTAGCGAAGGAATGTGCTCTTTTTTCTGGTTTATCTTGGTCGGGCACAGCCGTGGAGACTGCATGCAGATAGGTTTTACTAGGATATTCTCATGTTGAGTGCTTCCATATCACACATCTACTTTTAATCCACCCACTGCGTTAATTTAATCAATACTAGATACCCGTCTTTTCTCGACCATGACGCTTGTAGACGCGACACCTATCAGGAGATCGGTTCGACTAACTTGTATACAGACTCATCGGGTAAATCCTGCAGGGCAGATCTTGATGGCCTCTGTATCTTTTCGTATTAGTTGAGTCTTCTCCTAGGCCTGTTTAGGGTGGGTTTACGTGCTAGTAATCTGTTTTTTCTTTTCGTTTTTCTAATACCGCGGCGGCTTTAACGCTCACCAGAGCATTTTTAGTATAAGAGAACCTACGTTGATTTGTTGAGGATTCCCATGCCGTATAGTCTGGGTTTATGTACCCCTTGCTTTTTTTTAGCAGTCTACATAGGCCACCTTTGCTACATTTCCTTCGTGCCTCTTTGAGAAGAAGGATACCATTGCCTCCAAAGTGGGTGCCTTATTATTGCATACTACGCGATGCCTCTAGCAGCCCACCGAAACATACAAAGGCCTAAAGTCAGTGGCGGACGAAGAAGTAAGACGTAATCAACCGTGGGATAGCTAAGACATTGCCGGACCAGTATGCTGCAAAGAGATGTCACTGTCTTACGATTAATCATATCCATATTTTCTCCGGCAGTGGTGCTTGTAGTCTTGCTTTGGCCTGAAGGGATGCCACCATTTTTTTGATCCATCATACCCATCCATCATACTTCATGCGAAAGTAGTGCTTACACTAGAAGGAGGAAAGACGGAGAGATGCATTCCACCCGTGGATCTACCATGTGTAGTACTACGGCAAACAGTCTCGGGCACTCTCAGTTCACAAAAGGAGATACATAATTTGCTCACTATCATCTCTTAAAAGATGAATTAGATAAAAGATTGTTCTCGAAGGATCTGCATGTTAACATAGTATGTCAACGGATAATCTGACCAGCCGCAACTTGATCATGGCCAATCTAACAGGTGGACATACTTTAAGGGGTAAAATAGAGACTATATATTACATGCCTAAAGTATGCTAGGACTTATTGCTTGGTGGATGATTTCATGTCCCATATTTCCACTTGCCGTGATTATTGTAGATGTAGATCCTTGCAGTACATTAATTCAGCTGGATGGTTCTACGTCCCGTTGAACGGAAGAGAATTTGCCGCAAAGTAGCTCATGTAGCATTCGAAGCTACGCAGGAGACATGTCTCAGACAACATATTACTCTGCCCTGTGGAGTTGCCGGGTATACTACAGCGTATCAGTAGCCCCCGATTCTTTCTAAGACAATCATGCCGCGCAACTGACAGCCACTAACATGTAACAGGTCTTAATGTCCAGACGGCAATGAACTCTAGTCGATGAACATTGATCATAACATTTCACATCTCGTATTATCCAATGGCAGAATCTTGCACTACGGGTCAACCCCTTCTAAACATCCCCACCGCTATGCACCACAAGAAGTGTCTAACATCATCATCATCAGGCATACATACTCCTTAAGGATCATAACTGTTAATCATTACTGTATTATTGAGACACGTATATAGGAAATGATACTGTGAAAACATTAGTTAAGCCATTAATTCTATGAGTAAGGTCTATTAGCCTACTGGCCTAGATGAAAAGCTCTTTAATGCAAAGTAATATGTGTTCCTTATCTAGATGGGGAACTAACTCGCCTACCCATAGGTAGCAGGGTACTTTCCGCTGTTTCTAAGAGTGAACTAATAGGCTAGTACGGTGATGATCTAAAATCTATGATGCCTTAAGGGTCTAGGAGGGTTTGCAGCCCCTCCAAAACTTCCACACCGCCACGAACGACAGCAAGTGTCTAACACCATCATCATTAGGCAGATTCATATGCAGCTCTGGGATGTATTATCAAAATAGATCAAAATTATGACGATGTATCACGTCATCGAGGCCAGTAGTTGCCATCGTGTTGTGGATATAGTGCCTATATGGTGAACTGATTGGTAGTACCCATAGAGAATAATGGGAAGCAATATCGCGTCTATAAATGGAGAAAAGTCAGGTGGAAAGACACCATACTACTGAGACCGTCTCTTGATTCCTCTCAACGCAAATTGCTCCAGGTTCTTCCTTAATCTTGACTGCTGGGGACTGATCGCCCTGGCCGCTCATGACTATAAAGCCTTTCAACCCATCCACCACCAACAAATCTCTTTATGATTCTTAGCATCACTATTTCCCAATTCTACTATACAAACATACATTACAAAAGGTTTTCTAGGGAGGATACGCGACATGGCATTAAGCATACATCACGACATTGCCCCTCGTCTTCGCGACCAGCTGGTTCGAGTGCCTGATCTCGAAAAGCTTTTTATGAAGTGGGAGCCATGCGTGAATCCCAATAAGGATCAGGTGAAGCAGGTGGTTGAAGACATCCTTTCGAAGTGAGCTCTCTAGTGCTATTTTTGTTGTTCTTTAGTTCCTATCGCGCGTTTGGTTCGACTCTGGAGTTGGGCTAACACTTCTGGGAGGTATACTGTTTCGGAGCGTGTAAACGCAAAACTAACACGGAATATGCTGGATGATTACGTCGCAAATTGCTATCCCTTTGCTGGTCGTGATACTCTGACAGAGCTTACATATTTCGTCTGCTGGATGTTCCTGGTTGATGATGAGATTGATCGAGTGACAGGAGACAATGGATGTCACGAGAACAGCCTTCTCACTCTATGGGACGATGTCTTGGACCTCGTCCGGAGCAATTTATCCGAGGGAGAAGATGCGGACATCAACGGTTGTGGGGAATTGAGGCCCATGGAAGCTTTCAGTACTTTTGGTAAAAGTCTGCAACGGGGGTACACGAAGGGTAAGACGATTCTATCCTATCAACAACAGCATTTGCGTTAATGATGAATCAATTACAGAACAGTGCAGCCGTTACATGACCCAACTACTCGCCACTGCCGAAGGCTACTTAGCCGAGCAACGCTTCCGTGATAAAAGCGAGTTGCCGGATTACGAGGCATATTGTAACTACAGATCCGGACGATGCTGCATGGGACAAGTTGTCTCCTTGATTGAGTATGCTATCCTTTACATAGCATGTAGGATTTTACCAGCTTACCAAGCTGTGCGATAGGTTTGCCAATGGATCGCAATTGCCAGCCGAAATCATGGACTCTCCGGAAATGGAAAAGCTCTTAGCTAACATGGTCATTCTTCTTTGGATGTGAGTAGCGCAAAACCAAACGAGCTACATATGCTGAGTTTATTTAGTAATAATGATATTGTATCTCTGAGAAAGGAATTGGTAGGAGGATCAACCCCGTTGCTTGCGTTCAGGCCTAACTAACCCTGTCGCTAGCGAGATGGTTTCTTTGAGAACCTTGTTGTAATCTCGTCAGGTTCGGCTTGCGATCTCCAGGCTGGGCTTAACCATGTTGTTGGAAGACTGGAAGAGACCATCCAGGAAATTGATAGCGCGGCATCTGCCTTGATGGGGTCTGCTACCGAGAATATTAGCCACCTTCCGAAGGACCTGAAGCGCGTTATTCTAGATCATCTGAGACTATTTATCAGCAACTGCAAGTCCATGTGCAGAGGCATTGTTTCCTGGAGGTAAGCTTCCGACTGGCTGTCGACAAGTTAACAAATCTAACGTATCTTGAATTTAGCATGAAATCGCCTAGATATGAGCTGTCAGAGCTTGCTCGCAATGATGACAACTCTGTGGATTTTCGAGTTGTGATCGATAGTGTCTAAGAAGCTTATGTGCTAAAGCTCAGACATTGTTGATGAATAAGTCAGTTATGATACAAAGGAAGGACTGATGGCAGAGTTCCAGGACTATAATCGTTAATGCATGAATAAATCAGGCTCCTGCTTTCCCAATGTCTTATAGTTAGACATGAAAAACACTCCGAAAACGATGAATTCAAAATCCACGCGTTGTTCAGCCCATTCAGGATCTAGATACAGCATATGACTCTCCGAAATGACATTGAATTCATAGCGGTACTTATGCTTTTCTAGATGCAAAAATCAAATGCTGCTTTTAGAATGCTAGCTTTCCGGTTAGGTTTGCTTAGCGATAAGGAGCAAGGTCGGCCGTTGTGATGATAGACCCTTCAGGTTTCCACTTCACCTGGAACACTCGGGGAGCATTTAATGAGTTGTAACAGGAGGGTTGAGGCAAGTTGGCTAGGCTGGTATTGCTCCCGGAAGCACCATTGTCCCGGGTTTAATATAGTACCAGCCTGTGTTACTCTGAACTGGTGTTTATCCCCCACCAATCCAGCCATAAAGGAAACGTTACGTCAGCCCTAGATGGATGGTGCCACTTGTAGCTTCGACTGTAAAATGCCGTAATATTCAGTAATAATGAGAGGAATGTCTAGTATACAAAATTCCGGCTACTTGAACTTAACAAACCTAAGGCTAATCACGCTCCTCCTTGAGATATCAACCTTGCCCCATAGATTCATATATTCATACGATAAGTGAGGGCACCGCCAAGAGCTCTCGTGACCTGACCCATTCCACGAGCTGACCCCTATTCGAGAGGGCAACACGATCAAAGTCCAACACGCTGTCGAGCTTATGGGCGACAACTATCAATGTTCCACTGCCGAATGACTTAGAAATTATGGCCTGGATCAGCTCCTCAGTATCCGCATCGGTACTACTGGCTGCTTCATCCATGATAACGAGTTTGCTCAATCTGGCAATAGCCCAGACGAGTCAAAAGAGCTGACGCTAGCCATGCCATAATCCCTCCTCGCAGAGCTCACCATCCAAGCCCCCATCCTTCTCGAATACGTCTCATGGCTTCAAGCTATCGATGATATCCTTGTCAGAGGCGAGACCGAGCGGGTCAATGTTGTCACGAACTGTGCCCTAAATAAAGAATAGCTCCTGGGGAACCGTATTGAGATTTCGCCGGCCCAGCTTTTTGCTGACATCAATACCATCGACAATGATGGATACTTCTTCCAGCTCAAGCATGCGTAGGAGCGTCGATGTCAGTGATGATTTCCTGCTACACTCAAGTGAGCAAATATATACCAACCTTCCAGTGTGACCGCAGATTGCAATCTTCTGGCCCGACCAAATGTCAATTTGGACCCTCTTGGGCACAGGCTCGGCAGATGTGGCATAAGAGGCTGAAATACTGTTGAATACAACGCCGCTCTTACGACCCGCCGCGTGAAGTGAGATTGTGGCTTGGAGTTGACACTCAGGCGACTGACATAAAACATGGCACACCCAGAACCTCCAGTGTTGAATTACAACACAATACTAAAACAATTTACCTAGTAAGAAACACAATATTAAGCTAAATATTATAGAATAATTTATAATTAGCTTATTATTATAATTAGTATTATTAATAAGAAAATAAGGTCCCTGACTTACATAAAAAGAGCTTTAGTGTGCCATATTTTATGTCAGTCGCTTGACACTGCCCATAAAGTCCTAAACCTCACGGGATGACGCTATCTTGTTAATAAGCAGTTAGTCAAAGCCCTATCATTGGAAGCTAGGCAATCACCCCTTGATCCTTGTAAGCTAGGTCGGGTTTAACATCATTGCGGTGCTGCTCCATTTCAAATATTACCGCCCGCCTGCCCGCCCGCTTCCGCGTCCGCAAGCTTGTTTGTTGTAACAATTGATCAAATCCCTTCAATGGCGATGCGCAACACTGCACAGCGCGCATGCTCGACATGCCGTAGACAGAAGCGCAAATGCACCAGAGAGCTTCCCGAGTGCAGCCTCTGTCTAAAGCATGGAAGACGCTGTGACTACGACGAAGCTATTCCGGCCCCGACTCGTCCAGATGTGCAGCAACTCCCTTCCTCTCACCCGCACTTGTCGCCCTCTTCTCCTGGCAACACACAGGCATCGCCCTTTAGACCAAATGGATCATCACAGGATCTAGCTTTACCTCTTTTGACACAGTCCAGGTTTCCAGCCTCCTTCTTCCTCGACCAGGATGCATTTCAATTACTCGGTCGTAGTATAGAGCCAGCAACGCTTAAATTCCCGCTGTCAATATTGGATCCCGTTCGTGATCAAGCCCGGATACGAAGCGATGTGGACATCTACTTCAACTCGACTCACACCTTCTTTCCAATAAGTGAGCTGACTGATTTTCCCGAGCGGTCCTGGCGCTGATCAAGCTATGCAATAGTCTCCAAGACTCGCCTTTACAGAGAGATCGGCAACACTGGTCATTCTATCAACGCAGACACTGCGCTGCTGTTATCTGCCCTACACCTGCATGTCCAGCCATCTGATGACACTGACCCATCCTCCCGAGAGCCCTACAAAGCTGTTAAGGCTTATATCTCCCACATTGAGGCTAGCAATGCCATTTCTGTTCGCCTTCTGCAAGCCGCCCTGCTCATCGCCTTGTACGAGGTGTCGAATGCTGTCTATCCTATGGCATATATGACCGTAGGCCATTGTGCAAGGTTAGGGCATGCGCTCGGAATTCATGCCAGAAAACGCGCTCCTCAGATTTCTCCAGCCCCAGGTAAACTCCACATTGAACGCTGATGTTTTTATCCTATACTGATCAAATGGTAGCGTCGTCTACTGAACTAGAAGAACGAAATAGGACATGGTGGGCAGTGATACTACTGGACAGGTACGTAGGTTGTGTAGACCAGGAAAACAATGCTGAATTTCTTAAGATACGTAAATGTCGGCGGGAAAAGCCGTCCATTCGCTTGCGAAGATGCACGTCCAGACGCATATTTACCCATGGACGATGTATGCTGGGATCAAGGGGTACTGTCCTCTCCTGCTCTTTGACATATGGCATTTTGATTAATTCCTACCAGGGCCTCACTTTGGTTCAGCCTCTGGCGGTTTCCACATCCACTACGGTAGCCGCATCTTATTTCGCCAGGACGTGTCAGGCGGCCCATCTCTTATCCAAGGTTCTTCGTCATTTGAATGACTTTGACACCGACCCAGAGTTCCGATACCAAGAAGCAATCCAAATAACGCGCACCGTCCAAGCGCTGAGTTCAACGATTTTGCTTGAAGCCGAGGAACAAATCGAGAAAACCTCGGATAATACTGCGCATTTGGTCTTCTGCACTGCGGTAGGCCTATGCTTCAGCGCGCTGTTTAGTCTCTACAACGAGTATTCCTGTGTCGATAAATTCGCGCCTGAGCAGCTCAAGAGCCCTCACCTCCGGGATATGCAGCAACAAGCGTTTTCTGGCCTCGGAGACATATGTGACGCAGTCCTTCAGTTATCAGCGCGCGTCTATGCCGCAGCTGAACTCGGGGGGCTGATGAAGACAAGCCCTTTGATAGCCGATTGCCTCTACCAAGCTGCTGCAACTTATCTCTGGTATAGCCGCGAGACTGGAGTCCAAGAATGGCATGGGAAGATGATGGAAATAAAGAAGTTATTGGTGACAATGGATGTCAAATGGAAGTCTTCAGGTGAGTATCTGCCCTTATTATTCCTGTTTCAGCCTGGCGCGATTTCTAATAGTACCGATCTGGGTATGCTTTCAGGTGAATATATACAGCTGCTTGAAGCCTACGAAGCCTCGGATAAGTTTTGAATGCCGCTTATTCTTCGAGCTTTTTGTTCAAATTAAGAGGTACATCTCCCTGCCTAGGGTTCGCTACGTCCACGAACTTTGAAGTGGGACTTCAACTCTGGCAAGTTATGTGCGGTCAAGGCCAGCAGCAAAGTTTTAAGCATTTGCAGTTAGATGTGTGAGGATATTCTATCACCATCGAGGTTTAAAAGCATCCTCACTCCAGTCTTAAATATAGAATCTTTTGTCAGAATTATTATGGTTCTCAATAACGACATTTTCTTAATTGCAATATGCTTATATCCGTGGCCAAGCCGTGAGAATATCATATAAACATGCACACTCAAATCTGATTTCGTGTACTTACAAATCCCCCCTTTCTGTTGACAGAAGGGGCTGCTCAGTCCTCGACATGGCCGGCGCAATTGCTCTCTCGGTTAGGTTGCGGGCGGGATGCGGACAGACTAGCGGAGCCGCCCGCAAGTTGTCTTTCAGCAAAAATCTAAAGTGAGCGGGTAATCCGTCATGAGTACACTGTAGCGCAGAGAGTCGCAAGATATAGCTTTTTGTTTGCCTATATATTGGCTACCGAAACCCACGTATCCCATCCTTCAGTAACAACACATTCGTGTTCTTTTGATCATTGCGCTAAGCGATTCGTTTTCGCCATCTCGTCAAGCTGTCACCTACGTCGCCTTGAGCCTTTTCCCTAAGGACAACATATCGAGTTGGAATCCTTCATTGCATGTGGATTGCCTGGTAAACGAATCTCTGCCAAGTTTTACCTCTTATTTATTCATTTTGAACAAAGATCGCTCCTAATTACGCGGGTCAATTCAAACACACCCTACTTTACAATGCCGTACAACCCATCAAGCCTACCATCGCTCAAGGGCGCAGTATTTCTCGTTACTGGTGGGAATACCGGTATTGGTTACCACACTGCAAAGCATCTCGCCTTGAAGGGCGCTCGAGTATACATTGGCTCGAGGTCTCCGAAGAAAGGAGAAGACGCAGTGCAGAAGATCAAATCAGAAGCTGCTGGTGTTGATATTGACATCCACGTCCTCCATATGGACCATATGGTTTTGTCTTCCGTTGTAGGAGCGGCGGCCGAGTTCAAAAGCAAAGAGACCAGACTCAATGGGCTAGTGAACAATGCCGGAATTATGGCCACGGCATTTCAGAAAAGCGAGATTGACGGATTCGAAGCCCAGTGGCAGACCAATTATCTTGCTCATTGGCTCTTAACTTGGCATTTGCTAGACACACTAGCCAGTACTGGTACCTCTGTAACCCCGGCCCGAGTGGTCAACGTGACGAGCAATGGTCACAATTTCGCCCCAAAGGGCGGAATCGACTTTCATGACCTCGACCAGACCAAAGGTGGAATTTGGTCCCGATACGGCATGAGCAAGCTTGGTAACATCTTACATGCCAAAAAGCTCAACCAATTATTTGGTCCTGATGGGTCGAATAAAGAGAAAGCTGGGATATGGAGTGCTGCAGTGCATCCTGGGGCCATTGACACGGAACTCAATACACAGGCGGATGTTCCAGGATTCGTACAGAGTATGCTGAGATGTTTTGGTGTTTATAAGACACCAGATGAAGGTTCATTCACGTCGCTCTTTGCTGTTGCGGGTCCAGAGTTTGAACAGAGGGACAGTGGAGGCTATTTCGTCCCAGTGGCTAAGAGGGCTACACCCAGTGCTTATGCGAAAGATGAAAAGCTCAGCAATGAGTTATGGGATTGGACTGAGTCAGAGATGCGATCTAGGAAACTGATATAGGCTAAAACGTCTTGTCAAATCACTGTCCAGAGAGTTAAGAGCTGTAACCAGTACATTTCTCTCGTAATACAAGAGAGGTGGTTATATACGCGCTCTCATCTTATCGGAGAGATGATCATGATAGTCGCCTGAAACGATTCGAAATAATTTCTGTCCATGCTAGTTGTGTCATCCCGTTACATAGAACATGAAGATAACATAGTTTGCCCTCAATCATGTCTACCACGACAAGATTGGCATGAATTATCGGGCAGATCTCAACCTATCATTTTCTCCTGCTTTTCTTTCTTTTTTCCCCTCCTTTATTTCTTCTTTTCCTCCTTTCCTTCTTCTTTCTCTTTCTCGTTTTTCCCATATAGGGCTTAGCACGTCGTGTCTCGTCAACGATCTAATACCTACTGTATTTATTATCTTAAATAGTTGACGGAATTCAGTATTTTTGTATGCTACTAACCTTAGTTATGAAATACGTAAATCTCGCTTTTTTCACCCCCGCAAGAATACAAGGATACAGATTTTCACGAATTCAATATTTGAGAGAATACGGTATTGGCAAACCGATCGGCCACTGCCAAATGTGGCATTGCCATCCGCTGTTTAGGTACCTTCTGTTTAATTACAAAAGCTCTGCCACCAATGACATTGCTTCAACACCACTCTCTTCTTTTAAGCTTGGAATTAAGCGCATCCGCCACTTCCGGGAGAGAACGGGGCACGAGATTCTGCCAGGTCGCTTGGATCCCGCTTCTCTCCCGTTGATGTTGCTTGTAGTCTATTGAGAGTGTGCGTATGTAGTATCTTCGACACCTGAACGATCAACCGTCACGAAGCACGTTACGCTAATCAAGGCTTCCGAGATCTGGGACCCTGTATTACTTACTTATGGTCCATCGGAATGTGGGAGATTGTTGGAGGCATGAGTGACAGCACGTTTTTCTGCATATTCCCAAACGGGCAGTACCCGAAAGACGCCTATACAGGCGCCAGCAACGAAACGGCAAGGGTAGCAGCCAAGAGGAGGCCGAGGGTTTCGAAATCGGGCCGGAACCCTATCCTCGTCTCTCGACTGTTAAGATGAACTACCTTGGCAAATAAGGAAACGAGTCCAACCTATTACAATGCTATTGATGGCGCCTTCGGCAATGCACAATTCTAGAACTTGTGGATTAGGGGGTAACGCCAGGGAAGCACACATGCGTCGGACGAAAGTATATTATTCCTGAAACCTGCGCTCCAAGATGACGGCTTACTTCTCATGCTTCATCTCTACGGAGTATCCCCTCTTGGACTCTTACAATGGTGTCCCTGAATGCCCGGTCAGCCCTCGTGGCACTGACCGTGGTGCTCTCCTCTCTTACCACACCATCCGCCGCAGTCGACATCGTCAATCTTCGCCTTCGCATCCTCCCCCTCGGCGACTCCATCACCAAGGGAAGCGGCTCCAGCACCACCAACGGCTACAGAGGCCCTCTCCGAGACAAGCTCACCGAGTTTGGCGCCTCTGTGGACATGATCGGAACTCTTCGTAATGGCAACATGAAGGATAATAACCACGAGGGGCACAGCGGTGAGTATCTCGGTGATATCAAGAATTATTGGCAAAAGCCCATGCAAGCTCGTCCCAACGTCGTCCTCATCCACGCCGGCACCAACAACATGGACAAGGAGGTCGACCTCGACACAGCGCCCCAGCTCATCACGGGCATCATCGACGGCATCTTCAATGCCGCCTCCGACGTGACCATCCTCATAGCCCCCGTCATCTGGGCCAACGACGCCCGGATGCAGCGCAACACGGATGCGTTCAACGCAAAGTTGGCGCAGATAGTCGTCCTCAAGCAGCAGGCTGGCAAGCACATCCTCCTCACCCCTATCCCAATCTCCTCCACCGCCGACCTCAGTGACAAGAAGCATCCCAACAACGCAGGCTATGCTAAGTTCGCCGACGCCTGGTACCTGAACATCAGGGAGGCTGTCAACCGTGGCTGGGTAAAGGACGCCGTCAAGGTCGACGCGAGCAAGATCACAGGCGTCGGCCTCGGGCAAGGGGACAGCAGCGGATCCTACGCTGGCTGCGACGGTGGTAACTGGTCGCGCAAGGGGAGGGTCTTTACTCCCAGCAAGGGACTGTCCTCCGGCGAGGTCGTCCGCTTCGCCGACCTCAACGGGGACGGCAAGGATGACATTGTCTTTGTGGACGGCAAAGGAAAGGCCCGCGCATGGCTCAACGAGGGCCTCACCAGCTGGAAGTCACTTGGGGAGATTGCGCCTGGCCTCGACGAAGACTTGTCGAAGTCTCGCATCGAGTTCGCCGACGTCAACGGAGATAAGAAGGACGATTTCCTCGTCATCTACGGGGGCGGCGCTGTGAAGGCCTACTTAAACAACGGTAATCTTCCCAAGACGAGTGATGAACGAATCTGGAAGCAGGCCGTTGAAATCTCTCCCGGCGTCGGCGAGCCTGGAAGCAAGGTTCATTTTGCCGACCTCAACAGGGATGGCTACGACGACTACCTAATCATCTACGATGGCGGCGCCGTCAAGGCGTACCTTAACAACAAGAACATCCCAAACAAGGACAAGGGGCGTTTCTGGCAAGAAGGGTACACGGTCGCCACCGGCGTCGGCGAGCCCGGCTCCAAGGTTCGATTCGCAGACATCACCGGCGACGGAGCCGCGGAGTATCTCATCCAATACGACGGCGGCGCCGCCAAGGGTTATCACAACACAGGTAACATTCCTAACGCTGGCAAGCCTCGTAACTGGGTTGCGATGGGCACGATTGCCGGTGGCGTGGGCGACCAAGGCCCGGTGAGCTATGCCGACCTTGACGGAGACGGCAAGGAGGACTACCTGGTCGTCCGTGGCGATGGGAGCGTCGACGTCTGGATCAATTCGTGCGACTGGAATCCTGGTGAGCCCAATGTCAGCGACGGCGGTGCTGGCAATCCCAATATCGGCCAGGGCGATCCCAGTCAGGATGAGGACGAGGACGAGGATCAAGGGGAAGGCGAGGATGGCCACAAGTGGGATGTAACCGAGGGCGACCCTTTCGATGAGCTGGACCCCGACAACGTCCCTGAGATCTGCTCAGCCGGCATCGTCACACCCGTGACCGGCAGATACTTGTACGTGCCCTGCAGGAGGTTCGTTAAGACTTTCGGCGGCGACGATTCCAAGATCGAGGGCTGCTGCGTAGTGTATACCGGCGAGACCAGGTGCAAGAAGTGGGCAAAGTCACTGGCCGACGAAGCGGTTGATTCCATCGCCGTCATGGACAGGCAGGCTACCAAAGACGGTGCAACAAAGTCCACCAGCAAGGACAATTGGCACGCCAGCTTCCTGCTAGGCACGAGCGCGATCCCCAACCGGGATGTCGTCCCGGCCTGGACCAAGGCTATGATACAGTGGGATCAGAAATACATCCCGGAGCAGATTGAACTCCGTGTCAAGACTAAGGACTTTCAGACCGACACCATTTGGATGTACCATGAATGCGACAACTCTGCAAACGAGGACCCCAACGATGACACGTTTTGGGATGGATTTCTAGACCCTGACGACAAGGACGTTTAAGGGCATTTGTTAGTAGAGGCAAGCATGCGTTAAGAGAAGCAGAAATGGATGGAATACCATAGTAGAGAGGGCTATCTTAGCAATAACTCGACTTCTACTAATATTTTTATATTTTTATTCTTGACCTTTACATGGTAAAAGCTCATATTGTAATGTTCCAGAAACTAAGCGAAGTAAAGTATCTCTCGCCCATTCAGTGTCTAGCGGGAAACGCCATTGTCGTATGCTATTAAGGGCATTTTCCATCTTCAAGGCCTCCTTCTCAGCTCTTTTCTCTTTTTCGCCATCCGTGAGAGTATAAGGTAGTACACAGAGGCATCGAGCTGGTGGAGTCAATCGCTATAAGCTCCTCTTGCTTAATCCCAGTAGTCCAAGAAAGAGGCACTAGCATCAAGCGACGGATTGGGTTGCCGTAAACATAGCGAAACCCTTGATTCACAAACTCAGAGATAAGATGGCGAGCGATCACCGCCTGGCAAGCCTCTGGCTTTTAACAATGTTGTTTGCTAAAGTGAGCTGTTCATCTGGGACAAGGAATAGTAAATACTATTAAGAAGGTCAGTGGCATGTCGAGGATCAGTAATGGGGTGTATAAATCACCTCCTTAGGTGCAAGAGGATAGCCTAGCCGACGAAGTAGAGGAGTTTACCATTCCACTAGAATGATCTTTGACGCATCAAAGTCGTTTAAGATTCTAAGAAGCCTGACGTCTGATATGGGATGCATATTCTATATGGGAAGGAGAATAAAGAAGGATATTGCCAGGTTGAGAGTAATGAGACGTAGTTAGAGGGGAAGATACAGAGGTGGGGTGCGCAGAGTTTTTTTGGGATTTTGACTATCCGACCACCACACTGCACGTGCAACTTGGCCACCATGGAGATTAGGTTCGATAAACTCTACTAACTCTTATTCCTTAGCTAAGTCCCTTCCGACTCAATCTCGATAAATAATCATAATACAATTCGATCGTGATCTCGTTGCCGTAAGATGAAGACAAAATTGGCCGACGAGAATTACTAGGCAAGATGCATCAAGCCTCTCAACTCCCCTAGACTTTCCAGTCTTGTCATATGGGCCATCTCCTGTCTTAATTCATGACTTCTTCGTCGCCTTCACTACAACAAAAGGCGGGCTTTCCATGAACAGTTTCCAGAACTCGGGGTCCTTCTGGATCGTTTCCGCACTCTCAAAAGGTATAGTCTCGATATCTGTGAAGCCCTATCTCCTCTCCAGCTCAAATAAACCAGACATGCTCGCTTCCATAGAAGCAGCTTCGTATTCTCAAATAGGACCCCCGTGAATAGACACAGTGTAAGCCAGACCTCCCGGGTTGGGTCTAAAGTTCTTATAAATGTACCCGTACTTGCCAACTTGGAGGCAATGAGTCTTCGCGTCTGCAACGCGGGTGCCAAGGAATCTGCCACCGGGCTTGAGTTATTTCTCAATGTTCTTCCATACCCCTTCGAGCATCTGGATACTACCGACATGATCCAACTGTTGTGGGATGCTCTCCGGGCCTATTCAACCAAGGAGTCCGTAAATTAAGTCTATCTCTAGATACAGAAAGAAGAAGAGTTTTCCTTGAGAGGAAGCAGCTCTTCGTAGGTGTAGCCCGTAACACCAACACCCAATTCACCATGATAATATCATAGGCAGGTTTGAGCTGCAGATGGTCCAGTGGCAATGAAACATCGGCTTCGAAGAAACGCATTCGACCCTCCCGCTCAAGATCTCTCAACCTTCTTGGCGACTTGAAGTATCGTCGGGGTTATATCCACAAGGTCGATTGAAGATGCACCCGCATCGACAGCTTCTCGTGCGTGGACACCAGCACCGCCACCGAGATCAAGGACAAGCAGCCCCGAGGTATCTGCAATGGCGCTTTTAACCAGCTGCGACTCTAGAACGCCCACAGGTTTGAACTCGAACTTGTTGTACTCCTCGGTGTACTCCTCGTCGTAGTTCATGTAGTCTTTTTGGCTTGATACGAGGTAGACATGACGCAATCAGGGAGAGACGGGATATTAGAGAAGTGAGCATAGCGATCGATGGATCGGACTCTGATTAGCGGTCCCTACTCTTCTATATAAGCGATTTCATTACGCGAAACGATGCGGCCAGATGAGACCCGACATCTCAGCACAATGAATATTTCGACATACACAGCATTTGACATCATGGGGATTAATCCCAATTTTAGATTTCGCCCATGCTTATTGAGCGTCCTCATCAATCTAAGCCTCTATACCACGGACCTGCTCGTCATTTTGTCGGGGAGGCCCCCACTGAAGGGAGACATTGAGCGAAACCTGTCCGGGGGGAATATTAATTGAAAAGGCTCCGTTCGGGCTCCTTTCCCCCCTCTCGCTGTAAAGCTTAACGAAATGGGCAATCACAATTGCAATGCTCAGGAATCTTATATAGCAATATCAGTCAAGTCTCTGCTCGTTATGTGTATGGTAGATGGGGGAAGGAGTTTACACAACAACAGCGTCAAGCACTAGAAAGAACCAGACGGCAACGATGTATTTCGTTTTCCAGTCCAGGCATTCGGCATATGAGCCAGGATACCGGCTCTTCGGGTCATCAAGGGATTCACTACAACTGAGGCCACTCCAGTAGATTCGACGAGAGGTCTGGTCCCCAACAAAGACGAACACGATGAACGCGTTGGCGCCATAGATGAGAACGCTAAGAAGCGCCGCGGCGGGCTTCCCTTTGGCCTTGATCCAGAGCGCGTTGAATGCACTGAACAAGGCGATGAGGACTCCCTAGTAGCTCTATGGGTTAGCTTGGGTCACGCCCATGGCTTCTAGGTGAGGTAACAAACGAGGAATGCGTAGGAGGCGCCATCGTAATAGAAAGTCCAATCGCTCTCACCAAAGTGAGACGAGCCATACGAGTTCAACGCAAAGAGGGTGCCGAGGAAAACGACCTGCGAAAAGCTGAGAGCCGTCATGGTCCAACTCATGAGATATATGACGCGATTTACGCGTGAAGGTGGCTGGCCGCGACCAGCTGGCTCTGCTGTTGGCTCATCCTCATCCCGACGATCAGAAGGCTGCTCAACAGTCTCGCTATCGCCATGGGTGTCAACGAGCAAGGGGGTCGCTTCGGTAGGACGCGGGGATAAAGGCGAAGAGGCCATGATGAACAAGATTCTCCTCAACCGTGATGGTTGTTTACTAATGAGGCCAGAGCAATTTTGATGCGATTGTGTGGCATAAATGGCGAAGCTAACCATGCTATTTTTAGATATTACTCTAGGCAACTACCTAGGATATGAGTCAACCGTGCATTTTATTCATGTCAGATCTAATTCCTCACGAAGCTGGATAACCCGTTCTTTACTACCCTACCCTAGAGCTAGTCTTCCACCTCCGATGACCATTTGGTAGTTCACCACACTTCCAGGTCCCCTAAATAAGTAGGAGGCGAACAAAGGAAATATATATTTTATAATCAGGATGTCCAACATAAAATAGACCCATAGAATGGTTAGGATGGTAGCTCATACGGAGTGGTTTCAATATGTGGCGAACTATCACCGCCCTAATCATACATTATTTTCGAATGGCGCAAGATAGGATTTATTTTATACACAATCGCGCTCGCTTCTTTATTTATTCCTTCATCTCCCAAGATCCCCTCGCATTCGGAGTGAACATCCCTTGCGCTGAGAGCACCCTTTGGGCTGTGCGTATTTTGATATTTGCATTGCTCAGGTACTGAACGGTTATTCATGAACATCCGTTATGCTTGGCCCGTGCACTATTGCTTCAGCTTCACGACAGGGACAAGAAGCAAGACAAAGTAACAGAGTTCATAAATAGAGCGGCGGAAAAGCTCCCCGGTGCGAGATGATGGGTTTTCGGGTTTATGTATAAACTGGTACACCATTAAAGTTCTGAATAGAGCCACCCGTCCGCCGTTGTCCCAGAGCGTTGTGCACAAACGCAACCATGTGTCCGGATTGGCCTAGATCTGACGCTGATTTACAGCTTCTGCCATGCTGTTATGGGCCTAGGCTGGAGCAGTTCGACTTCAAAGGCTGGCAGCAGATCGAGTTGCTCGAACACCTCGGAGATGACCTCTTTATCAGTCTGGATATAACAGTATGTTGAGCCTAAAGGAATGTACATGCGACATGCTGTGGATATCAATAACCGTTGTTCAGGATTCGCGCACGCTGTTCATGGCGCTGCCCAGAAGAAACAGGGTCAGCCCGCGAAGGCACGCAATGCATTGGCCAACCAACTAATCAACCAGCCAGCCACCCCGGTCAAGCAGTCTGAGCGTCTCTGTTCAGTGTCATGCTGCCCCTCTTTCTGCGCAAATCTCGACCTCTCTGTTGATCTGAGTTTTGGCGCGATAGCACCGTAAACAATTTTCCGTTAGCAGGAGGAAGCTATTGATCGAAATGCCTGGCATCCCGAGGACCACATACTGCCAGATCTGCAAGCGGCGGAGGGTTAAGGTGAGCCGTTAAATTGACCGGTTTTGCCACTTGTGCTCTTCTTCCTGGGGCAAGGAGGCCCCAGCCCGTACGGGAGGCGTTTCGGTTCCTTTTGGTGGCAAACTCGATACCGTCAGTGCGACCAGCAGTGGCCGATTTGTTCGGCATGCCGCCGAGCCCAGCTCGTCTGCCCCGGCCCTACATCGATGACCAAGTTCGTACATAACGGAAATCATATCGTCAATGGTGAGACCGACGGCAATATCCTGCAAGCGTCAGCCTCCCCCATCCCTCGAGGTGGTGGCAATGGCGATGGACGGGCGATGGTGGCCCGGCCTAGTTCACTTGTGAAAACGTACCAGAATGGCTCCGTGGCTCGCTCATTCCGTCTTGTCAACTCGACGCCCTCTATGACGCCTTCGGAACGGTTTGCGTCTCTCCTCATAACCATGATGAATCTGGATTCGGAGAGTGTCAACATGGCTGCTGTCTTACTTGGCCGGCTTAGAGGGATACCTCCGCGTCTGTTGGGGAGTGCCTGTCTGCGTGACGCCGTCGCCCATAAATGCGCCAGTATAAAGGACATGTGCCCCAGCATGCAGACACCAAGTTTTAGTACGTTGAAGCTGTATGGTAAGGCACTCCGTAGTCTAGAGCAGGCACTGAATGGTCCCGAGGCCTTAAGTGTGGAGACATTCGCGGCCGGGGGGTTGGTTCATGACAACCATATTGGAGGGATGCTGTTATTGATGAGAGCAAGAGGCCCGCCAAAGCTAGACGATCAAGTTGAAGTTGACATCGCAGTCCATTGTTATATTGGAGTGGTGAGTCGCACTCTTCACTGGCAATCTATTTGAAGTCCTTAAGAGGTTGAACTGGCCTTTTCTCGATCATAGAAGACCTATAAGTATCTTTATGGCAAGATTAACTTTATGGAGTCGCAGCCATGGAAGGCAGCCATGGACGAAATAATAAAAAGGACTAGTGGATTTGATTCCGATGATTCGATGGCCATTCTCATGAATCGCTATCAAGAGCTTTGGCCCGGCTGGGTTCAAGACGCCAGGTTGATTTCAAGTGATCCTGATTCTTTCAAGTGGAAAGCAAGAAGATTAACGACAGAACCTCTTGTATCTCTATCCGAATTCCAGGAACTTGAAGCCCATGACTGGGAGTCTATTGCTGTGGAGGGGTGGATCAGGGAAATAAACATCTGACCCTGATTTCTTTGTTGGTAGAAGTTACGAGGTTGATGGTCTCGAACCAGCGCTAAACCTCTTCAGTCAGCACTCTTCTTGTACAGCTATTAATTGCTCGAATGCTCTATGACTTTGCGATCCTGTATGATTGGCCGTTGGCGGAGCTAACCATGTCGAGAAATCGAGAGCTCTCTCCTCGGGCATGGATGCTCATTCCTTATTTGAAAAACCAGAAACGCGAAGAGATGTATTACTTCTCGCTGCTCTTCAAACTAACATGTGAAGCAGCGGAGAAACGAGAGCAAGAGCATTTGATGGACATCGTTCAGTATCTAGACTGTGTCTCCTTGGAGCCGGGTCAGGACAGAATCAAGGTTTTAACCGATTTAATAACTAGAGAGGCTAAGATATTAACCGGTCGCCTTATCTTAGAGAGTTAAGGTCTTGTGGCTCTGCCCTGTTGGCCTGATATTAGTCTCGGGAGGAAGGCTGGCCTATGTGTCATTTTAGACTCATTTCTTCACTTCCCGCGAATGTGAATCCTCTTGAGCTAGTCTATTATTGCATTGTTCTCCTTGGTCTTTCTATGTTTTTACTCCCATGTACGTACTACGGCACCAGCCTCCTTCTAGTCTCTTTTTAGTATCTTTTCGCCATAACCCGTAATCAGATGAGGATTTTTGATAGAGTAGCGTGCTCGCAGCTATAAAGGCTATTGCATCCATTAGGCCAGGGTATCATCCACCAGCATTGCTTTTGCTGTTTCCATTCTTGGCTAGTGAAGAAGAGTCCATTAATCCAATTCTGCGGTATGATCTGTTTCCCTTCCGGCATGAAGCTTATTTCTAAAGATGCAAGCTTTATAGTACGTTACCCTCGCTTGATACTGAAGAGAGTTCAAGTATAAAGTTAAACAACAATGGAAGATGTTAGACCCGACATCTCAACACAATGATCCTTCGCTTGGTACTATTATCCACGTGTTCGGCATCACCCAGGGAGGGGAAGGCAAATATGGGTGCCAGATGATTATCATAATCCCCTGGAACGAATCATTCGTGGCAATTAGATCCATTCACCGGGCGAGTTAGCCACAAACTGGCCCTTTTGCCATGGCACGACATACAGCTTTGGCCATGATCAAGAGTATAGTGTTTACCCCAGTATTGACATCTCGTCCCTGGGACGGCATGTACTCTTTGCCAAAGCTGCTTTATTTACCGATATGTTCAAGATAATATATAGAAACAAGGCCGAACCCAGTTTTTCCATCCATCCACGATTATGAATAGCCAGCTTTACTTATCTCTTAGCATGGAAGTGGAGAGGCTACCCCCTATCATAAATTAATTATTATGCTTTTTTTGAAAAAAATATATATATATATAGTAGGCGATATAAAGCCACCCGTCAATCATACTATATATCTAATGTAGTAGAATTATCTTTTTATAAGCTATAAAAGGTTCTCAATAAAATAGCTTATATATAATCCATGAAGGTAGGAGCAATATTTATCCTATCCTTCTCATTTCACACCTCAACCACACCCTACCTTACCTACTCTACCTGAGGATATATATTACTAAGCTCGACTATAAATTATATTCTCTTAAGGTAAGTGAAATTAATAAGGATTTTTTTTTCTTATTATAAATAAGGGTTATCTAATCCTAAGATTAAGCTATATATATAATTATTATATATAGTTTTTAAAATATAATTTATAGCTTATATTTAAACCTTTAATATTATAAAAACTTAAATCTTTATATATTTAGCTTAAATATAAGTATTAATATCTTATTAAAAACTTTAATAAGAGCTAGTTAATATATAAGTTAATTATAGCCTTAAAAGAGAATACTTATTACTAATTATAATTACTTTTCTATATAATAATAATAATAATAATAATAATAATAATAATAATAATAATAATAATAATAATAATAATAATAATAATAATAATAATAATAATAATAATAATAATAATAATAATAATAATAATAATAATAATAATAATAATAATAATAATAATAATAATAATAATAATAATAATAATAATAATAGTAAGATATTATTATTTAATACTTATATCTTTATTAATAAGAGCTTAATTATTAAAGTAAATAATAAGCTTTTAGAAGATATATTACTTTTAATTATAAATAACCTAAGAGAGTTATACTTAATATATATAAAATCCTTAAGTCTATATTTAATTAAAGGGCTTCTTATAGTAATAAAGCTATTAATAATAAAGTAAATCTAATAGCTATATTTATTAGGTTTATCTCTATATTATAATAGTTAGGTAGATAAAGTATTTAATAAGATATTTAATAAGGTACTCTTTAGTAATATAGAAGATCTATATAATATACTTAGCTTTATTAATAATTACTTTATTATATATACTTATTATAACTTAATATTTAATTATTAATTCTAGTATATTATATACTATATTAAATTAATTTAAATAAAAATAGCTTTTATTTAAGTTTTAGTTTAATAAATTAATTTAGATTTAGGTTTATTTAATATAATATAATAAAAAAGCTTTTAGGAAAGGTTATTATATTTAAGGTTTATAATATTTACTAGAAAAGTTAGATTTATAAGGTTAAATTAATTAATTATATCTATAAGTATAGTATAGTATTTACTATAATAAAATCTTTATTATTAATATATAGCTTAATTAATTCCTAATACTTAGTAATTTATATAATTATATATTATATAGTAAAGGATTTATTATAAATTATAAATTATAAGTCTTTTACTACTTATAAAATAATTTAAACTTTAGTATACTATTAATATAGTATATTCTACCTTTTTCTTAAATATAACCTAGAGCTATAAAATCTAAGTCATATAATGGATTAATTAATAGTTTGTTCCTAGGAAAAGCGTTATTTTACATTATTAACTACCTAGTCTAGATAGTTCCTTAACCCCAAGCCGCCATCTACTCACCCTTATCCAAGTGAAAATGTTCTCTTTTATATGAGAACATTTGGCTTGGATTGTCCACTTCCAGGATCTCTTTGGCCAGATTCTTAAAATCCTCTGCTGAGTTTCCAAGTGCTCCGTTTTCCTTTTTCCGGCTGACGACGCTACTGATGTGGCTAATAAACTGCCCAATTGCATATTCCGTTATATGACAGATATGTGCAGTTCTGTATTCAATTGTCTTTTCAGGGATGCCACGCTGCTTGGTTTCGTCCTGTTGCTTGTTCGCAGGCTTGGGGTGTTCAAGCTCCACACCAGGCAAGTAATTTTCCTTGAGATGGCAATGAGTAGTTCCATGGTTTGGTTGTTTTTCTTGGAACTGAAAATCTTCCCCAACGGGATAGATACCGTCATGACGTCCGAGACTCGTTCGATGGATGTAGTAGAAAATGCCAATGATTTCCTCGTCGTAATCCAGGTCCATGAAATTATCCGAACCTTTTGGAGTCCCCTGCTCATCAAGGAACAGGGCTTCGCTAAAGTTTCGCGGAGTACTCACACCACCTAGATCTCTCAGAGTATTCTGACTATCCACATATGAAAAGTCTTCAAGGTTCCGCGGAGTATTTTGGCCATTTGAACGGCTCACATCTGGAGCAATTGGTCGCCTTTCTACGACGAAGACTCTAAACAATGGGACGGACATCTTAGATGCAAGCAGGTAGCGGCTTTTTGGTTGCTTGGTGTTGTTTGCTGTTCAAGGTGGTAGGCGATGATGAATGTGAATAAGGATGCTAGGGGAAGAGAAACCAAGGATGAAATCGCAGCCCAGAAGTCTCTTATATACTTTTCTTTCTTTCCAGCGGCACCAAATAATTGAATCGAAGCTAGCTGTGATCCTTCCACAACAACTCACATTGCTCTCGGTATATTGGTGAATACTGATTGCCTTTGCCCACACGTCTGTCAGCTCAAGGAAACAGTGATTATGAACAGGTATACAAGAATAGGAACAATAACACTCATGTGATAGATTAAGCCTCTATCGTTTTGTAAAAGTCTTCTTTCAATGAGATGAGTAAAGTTAGATGCCTTAGTCACTATAGTGGTTTATGGAACACTGCCTTGTCTTTGAATATAGAATGTAGCGAGAAAAATATAAACTGGACGACTAGTTAGTTTAGTGATCAAGTTAAGGAACGAAAATAGATGTCATGCAACAGATTATAACTTTGCTGCTATGAATAGAGTAACACTAGCATTTATCTTTTACAGGACAAAATTAGGCGAGGAGGGATGTCATACTACAAAGATGCATCGAATCACTACGGCAATGATGCATTGAATTACATACTAGAAGCACATATTAAATTACCTGCTGCGAAGATGCATTGAGATTGAGAGTACTGGGGATTCTGTATATAATCAAATTAATGATAGCCCGGTTATTTAGGAACTTTTTTTTAGTGGTCCCTCCCCTGAAGTAGTAAGCTAAGGTAATAAGCTGTAGAAGCGAAACACTATATTTCCAAGTTTGGAACAAGCTGTATCTATATTGTCATAATCCTACTTGAAATATTTCAAGCTAAATTTTGTAGCTCGTCAAACTAGTTGGAACGGCCACTAAACCCCGGGGAAATTTCAATGCAGGCTTACGCTCTCTATAGGTCTTACTTGTTTAATGTCAAGTGCTCCCACCAATTGGGGAGGAGAGCACTTCTTAGTGCCCTGGCGCTACTTTAATGACTAAACCAACAGAGAGGCCAAGGTGGAGGGACGACAAAATTGAAATCCTTGGGCAAAGCTTTATTCAAATCACTTATATGGAGGGAGGTTGGGACAATCATCATTTCGGATCCTTGGCTCCATCGAAGAAAATGGGTTAGTTTGGACAAATCTAAATGGAGTTACAAGTAGTTTTTGTCCGGATTTCTTTGTCCTTGAGTTCCCAGACAGAGTTCCGCGAAGGTGGAATTGCCGCCCTACCTTACCGCTCAATATTTACATTCAAGATTACAGGCCGTACATCAATGTAGAATGAAATTGATTGTGCTTTCCGGTATTTTCTAAAGTTATAGGTGAGGCATGAAACCCTGAAGATATTGATTGAGACCTGTCGCCGAATTTATAAACATCAATCTTGATCAGGACTGAACTACCAGCCGGCAGTAGAGAAAAGGGTTGTAAATATGTCACCAGACAATCCAGCTCTCTTTGGAGTCGATAATTAGGTTTTCCCCGCAAACTAGCGAACCAACGGAGCAGTTCCAAGACAGCCAGGGCATCACTAGCTATGACTGAACCCAGGTGTCCCATCTAAATAATGGTTTATCTATACCGGTATATATTTGATCCATCATGTTGACTTGCTGGGTTTTCTCGTCATCCTCGGACTGGTTAAAGTAGATCGCATCAATCCATAGATACCGACTTTAATATGGGTACTACAGATGCTTTATAGCCTCTAGGGGAGCCGGAGTGATCCGAATCACTCCATTAGCGGTGTTTAGTGGGTGGGCACTATTTTCCTCAAATGTTTGAAAAAGTCCTGCTGAGCCAAATCTCGGCAGTGGCACATGGTTCTAGTCGGCCGTGTTGTAATAAATCTTACACTACAATATAGATGAACTATGTAATTCGGATTGGAAATTCAAACTGAGTGGAGGGACATGGTGCTAAATACCTGGGTAGACATTCGTGATAATATAAACATAAAAGCGCAACCCCTAATAGCCGTATTACTCGCGCATTAGTGAAGATACATTTTCAGCCACGCCTTAGCTACGATGGATGCCTGGCCTTCTTCGCCTGGTCTTTTTTGTTTTTACCTGCTTAAACCCCAAATTACAAGCTAGTAATATAATAAGCAGTGTTGGGTTTCTAGACTTCCCGGTGCTAGGCTATGTGGACTTAATACATGGATATATTAGAAACACTCCTTGACCCCTCGCGTAATATCTCTGTCTCCTCAACCGGAAACTTGTCCAGAACATGCAGAAATAAGTCTGTTATATAGAAAAACCCTTGCTAACTCCACTTGGAGGCTAACTTGACGGACCTCTGAGGGATTAACTTGGTTTGTATGTTAGCAGCTACTTCCGGGAGAGTATATATTTATCAAGGGATTGACTGTGAATATCCAATTTAAAGTGAGTGTGAAATTGGTTAGACTTTAGTTGGGAAATTTCTCTCTTTCTGATACCACCTTTCCGGAATGGGATCAACAAAGCCAGTTGTTCTTCGTATTGGTGAGGACATCAGACACAATCACGACCTGTATGAAAATGAGTTCTTAAAGCGATTCGAAGTCATCGCTAATGAAGAGCCCGACAGTGAGAGCTTCATTAAGGCACTCAAAGACAAAAAGTATTGTACCCAACGTGACGTCTTTTCCGTCGATGCCTTCCGTAGATGGACCATCTAACTTGGTTTCTAGGTACGGTGAATTTGTGGCTATCTTGGGTCTTCACTTTCAGACGGGAGGCGAAGTGGGACAGTGGGATGATGAAATGATCGATCTCCTCCCACCATGAGTGAAAATTTTGCTTCCGCTGGCGCAGGGTTCAATTGGGCAGATGTGGATGCCCTTGGCCGTCGCGGCATTTGATATTGCAACGGAGCCGGTGCAAGTGATGAGGCTGTGTCTGATACAACTCTCTTCATGATTCTCTCTGTGTTTTGGAACTTTTGGCGGTCACAGAGAGGGGCGCGCACATGCGACCCTGAATAGTTTCTCGCCATGCATAGGCCGGTTGGTAGTATATCGTACAATCCCCGTGGCCACGTTGTGGGCATTGTGGGATTAGGAAATATCAGCAAGCTGCTGGCATTTAAAGCCAAGACCGCACTGGGAATGAAAATTCATTACTATGATATTATCCGAGCCCCAGCTGAGACGGGGGCTGATCTTGAGGCGACGTATCGCTCCAACCTACACGAACTGCTGTCTGTTGCGGACTATGTCACCCTCCATACTCCACTCAATAAGTATACCCAGGGCCTCATCAACAAAGAAGGTTTTGCGGTTATGAAGGACGGCGCCAGGCTGATCAATACTGCTCGTGGACAAGTAGTCGACGAGGAGGCTCCGATTGAGGCACTCAAGAGCGGGAAGGTATCTGCGGCGGGACTCGATGTTCACTATCACGAGCCACAGGTATCAAAGGAGCTGGCAGCGATGGAAAATGTGACTTTGACATGCCATAACAGTGGTGCTGGTATCACAACACGCATCAACTTTGAGTCGAATGCAATGAAGGATATCTTGCAGGTGGTTGGGTCCGACGGAGAATTTAGCGGTGCTCCTCCTATCACACCTGTTAATGAGATAGTGTTTAAAAGAAGTTCATAACGAATAGGAGCCAGACTGCACGAGCAAAAGAACCCAGTTGAAATATATCAGAATAGAATGAACATATATGAAGATGAGGTTCTGAATACGATTGGGCGTTAATAGTAGATTAACACTCTATTGATGACTTCACGTAGGCATCGCTTGACTACTTGAAGTTGGGAATGATAGATGTAGCGGAGCAAGTTCGAAACATGGTCGGAATGAGTTGATGGGCATGCTTCATGATTCGAACCTCACCGGGCGACGGTGCTTATGTAGTGATTGTTCCACTTTACCCCCCGCACTAGAGTTTCGGATTTCTGGTCTGTTGTCGTTTGAGTGAGATTTGAAAACTGCTCAATTATCTTTTACGTGTTTGTTTCCTAAGGTAGTTCTACGAGAGGAACACAACATCACAATTGCTGTCTCAATTATGTGGTGCAACATAAATAGTCGCAGGAAGGACATCAAGAAATTGAAAGTCGACTTTACGGCATCTTGGACAGTATGAATACATACTGCAGGGCCATCATTAAGCACACGCCTACGACGTGATTCTGAGCGTAACTCTATTGAAGTATAGTACCCGATCGAAACTTGGCGCGAGGTTAAGGTCCTCATAACCGACTTTGTAGTGCGATGTCGCCCGATTCTGGACTTGCCCATGTTGCGACGAACGAGGCATTAAACGGACAGCTTCGGCTTTGCTGTCATGTGTGCTAACGGCGCTCAACGTGTCATTTTCAGAACGGGCGAAATTTGAAGCTGCGAGTTTGCGAGCTGGCTCAATCGCATCATTAGGGCCATTACCTGCACAAGGTATGGCGAAGGGCCGCAGGTCGGATATTCCTTGTCCACCACACCTTGGCGACGGAGCACGGATCGCTCGCGGTGTAATGAGGTTGTATGAGCGCGCTGTGGGAGTAGCCCTGTGATAAGGCCTTGAGCAACCGCGTGCGCAGCGTATTGGATATTGGCTAGATCATCGAGGGTCACTTGTCGAGCTGGTTTTATTTAAATTGCTGTGCTTAAAATAACCTTGACACTGCTGTTCCTATCAAGCCTGCACACCCAAAGCTTGCTAAAGGATTGAGATGAATATTTTAGTATCTATTGCGAAATAGGTGTCTCTCCGATTCAAGGCGCAACTTGTACAGGCTAGTATAAAACTTCGAAAGACATAGTCTATCGCCGAGAAATACCACGTACATCATCCTTAGATTGCAGAATACGATTTAAATAAGAGGAAATTCATCTCAAACATGTCGTGCCTTATATTCCAAAATGCCATCGCGGATCGGTCTTCACACATTTCTTAAGAGCCGCACAGGGAAACCTATGGCGGCATAGCAGCAATGCTATATGGATTGCATAAAGGGGGCCTCAAGCTATTAGCACTGCCCCAAACGCGCTCAAACCTGGTGGGAGAACATCGTTAGCATGCCCACACACCCTCGGAAATTTGTTGTACTGCCAATCAGGCTACCTCAGTTTTTACCCCATCAGTGGTTGCAGAAGTATATCACACTGAACACGTTGGCTCAGAAGCACAGGAAAAATATAACGAACAAAATAATCTTGAGTTCGCTCTGCGCTGAATCAGATGGGTAGTGGAGGCAGAATCCGAACCTGCTCTCTCGGTGTGATCAGATTCTGCCTTAGTTGATTACTGTGGATGGAAAGAGCGCTATTCTCACTTACCATATCAACCACAAAAAAAATAAGAAGGTAGAAAGAAGTATTGATGTCAAATCTGAGGAAATGGGCGGTTGCTCGATTGCGGGACAGATCCATGTGTGACTCGCCACATAGCCACCGAGCAGACCGAAAAACAGCGCAGTGGCCCCTAACAATTTGCAAAAGATAAAATGTATCGATATACCTTCCGTGTTTCAGGGTTTCCTCATACACTGGAATTGAGGTACGAAAGCGATGATAGTCCATAGGAGGCTATAACTGCTTTCAGTGATTAGACAAAAGCCATAAAACGTTTGGAAGGGTCGAACCTAAGCCAGGTGTCTGCTGAAGGAATCATAGCAAAGTGGGAAACCGGGTAGTGTTAAAATAGGAATGTAAATCTAGGAAAGGGACATGAAAACTGCCGATTTCTGCGTTCGAAAGTATGTGACAACGAATAAGAAGACTATGAGCTCTAATTATAAGAGAATGAGAAAAGGCAGTTTGTTATTTTTGATGGGAATATTTTTTAATTATAGCTCACACAAGTTTGCATCAAAGGAACTTTAGAAGCCATAGTTACTAAAAACGAGAGCCTTAGTATTAGTTAGGATGGGGCGTAGCCGCTGAAGTCCTTGAAGAATTACAGGCGTTGGATAAGTAGAGGAACAATCTACTAGGGATGGACAGTAAGACATTTGATTGGATCTTAATGGCGCCTTTTTTAAGTTTATGGCTTTGTGCTTTACTGCATTTGAGGAGTACTTAGTAAGATCACACATAAAGCCTTTCAGCAATAAGCTTACGGTCCTTCGACGATCCCTTCTCTATTGCTCCAGTGAATCTTTTCAATCATGTCGAATGTAGTTTAAGCAGGATTGCCTATTTCTAATGCGGACACATGTAGCAATTCTCGACGTATTGCGTCTTGATTGGTACACCGTTCGAGAGTCCAGTCTCGAGTTGTTAGGTGCTTAACCCAATTAGATTATAGTTCCTAAATATCATCTACTTACCTAAGAACTAGTGTAATTATATTCTGGAACCAATCCTTTAATAGCGAACTCGATATGTGCATCTTGCTATAGTTCGGGGATAGTAGTAGAAGTCTATAAAGGTCTGCTGGCACTATAAAGCTCCTGGATAAGCCCGATATAGACACCAAGTCGCTCCTTATGTAAGTCAGGGCTATAATATACGATATATTTAAATATATTTTCCCGGCTTTCCTTAGCACTAGTAGTTATTAAGTTCCTTTCGACATTAGGGAATACGGCGTGTAGCTATTGATGAGTATCTTGAAAAGGAATACCTTTGTCGTTAAGGCTAATTTGGCAATATGAACGAACTTGACATTCATAGGGACAGTGACCGCATTAGAGAGTTGTAAACTCCGAAAAATCCGCAGAAGCACCAGGTGTGTGACAGCATCTCATCCCTGCTTGGAGAAGAAGTGAGCCCTTTGAACGATACTCTGAAGGAGAGGTCGACATGTTGAGACGGGACGAGATAGGGCGTGTTGGTACTTTGATCAAAGACTGTGCGCTCTAGATGTGATGCAGCTAATACTATTGATTTCTAGTCTTGTGTTTTATTGAGTAAAATTATACTAGTAGGTAAACAATGATGCTGTGAATGAGAGACTTCGCTTTATAGCTTATGTAGAATCAGAAAAAGCAGCGCTACGTTGAGGCTACCCGATCCCGAGTTACGGTCTACTATTTTAGATCATGCGTTGACGAGATCCACGCGAATATTTTTACCATTGCCCACTTTTCCCGCGGCACCATGGGAATGTGAGGCTTTGGAGCCGAAATAGTGACCCTTCCCTTATAATGTTTGGCTCGGGTTTCGCGGGCTTTCATCAAATTTAGGTATGAGATACGTCCATGCCATGCATATGCTATCACAATATGAAACAGTTTAACTGCACCCGATATCGGCAAATGATGCTCAGGGGGACTAATTGTGGTACCTTCAGCACCCGGGATTTGGGGATTTCGACTGATATCCCGAGCCCGAAGGGACAATCTTCGGCTGGCACTTCGAGAATAAGCAAGATTTTCGAGAATAAGCAAGATTTCACAATGGATATTCAATTCGGGCAATGAGGCCCAGCGGAAGTGAGCATTATATCAGATGATGGCTCGATATCTAAATATTAAAAAAAATACATAACGCGACGTCGAAATGGCTCCCGTGATAATCTAGCTAGCTGAACACTCAGGCTTTAGGCGCAAAGGACCACACCAACAAGGCCCGTTGGTAAGGGCAGAACATGGCTAACAGTTTTACTTCAAGGTCCCATCGTACTAGTAGAGAAGCCTCAGCTGTTTTTGATACAAATTCCCCCGGGCAAGTGGCTTCAATCCTCAAAGCACTTGAGCTTTTCGGGGAAGCAATTACCATCCGGTGAGGGGGACAGTCTCCAAACCTAGGCTGGGTAGGAATATGCGGTGGCCGGCTCATTAGCCCTTCCATCATCACCATGCTGTATGTCCTCCATCCACCACCAGATTACTTCCAGTCATGAAGCTGCTCGCATTGCTCAACAGAAACAGTGCAGCGCCCTTGAACTCGCTCGTTTGAGCCAACCGCCCCATCATATTCTCTTTGCACCACAACTCCTCAGTTTCCGGGTCTTCGTCTAGAATCTTCTGCACCATGGGGGTCATTATGTGTCCCGGACTGAGCGAATTGACGCGGATACCGCCACTTCCATCCTTTTTCACCTTGCTCCATTCCATAGCCAGACTGCGCGTCAGCTGGAGCACAGCCGCCTTAGACGAGTTGTATACAGGAGATTTCATGCCCTTGTTAGCGATGAGCCCAGACATGCTCGCAATTAGGCAAATGCTGCCGTGGCACTTGTACTCCATCATCTTGCGGGCCGAGATGGTTGCCGTCATCAGTACGGCCGTGTAGTTGGTCTTGAGCATCTCGTTGGCGTCTTCTGGCTCGTACTTGGTTGCTGGCGTCACTTGGTTAATACCCGCTGCCGCGATCACACCATTGAGACGGTTGTTCTCTTTGGCGATTTGATCGATGACTTGTTCTAGGTTTTCTGTATCTTGCACGTCTACTTGGCGGTATTCTAATGATCCTCCCCACTCCGGCACCACGCGCTGCAAGGCCTCGTCCCATTCTTCGTCAGGGCTTTCTGCGCGATCTAGGCAGTAGACTGGGCGAGGTTAGCTTCAAGAATGGCTTAGAAGGTCTGTTTCGTTCTAATTCAATTTTTAGAAGATTCACTCACCTCTTCCCCCTGCCTCGACCAAGGCCTCAGCAAGAGCAAGGCCAAGGCCACGAGCACCGCCCGTCACGATGAATGTCTTTCCGGCGAGATCAAAATCCGCAAAGCGCTTCCCGCCAAAAGCCGTCTCCCGCGGTAAGCCAACAGCATTAGGTGATGGCTTATCTTGGTGGTGCTGGGAGGTTGTTGCGAAACAACGCCAAGGCTGTGATTCGTGCCTGTGAGGCGCAGTGAGAGAGCTCGAGAAAGGGCGTGTCCCTCGGCATCGCATTTGGCTAGCTATCGCCATTCGAATGCCGATCTTCGAAGTATAAACAAAGTTTCGCTTCATTTTGACTATGTGTTTCAAGGTTCCCAAGAAAGAACAGAGTAGTTTAGGCGTGTGACTTGACTTGACTTGCGGTTGAGTAGGGGTGTGTTGTCCTTACATACTTCAATCCAGGTCGAGACGTTTATTAGCCAGACATGCGCTAGTATGGCATAAGCTTGACGTCAACGTTGTTAGGAAAAACCTGTATGCGTTTGCAGATCTCCCTCGCGCCTACGTAAATTGCACATTTGCGGGTAGGAGAAACAGGGCCGAGTCCTTCTTTGCGCATATCGGATTGGGTACTTTGCCGGGTTAATTGGGACGATCTGCAGTGCTAATTTCCTGTCGTCGATATTTCGTCCGACATCCCAGTTAGTCTCCCTTCTAAACATGCATCCCCCACATAATTCTTTGGTGAATGACGTTGCAGCCAGGTAGATCTATCTTTCCATTTTATACGAGAGATGGTTGTCTCGGTCTGTAGGCCAGTGTGGAGAGCCAATGAGCGACCATGAGCCTGAAATGAATGCAAGGCGGGGAGGTCGACCTCAAATGTCCTCAATACACCATATACACCAACACCCCCTTCCCGATAAGAGCTCGTGTAGCTATCTTGACAAGGTCTTGTTGTGTTAAATACTTTATAATTAATTCGTCCCAGAGGGCAGATGATCTTCAGCAGCAGTCCATTCTAACAAGGGCCACCGGGCCTTATAGGCCATCCTGCTACTAAATGCTATCACTGTAAAAAAACAAATCTATTATATAAAGTACATCAAATCCATTGATTCCACAAGTTTGACGCTCTCTCATGTAAATTCCTTGTTTTAAAGCACCTCACAACCCGGCGCTCTTGCTAAAACCGGGAACGCTAGGTTCTATCTAATTTGCTGCGCTACCGCGCGCTTTAAGGCTCCGCCCTTGCTTCTTGGGAGCATATTTATGGTAGTCGGCAAGATAAAGGCGGCCTTCGAGGCCTCGTCCTTTCTTGGGGGCATATTTGTGGTAGTCGGGAAGATAGAGCGGCCTTCGAGGTCAAGCTCATCCAGCTCCTCTGAATCACGCTTGCCATTGGCAGCTAGAACCATTTGGGCCTTGGTCTTCTCGAGACTTCCAAACAACAATCGAGGCTCGAGGCCGTCTCTCTCAACCAGGTCGACATCGTCGGTGGCTTGATCGATGCTTAAAGCCAGACCCTGGTTGGCAAGGCCAAGCCAGACTAGGACTGCGAGGCCCAGCCGTGTAGCGCCGACCATCTTGAATGCTGGTTTAAAAATCAAGATCACGATAGAGGCTGAATTAAACAATGAAGAGCGCTGATTTGAATATGGAGCCAAGAGTGTTTGAATGAAAACAAAGGACTTAAGGAAAATGAAAAGATGCCAGCGCCTAAGAGTGAATTGCTGTTTATTTAATGCAAGGTACGTATTGGTGAGAAAGGCGGACAGAGTTCTCAGGAGATGACTTCGTGGTTTTATATTTGCAACTTATGTCAAAAGAAAACCTTGGATTGAGTGCTTGCTTTTCTTAAATTAGCAGTTAAAATAGCACGAGAGAATGCAGTCTCATAATTGAAGCCTTTCGCATGGGAGCCAATGATGAATGGGATACGTAGGTAGACAAGGCTATATATAGATTAAGTCAGCTCCCTCCACTCTAGGATAGGAGCTTGTCGCTATGTCCATCATATAACAGGGATAACGCTGCAACAAAAGACATTAGTTGATTTATAAAATGGTAAGGTGAGCAATCAGCCTATTTGTTCACTGGTATATGACAAGAAGGTCAATAATAGCCTTCTATAGAGCTAATAAATTACCTTTTAATAAGTTCATATGTTGAGCGAGGATTGGACACATGTTGGTCGGCATGTGACTCTCGTTGTACCAGACTTCATCATCCCGCGTTTTCAAGTGGCCCGTAAGCGGATATAATTTCATCACATTGCTAGATCAGGTGAGGTGTTGCAAGAGCAAGATAGTAAAGCCTATGTATATCTCCCTTTAAGAAACGGGGAGGTCCTTGTTTTTTGTAGGAATTCTATGGGCACGGAACCTGGGTTATGGCCTTGATTAGTGCCAATTATACTTCGCTTCACGGCAAATCAAATGGTTAAGCTCTATTTGGCATCACATCAAATCAAACAGTTAAGCCGCGCGCCATAGTTATAAGTCGCTATTGTACGAGATCGACTCTAGTATTGATAATACGTACTTCCCTACATATGCTGCCAGCGGCGTGGGATCGGTCATTCGTGCTCTATCCCAGTCCATTCCCCAGCTGGCAACCCACAAAGCCATACAAGTAGTGAGCGGTAAGGAGCCATCTCGGACTCTACAAACAATACAGGGCAACACCTACTGGCTTAACCTGTCTATCCACGCTAATCCCTTTCATTGTTGAAGAAAGTCAAATCCGATTATCTGCGCCCTCGAACATGACCACGACCAAGTTCTCTCTGCATTGCTGCGCGCTATCGACTAGCTAGGTCGGCCGTAGGCACCCATCCCCTCCACAAATCGGTACCCGCTATGAGGTAGGCAGTTTCACGATTGGCAGAATTTGGTTTAGGAGCTTCTTCTCCTTTGTTGGCAAGCGTGTGGCCCCGGCAGTGGGATACACGAGTAAGCATTAGCACGATCCCATTCTTCCCTCGCTTGTGGTCCTCGGGCGAAATACACACCTGAACGTCATGCTCCCGGAGCAAGGAGCGGATGGAGTTAGTTGCGGTATTGGATGGGGCGCAGACGAGTACTTCCTGACCCTGTGACCAAGTTGAAAACTAGCGTGGTTAGAGTGAGTGTCTTGCCAGTGCCCGGAGGACCGTGGATCAGAGCGACTCTGTTGCCGAGACCAAGTTTTCTCGCCTCCTGCTGACATCTATTCAACCAAGGCGATCGAGTTTGCAATCGAACACTTCGAAGCTCGCCCTCAGAATATAATTGCTTCTTCCCAAGTCGGTTTTGACCTAGCAGATATGTTTGGAAGGTCGAGTCCATACGCTTTTGGGTCCAAAAAGCGTCCCAAGGCCTTCAATTAGCGTAAGCAGGATTCTTGGTGGTGTTTAAAATCTAACGTGTAGGTCCCCGGTTTCAAGAATTGCTTCTCAGAGTCGTATATTTCGAAAGCTATGACCTTCCTTCCTCTCACTGGGTGGACGGTCGGTGATCTTGATTGTAATAGACACTGCCCGTGCAAGACTCTGGCTTTCTAGAAACGCATGATCTCCATCCCGTGGCCTTTCTTTCCGGGCATCCAAATCAAGAATCCACCTGATGGACTGCTTTGACCCAATCTGAACTTCTTGACGCATGGCACCCTTCGCCTCGGAGCTTTTTTGCATTTCTATCTGAAGTAGTGGCTTGAAATGCTGCAGTAATCATTGGAGCTCTGAAATTTGAGGAGGACCTCGCTATCGTCGTCCGTCCATTGGCCAAGGAGAATCTGCACCCTTATGTCGACGTAAGAAGCTGTTGGCGAGAGCATGGAACAAGCGAGTTCCTCTAGCAAGGCGTGGTTGTCGATGAGGAAAGTCAAAGGACTTTTCCTGATAAATGCAACACCTCCTGCATAAGACTTGGTCCATAGGCTCCGTGGGTATACTCTTCTCCTTGAGAAAATCCAGATGGAGTAGATGTCGATGGTGACACTTTAAACATTTCAAGTCCTTATCGTCATCCTGGAGCATATCGAAGTCTAGACCTATAGATATGGTCGACAATGTGAGATACAACCGTGCAATGATGGGAATTACAGTAGTATGTTGGCGGTTTGCAGCGCTGGCATAAAAGCAGATGTTTATGGCCCCTATGATCACAATAACTAGAAATTGTTTCAGATATTGGCCATACATGCCCCATGTTTTTACGGTGACTCACCCGCATGATCCACGGGCAGCCATTTCGTGACAAACATGTGACGATGAAACCGCTACCATACTTAGGAAGCAAGATAGGCGATACTTCTTCGCACAGGAAATTCAAAGACCCGTAAGATCCAACATGTACTTATTCAACTCGAGCCGTGGTCATGCGAGCGATTGTCTGAAGCAGATCCCAACAAACTGCATTTTTATTCCAAAAAACCACCACCTCGATGCCTGACTCCAGATTGAAAACGCGCAGAATGAGTGCTGACTGTATGCCCGCCCGTTACGCCTTGCTCTACGCCCTGAGGGCTGTCATGCGGCATAAATATAAGCCGGGCTGACGTGGGTCGTTACCCTCTCAAGGCACTGTTGCAGGCACTCTCACAGGCTCTGTCTGCCCTAACCATTTCTCAGGCTCTTGTGGGCACTATTACAGGCACTGCTGTTGAGGCTATCCATATACGAGCACATCAGAACTCATGAATAAGAAGTCTCCCCTTTAGAACTACAGGGTTATATATATACCACTCAGAGCTTATTCGCTAAATAAACTTCCTAGAGTGGCTGATAACAATGATCAAATTTCTGGAACCCAGGATAGCCAGAAGCCGTCCAGGTATGATGCAACACAGTATCTATAAAGACACGTCCGAGCTTCTTGAACATTTCCAAAAAATGTGAGGGTGGTGCTCAAGTACCATCAACTTTATTGTTGATGCTAAACATGTGCCGGGGTTGTATCTCGCGTTGCTTGTTATCGAAAACCCTGGTGGCACCTACAAACGATGGCAACCGAGAGCGAGCCGACTTTGGAATCCTTTCATGGATATTGCGGCCATACTGAGTACCTCAAGATATCCCGCGATGACAGACTCAAGCCCCGGCGCCGTCAAATCAGCGATAGCTGCAAATGTGAAGAGTTCAAAGTGGACGAGGCAAAACTGCACCATATTATCAGTGGGAGTCATGCTCTCACCATCATGCTCTCATTGTGTGGTAGCTCCTGAGAGCCACTGAAAATTGTGCCGATTACATCACAAACTCGTGACTATATCAGAATATCGTATGTCTACCTATTTATAGTTTCACCCAATGACCCACTGCCGACTGAAAGATGCTGTAGACGCAATACTAAGATACATGAAAGGAACCAATAACGATAGAGGGGGGTGGCTAAATTCTGGCTTGATATTCTCTGCGTCCCGTAAGATGAGGACAAGTACAGCCAATCTAAACGGTCCGCCCTTGACTCTATCCCGAATATTTGTGAGAATGCAAGCCTCGTCCTTGTCATTGTTCACCAATGAATCTACCAAGATTCCGGGCTTAGAGGTCTTTAACAGCTTGTTTATGGCTCTCGAGCACTGAAACTACAGGGACTAGGAAGATGAAGCGCTCTGCGCTCACCCCTTCACAGATGTCCACCAGAGATCAACTGGAATCTTAAATCAGACATGACTCAGGGACAGATGACAAAGGAAGAGTTATCTCGTCGTGTTGCCGGAGAAAGCATAACACAGCCGTTTCTCTGGCTGAAAGAATTTCCCTTCGCTCTCATTTTCTGCCAGGGTCTGAGGGTTGAGAAACCCACCTTCAGATGACTTCCTTGCTACTTCATCGCCCGCTCAGTACAGTGCCGCAGCTCGATCGAAACTACGCCTAAAATAATTCACCACCAGGTCTCAGAAATATAACACTAAGCCTTGGGGATACATTAACGCGATCCGTGACATGGATGGGCTTCTGTTCAAGGCCCCTGCGGATGTTTTCACTTTGGATACACGCGGTGACTCCATATGCTGGAAAATTCATCTCCACGTCCTCTGCTATGTCTCCCGGGGCTGGAAAAGGGCCGAAGTTTGAGCATTTACGCATGGAAAAGCGCATGGAAAGGACAAAATGGGAACAATAGCTGGAGAGCAAAGATGTCATGCCAGGGGACCAAGGTTGGAAGAGACTCTACATGGTGAAAAAGAATGACATACTGGCACTTATAAAAATGACTGCAGCGCAATACCCAACCAAGAGGGTATCCTTTTGAGAATCAAGAACCTATCCTAGCTCAATACGAAGAAGCTCGAAACCGAGTTCATATGTCGTGTGCATATTGGGAACGGCAGAGCAAAGGAAAACTGCCCAAACGGCATGAAGACGCATCCTTCGAAAGCGAAACATTAAATACTGAAATACTGAAGTAAAAGCCGTTTTCAATCCAAAGACGGATCCAGAACGGCTAGGTAGTCGCTCAAAACAAATCATATTATGTCCAAGAAGGAGCCCATAAGTCTAAGAAACAGAAGCACAAGAGAAACAAGAAAGAGACCTTTGTAGAAGTTTCTATAACAGAAGATAGGGATGCCATTATTCCAGCTTCAAATGCGTTCAGGATGTTGGATATAGAGTGGTGGAGCAATCGGTAAGTACATGTAATAATTTATAGTTAACATTTAATAATTCTTTCTTTTAGTTTTCTTATTCAAAATTTCCGATTCCTATTCAAATTAAACGAGCCATTTGATTTATAAATTACCTAGGGAGATACTGAGCTGCCCCAACATATCTGGCTGGATGAGTGAGGGAAAAACGTACACACAGGTTAGATAGTCAGCTAGCCCTAATCCTTATGCCGTGCCCCTTCGGCGAAGACTATTTCTAGAACGCTCATTGGTTCTCTTCCACTCAGGCTTATTTTTAGAGATCGCTCGTTTTAGACGGAAGACAGCTAGGTCAGCTCTTTGCAAATTGAGGTCTGCGAGTCAAACATGCCTCACAAAACCCACATGTAACAACGAAGCAGCATAGCTACCATCATTCATTTCTTGAACCCACAAGATAAAAGCTGGGCCCTGTGTTAGCCATCCGCCTTGCCCGTGTCTCCATCCTCTCAATACGACTAGTGACGTTCTCAAGGTCACTCTCAATCTGTGCCCGGCCATCCTCAGCGCGCCTACGGGAAGGCGGCTCCTCCTCCATTTTGCCAGCCTGTCGGCCTGTGGCAGAAGACGTTCCGGCTTCATCATCCTGGGCGCTCTTCTCACTACACTCTTCTCTCAAACGCTGCTCCTCGCCCTGGCGTTCGATCCGGAGTGCCGTCTCTATGCGCATCCGCATAGCCTCCCGATTTGTCTCTTCTATAATGACGGCGCCATGGCAGCGCTTGTAGACGCCTAGGGCCGTCCAGAAAATACCATTTACTTCATAGGCGAATAATATCGGTAGTGCGCGATGCAGATGCGGATTGCAGCCGCTTGACCAAATATCTATAAGCGCCTCGTAAACATTATGGGCAGGCAGGACATATCCCCAGTAATAGAACGAAGGTGAAAGGGCGAAAGGTAGTATAATTGAGGTGACATTAATTACGACCCAGGTGATAAGAGCCATTGGGACGAATTGCACCGGTAGCCATATAGTGAAGATGTCTAGCATCAGGAAGTTGACGTGAGCAAAGAGCCATAGGATTAGCCAGGTCAGAGCAAACTGGGCGCCTGACACGTTCCATCCGTCCCGAAAGGCCCATATGGCACAAGTAAGGAGCAGCGACCCGAGCATGGTGAACAAGATCGAGATGATGTCACGGACGAGAATGATCCGTACGGGGGATATTCTCGTGTAGACTTTGAACTCGCCGTAGAGTGCATTGAGTGTGGCAAGAAAGAAGAAATCTTGGATCAGAACTAGTACGATGACGATTGTGTTGTAAACCGTGCGGGTGCCTTGTGCCGTCGGCTGTATGTCACTGGATGATAGAGTCCATGGGTTTGCAAAGGTAGACAGAGCAGCGCCATTGTTGGGAGGGAGAGTTGACAGGGCTGAGCTGCCATTGAGCGCCACATAAGCCACGCGGGCAGCGTCAGAGAGTGTATGAAGATTGCTAGAAACAAGACTGTCCACAATAGTGGGATACTTGGCCTCATTCCAGATAAACGAGAGTACGTCCGATGCATTGTATCGTGATGCGTTGGCCCCCGAGATGGCTAGGCCAAGCCGGTCGGAGGCCCCTGGAGACGTGTACAATGCGGCCCAGTAGTCAGTCTTGCAAACAGCTCTTCTAACGTCTCTTTCCAAGGGAAAATCGCGAGTTGATCTCTCAATCAGGTTGGGAAAGCCATCTGATTTCAGTCTCTGGTACGCATTGCGCACGGCTTCACCAATCACACCACCGTCGTAATCGACCCAAAGAACGTTCAGGTTGTGTGCCCGACGTCCCTCGTGGTACAGTGATGCAAACAAATAACAAAAGAGACCGAAAAATAAAAGTAGAATCAGCCAAAAATTGATCAGGGCTGCTTTGAAGAACTTGCCGCGAATGGCCCTGATATCCGGATGTGAAACGGGAAGCCGGTTTTCCCACGCGCGAGGGTAAAATCTGCGAGCTGGCGACGCTTGCATGATTGAATGGATGGCATAGTAAGGATATTAAGGAAGACATCCATTCTCACATTGACTGACCACCGATCCCCCGCCCCTTTGTAAGTGGAGTGTTCCCGGACATGCCGCTGGAGGGATGGTCGAGGTTCCAAATTCCAGAATCAAGGACGTCACCCTCGACTAGGGGCGGGTCTAATTTCGATGGGCTGAGACTAACTCAAAGTTTATTTTGGTCTTGCCCTTACGTTGGCTTTTCGCATTGTATTCCGGAATACACCGTCTAGGGAAATATTTAACCCTTGGCCCTAAGCATCAATGTTATTAGCTAATAAGGCTGGTAACGTGATTTCAGTGAATTCTATCTTAGCAAAGGAAAAAAAAAGAATTTAAGCTGCAAAGAGTAAAGGCAATTTTCACTCAAATCTCCTCTTGCAGAAGATAACGCTTAGTGAACTTGACCAACAAAAAGATGTGAAAGCAACAGACAGTCAATACGTTGTCGGCGACTTTCAAAATCCCTAGTACGGCAAGACTGATGAGTCCAGTGGGCTGTTTTCCCCAAGCTCATATCCTCCAGTGTCGGTACAAACCTGATTGAGCTCGAGATTCACGAAATCAAGGTGCAGTCAATGTTTGAGAAGCGAACAAGCGAGGCTAGCTTCCCCCACCTTGCGTAGTTCTCTTTTGCGAACAGCGTGTCAAACTTCAGCTTGTGGTCATGGCAAGCTTGTTCAAGATAAAACGTTTCAGCGAGTCATGATTTCCTGCCTTGCAAATTTCTTTACCCAGTGGTCTGGTGTCAACTCCATTCTCTGTTATGCTACTGATGTAGGCGTTTCTCTTTTATGATATGTGCCCTAATAACACTGAATAACACACGTATAGATTTTCGGCTGCTGGTGTCGTTGGAATCATCATGCTGGTTGCCACTTGCCACTCTGATGTGCGTTGGTCGGATCGATTTTCCAATGCGGATATTCGGCCACAGTCGTTGCCAGAAAAGGGCACCGCCATCGTCTAGCAGCAACGCCTTTAGTCTGTAGAGGCCTCAATGTAATTATAGTGTGCAATTTAAGACGACTGGTCGGTTTTGTAGGGGAGCTTGCCACCTTGAAAATATTGGGCGGTGCTGCAGGAGAAGGAAGTACTTCTCTGGGAGGACCTTACCCTTACCAATTTGGCTCTTCGGTTTTCAACCAATCTCTAGCCAGGTTGTGTCAATCATTGCAACCATTGACCACCGCCACGTACCTTGCAGAGAAGAGCACCACTCTATTGACCGAGATAAGTCGAAGTCGGAACTGAGTCTCACAATGAACCTGGATACAATTCCGTTAGCTGAAGAACTGGTGCAGCAGCTCTTATCATATATATCAGACCAAAATGATCTAGAAGGAGCCTCTCCAAGTTCGATAACGGCATAGAGGTTGTGTTGTTGGTTAATAGCTTGGGAAGCATTTCATACCTGGAGATGGGCGGCTTGGTTGATGAATTATTGTAACAGCCCGAGAGCAACTGGGCCGTCTAACTAGTCCGCGTATACTTGGAAGTTCTAGAGTCATCCCTCCAAGCTCCAGAGTTCTCGCTCTCATTAATTAACATTTCGACAACTCCCAATAGTTATTACTTTTCTGTGGCCTTTCTTGACGTCGAGACCGGCGCCCACTGGGAAGGTATGGAAGGCTCTCAGATCATGCGCACAGAAAGACAGGTGCATCTCATATCATCCTTGGCATTACCAAGCCTCTAACTGAAAACGAAGATGAGGTTGTTCTACGCATCGATAAGCATGTTATGGTTGAGGCAGTGGATGAGAACAAGATGGGCGGCACGCTAGGCGACATTTTGAGTGTTTTCCTTGCTGCCTTGACAAATGGAGTCCGTAATCAAGGTTCTTCCAGAATTGCTTCCAGTCTATCTTGTCTCTGGGGCCCAGTATTATTAATACTTTCAATATTACAACTTCAAGAGTATATATTGGCGTGAATTGGCGATCGCGCGGTAGTGGAAGTTTTGACACCATTCGCTGCAGGATGACATAGGGTGGTTTCGACCAAGCTGTAGCAGTTGCCGTCAGAGGAGCGGAAACGACGAGGTTGCTGGGAGCGACAGTGAGTCGTTCAACATGTGTTGGGGCCAGTCAAGAATTGAAGCAACTACCACTAGATGTAGGCGCTTGAGAGATTATGGAAGCTATTCGTGGCCTCAAGCCTGTTCTTTTAGTCCTTAGAAATAATAGTATGAATTGCCTCTGCTAGAAGCTCTAAGCTGCAAATCATAACCAAGCTAGCATCTGTATCTAATGTTTTTCAATATTTAGATGTTATACGCTGCACATCCTTGGTCTTCCAAACCTTCCCTTCGCCATTGATAGACATCATATCGATGCTATCCCGGTCCGTGCCTCCTCCTCCACCTGTAACCTTGGAGAAGACCCAAACTTTGCCACCTGAGCCGCTTGCATCAACTTCGGCTACCATATCGACCACTTCCATGCGGAAGTTGGGCATGAATTGCTTCGCCTTTGCCCATCCAGAAAGAAATTGCTCAAGCCCTTCGGACGCAGCATAGCTTTCATGCGTGACAGACAAATCCGCGGAAGCCACGGTTCGTGCCTTGCTAGGGTCGTTAGGATCCTCAAGAGCCACCAAGAAGTCTCTGGCGATCTTTTTGAGCTCAACGCAGGTAGTGATTGCCATGGTTATATGACTGATCTATTGGTCTAACATTGGGTTAGCGTTGATGGAAGAAATGCAGATTTGACAAAGAGACACACTTTACTTGGTTTCTGTAGATATTGCTCGTGTTATGTGTTTTGGTTATATGTGTCGCGTACATCAAATTCAGCATGGCCTCGAGGGACATAGCTATTTATAAGACACTTCCGCCATACTTGCATCGATGTTTGAGTGGCTTTACTACATGTATTCGAAGATACACACTCGCTGGTATGGAAATAGCGGACTTAATCTCGGTCTTTGAACTTTTTGCCATGAAAAGAAGATCCCTCCTAACGGAATTGACGTGCTGGAAATGGCTTGAACTGATCTGATTCCTCGAGAGACCTGAATCGGAAGGTTCGGGTCAATCGTTTGCTTCATCGGATTATAGTTTTGGATCCTTACGGAGAATCAGTTTCAGTAGTTTAGCGTTGAACAAAGGGCAGAGATCCACCCGCTCCTCTTTAATTATTAAACTGCCAGATCAGACTCTAAACAACATCGACTAGGATAGTAACAAGTCCAACAGGCGACAGCACGCAAATGTGCGGTAAAGGGCGGAACATTTCACCAGAAGCACAACTAGATCGATACTGACCGAGCGTAGGGAAATGTGATTATTACTGCATCTAGTACGTATATGAATGGGCTGGTTTGGGGGCCAAGTAACATGTACGGAAGTGTACACATGTAAGGGCAGAGATACGGGGCATGGCAAGATGAACTGCGTACTCTATAGTCCAGGCTGCCCGAGGTGGTCCTCTCTTTGTTGCGCGCTTTGCTCCAAAACTCCCCGCGATGATGATATACAGGATCGCGATAATAAATCCAGATAACTCCTTTCGTGATCATTGACATTCGTCAATTGACCAAATACACTAACTAGGCTTCGCAGTTGCGTCAGAAATGCACCTCCAAGCGCTCTGTTCTCGTACAAGAACTCGGCAGTGACGAATAGAGGTATGAACATGAACGGATGGACCTGAAATTTGGATATTAGACTGTGTGCCATCAAGGATGCAACGATAGGCTAGGACTGAAGAGGGGTTGGGAAAGTGGCAAATATTTATCCAGACTTACCATAGAGAAGTGCAACGCTGTGAGGTCTTTGGCGAAGCGCACAATCTTCTCCGTGGCTCTAAGAGCCCGACAACGATATTCTTGTACACAAATTTCATTCGAACTGTCTTTGTTCATTGTCATCAGGCTTTTACAGAATAAAACCTCAGTCACCTGTCCAAGGATTTGAGCAAAAGTCCCTAAACGATCATTATCATTTCTTTGACGTAGGGCCTGGTTTCGTGTCGCAAGAACAAGGTTCATCCAATCGCCGTGGTCGATATGGATCTGCCCAGAACCACCGTAAGCTCTGGAAATGGTGCCGTGGACATCATGTAGCAGCCCACGGCCGCTGAGTGTTGCGATGATGATGCACTCGTTGAATGAGCAAGTATCTGGGGAGGGCGGTTCGGTTACGGCTTGAGATAAGAAAACACTTGAGTCGAGCTGAGCAGCCTGGAAAGCAGGATCGGAAATTGGTAACCGCGTGCAGATCTGATGGAGTTGGACAAATTAGCCTTGAAGATGTTCATGTGCACATCCTGGGGGGGTTGCATCTTGCCATATGTTCACTTAGTGTGACTGGCCAACGATTTCGGATGCTGAGCAGATGGTCAATAAAAAAAGCCATCCAGAATACGCGGCGTTTCTCTTCCGTTCGAATAGGGTCAATAATTCCCTCTGACGCTACGGGGTCCTTGCTTGGACTGTCAATCTCGTGATAGCGTAACCCCTGAAGTAGCCGGAACATTCGTCCTGCACTGGCCCAAGCCTGTCCATACAAGGCACGCATCAGCTCACAGACGGTCAGAAGTGTCCAAGCTTGAACGAGTTCTAACTGGCATGGGCCAGTATCCATAATGATGGGGTCAATATCCTGCCTTACTCGGCTATATAATGGATTAATCAAGTCACGGGATTGTGTAGATAGTAAAATAGCAAGGATCCACATGACCTGTTGCAAACAAGTTTGGGAAGGAGACTTGGCAGTTGACTTGGACCATCCTAGATAACGTCGCTTGTGGAGAATGGGGAAAGATGGGTGGACTCGGTCAAAGTACAACTGGTCTCTAAGAAGTGGTATGAGTTGCTGTGTGGTCAAGCTCCATACCTATCGGCCAGGGGGCCGTGTAAGAGGTAGGTATAGTAGAGGATGCGTCTTCTTACAGTTCGGCGTGGGTACGACGGTCAATCTGAGGAAGCGATAATGCTAGATCAGAAAAAGGAAATGTTTCCAAACCCAAGGCATCGGAATCACCATCCATTGAAGGCCCGGAGAACATGAAGGCTTGCGGCAGAGGATCAACATAGCCAACATCACCTGTCATAAAGTCGGCTGATTGTGATGCATCTGTCGAGTCAAGGCTATGGTACAACCCCTGTGTATGCTCCTGCGGACGTTGCTCGGAGTTAAGCCGGTTCTGCAACGTTTCCTCAAGCTGCATAAGACGATTGCGGAGGGCGTTTAGATGACCTCGTTTGGGGCCTCGTTTTCCCGCCGGAGACACCTCGCATGGAACGCGGGCTCTCTGACACAAGCCACATTTGGGTTGCTGTGCATCGCAGCGGACCTTTCGCCGCTGACACTCCTTACATGACCTAGCAGGACGTTGTAGGGTTGACATCACGTCTTGAATGACTCATTGATGGATAATGAAGGAGGAGGGTTCAAAGAGGGATTTGTAAGGGGATGTTCCGATGCTTGTTACGCGTGGGGGCCGCCATCAATATTATAAAAACATTAGTCCGGGAGAGTAAAACTATTTATCCGAGAGCCACTTTTCTGTCCACTCAGATATCCACGTCCTCGGATGCGCGGCAGACTTACTTACTTGTTTCGTGGTAGACTGTCAAAGCACGGGGGATTCAAAATTGCCGTCGGCAAGGGTCTGATGCTACACTGTGTTGAGCAATAGGAACAAAGTGCCAGCCCGATACGGTCAAGAATTCACCAAAGAGAGCATAAATTTCAGTTTCTCTAGTATGAATTAATTTGATGTTCATAGCTCTTCGCCACACTCGTGTCCATACGGCCTCATATTTCATCATGCTTGACTTTGAAAACAAGATCATCGTTATCACGGGAGCCGCAGGTGGCATCGGTCAGGCAGTCGCTCTTGAGCTCGCCGCAGCCGGTGCCATCATCGTCATGGCTGATATTCAAACCGGGACGCAGGAAGTCGTCGCCTCCCAAATCAAGGCAAATGGCGGCCAGGCTTTTTCGTACCACTGCGACGTTTCCAGTGATGAGTCTGTATCTAAGTTCGCAGCCTCTGTTCTGGACATCATCGGAGTTCCCGACATCCTTTATAACAACGCTGTCTTCTTTCGAACTGGTGGAATTCTCAACATTGATCTCGACATTCTCCGGCGCGAGTTTGACGTCAACGTCTTGGGGTATATACGAATTGCACAAAGTTTCTTGCCCGCCATGATTGACCGGGGGTCCGGCTGGATCGCCAACACGGCGTCACCAAATGCCTTTGTTCCACCACAACCTGTAGCCGAGGGCATGCTGGGCTATTGCATTACAAAGGGAGCTGAGGCCGCTTTGACTCAATGCATGGCTAAGTCGCTCATGTCCAAGGGTGTCGGGGTCAGTCTTGTAATTCCTGATGTTACCTATACCGATTCGGCCCTCAATATCTCCGGAAATGCCTCGGACGAATGGCATGAGAATTTCAAAAAATTCTTCACGAAAATCAGTCGCCCAGCAGGAGATGTAGCAAAACTACTTGTTCAAGGCCTGAGAGAGGAAAAGTATCTCATTAGCGCACATCCTAGGTTCGACAAAGTTCTCCGCGAATGGGTGCAGCACGATCTGGATCCCCATCGCGATTATCTTCGACGTCAGAATTAAGGGACAATACGCGTTTTCTAACGATCAAATCAACCCGGCGGCATATAAGGGAAACTCTTTGCCTAGCTCACCTGTCGTTTTCTCCGTCTTGCCTACTCACTCAATTAGATTGAATCCATAAATATTGTGGCCTATACTAGAAGTTAAGAGATAGAAACGCTTTTGAAGTTGGTGTTTTTCTGGCGCCCACTTGTCCCGACAATGCTATTCTGGCGCATACGGCTCTGGCCTTTTCTTCGGAATAAATTTTGATAGCTCGGTAGACTCCAAACTCGAGGCAATAAATATCAAATCACATTAGGCGATATGGTTACCTACTACTCATTATTAGTCCACTTTGATATCATGACAGTCGATAACACAACTGAGCTGATACAAAAGTAGAATTGTCCCACAGTCACGGCATAGTATCCTGGCAGCATTCAGGTTTAGAATTGATCGACAGGCCACGATGGGCTTCAAACCAATGATCGACGGCAACAATGCTGGGAGTGAAGAGCAGCAAACTACCGAAGCCTCAAGAGGTGCTAAGGGCGAGAACAGAATTACACAGCTCCGCCACTCCCGTCAGTTCACCGCTTTAAAGGATGGCTGTTATGATAAACCAACTAACGCGTGTAAAAACCAAGGCCGACAAGTCCACCAACAATAAAGACACAACCGCAACAAGCAACCATCGTGGTCCGTACTTATAAAAACCAGTTCAATCGATACACCACAGAATAAATTCGAGAATGTGAAGGCTGAAAAACTCCAACCAACTATGTCTCCTTCCTTATACCCTTGAGCTAGGTATGTGCTTCGAGCTCGAGAGAGCTCTAACCAGCTTCGAAAGGTAGAGGAGGCGATAAAGCTTCCCCCCGCTATCGGCACCGCTAGGTTGGGTGTATTACTTCTCTGAGATCTTTCATGGCAAAAGATAACATTGACGATAAGACAATAACCATGGAAGACGTGCTAGTGGACAATTTGGGTCCTTTCCCAGTCAGGACAATTGTAGATCCTGGAATGAGATTTTGGGTTTACTTCACAGCTATGGGACAGACCCATTGATCTACAACAAGCAGCGCTCATAGTGACGTCTACCCTGATATGTCAGCCCTTCCCCCCCACAACAAGCTTCATGGCATAAGTCTAAATTTTTGCTCAAGCTCAACCTGGGAGGCATCGGAGTCTGCTACCCTGGAGGCCAGATATTCGCGCAATTGGCATCTAATTCCAACCCAAAAGCGGCTCTTCTGTCGCATTTTATCGTGGTATGAAGAAAAAGGAGTTGAAGAGAAGAATAAACCCTACTACAATGAAGTCGATTCTATCTTCTAGCCATTCAAGTTGTCTTGCTGGGGACAGTAGTCAAAGCATAGACTTGACACCTTCTACAAGCGACGATTGCATCCGCGAATACAAGAAAATTCTACATCCATTGCACTTTGCATTAGAGGACTACTTGGATGAGCGTTGTGGGTTTTGGCTGTTCAGAGATGGCTCAAAATATTCAATACTGTAGCTATCTATATTCCATGCACTCATCGGCAGCGTGACATATATGGTAGCTTTGAACATGCCTCTGAAGATTCTGTCTTCGTGGTGTTCCTTCCCAAGCCAGCTTGTAGTGGCATCCAGGATATGAGCAATACCACCGGCGTGACCCGTGTTGCTCTCTTTGATGGCGTTGCAGATCCTTTTCCAGAGTAAATGTCTTGCTGCAACCGGGCGTGAGACACGGGATCTGGGAAGTGGGCTTGGGGTGCCTGTAGCTTTGGTCAGTACATGGAGTAATTAGGGACTAGGTAGGATTTGATGGACACTGACAAGGGACGCCGTCGCGTAGTAGGAACTTGAACTGGTATCTCTCGAGGGGCACTGGCAGTAGTTGTGAATACTTGTCCATCATCTTTTAGTGGGGAGCATTGCTCTGCAGCAGTATCTGTAGGCCGTCTTCCATCCTCAGCATCGTCCTGACCAGCAGACTCCGTGGGGCCAGTCTGTCCCCATTCATAATCCGGATAGGGGCCTTGATTCCCATTTTGGGTCCAACAGGGCTTTACAAACGGAAGAGGTCGATGGTAGTGTAGATGATATTGACCCTGGGGTCTGGAAGGCCCGGAGTGGTCCTGACTGGAAATAAAAGAGCTCTAGCAGAGAGAAGGTGAACAGACGAGTCTGCCTGGTGTGGAAAGAAAGAGCGAAGGTGAGTCGGAAGTGGGAGGCCTGATACGACGGTTAAAGAGTGGAAAACAGTTGGTACAGGAGGTAGAAAAGAAGGTGGTGGCGGTTGCACCTCCAGGGCCAACCATGCAGAGAACGAAAGGACGACTACGAGATGGCGGGGTCATATCTGTCTTTTATGACCAGTGACCGGCAGTGGGTAGATTAATTGGGTTAGACGGCTGGCCTCAAAATCTGCGAGGTGGTGTAAGCGGCACACACTAGTAAGTAGACGTCTCTGATAGGTCAACCCAATCTTGGTGTCGTGAGCCTGGAACATCTATAAAAGAATGGCTGCGTCGGTATGGCTAAAGGAGGATGTGATATTCTAAAAAACCACACGCTTATCTGGACAGAGTACATTGTGTCTAATTCATTATGGCCTCTCTCTTCTGTTGCAATGCTGTCGTCCCCTATCGCCCTCAGCGCCTCGATCACGAGGAGAAATTCCGGGCCTTCATGGAATGGGCCAAGTTTCCAAGAGCTTCCTCTGTCCAGGACGAGGATGGCTATTTCTCCAGAACTAGCCCATCGTTCGCGGTGCAGCTTGTGAGACAGGTAAACTACGGGCCGCTCGAAGCTAAACGATATTTTGTCCCGGAACAAGGAGGCACCGACAATTTCGTTGAGGTGTCCGAAAAAGATCTAATCGAGGGCAACTTTGAGAAACTTAATTCGTAAGTACAACGAAGCAGTCGATGCACAGGTTATTAAATAGATATGAAGGTATAAGAATTGGAAATGCGAGCACCATAACAAATTCTTTGAGACGAACATATACCAACAGAATCCAAGTAATAAACATCATTGGAGGCTCAACATCGCCCGGCCGGCCAACGAGATCGATCTATAACTGATTCAGAGGCCGAGGTGATGTGAGCCAGCGCAGGGTGGTATAGGCTCAGAGATGCACGCCCCCGAAAGCACCTAGGCCAGTTATATGTTAGATGGTTTTATGAAATAGTCAGACGTTTCATCATACTCTCTACAAGAATGTGTATATACACTCATTATTTAGTATAATAACACACTCCTTACCTACTATACCTCGCATATCTTCCATAAAGCAATATGATCCTAGAGCGTCCTTTCCCTAGCGATAGCATACCTCTGCCACATCTCTCTCCCGTTGTCTACCTGATCTTACGAGCCCTAGATCTTAGTACAACCTTTCAGACCACACGTCCAACACACTACTGATCTGTGCCACGATAGAAATTAATATGCCGTTATATTAACAACCGAGCTAAGAGACACAACGCCCCCCCCTCTCCTTTATCACTTACCTAAACGGAGGAGTTATCTGAGCCCCTTGCCCGTGGAAACTCTGAACACTCTCTGTGTCTAAGTCTCTTCCCTTTTTCTTTATTAGAGAAATAGATATAGATATATCAAGTGGCTAGATAGAAGCCCTTTGCCCTGCATGGGCTGTAACCAGCGTTAAATAATAATTTCATCATTATTATCTACTGCTGCTTCTTTATAACTATAGCACTTATAGTAATAACGATAGTTACCTTCTAAATTAATTACAGGAGAAGGTAGCTGCCGCTATAGTGGAGACCTAGGTTACTTAGAATAGTATATATATAGAATAGTACATTCTTTTAATAATTTTTAAATTAATATACTGTACTAAAAATAGAAAATTTACTAAAGGTTATTTTTTATTTATTAAATATATAATTTTAAAAAAGAGTATTAATACCATCTTATTAATAATATCTAGAATTATTTCGACTAATAGATCGAACATTCTGTTGAGCTGAAATTAATTGCCTGTTTATGACGAGTTATATAAGAACGGTTTCTCTGAAAACTCCTCTGCTTCTGAGGACTATTTCTTAGCCTTCTAAGTTCCTCTTCCATCATTGCTTGCTCTCGTGCCCGCTCTTCTGCCTGTTCAGATTGAGACTTTAGGTCGACGTTGTATTTGGTGTATATAATTCGGTCGAATTTGTGAAATGGGCAGGCGAAATAACAAATATTACCTTCTAAATCAGTTATATGAGGAGGTAGCCGGAAGCGTAGTCGAGACCTAGGTTAGTTAGAATAATACTTAAGTATATAGAATAGTAAATTCTTACCGTAATCGAAAGTTTGTGTCGGGATCGTAAGATCCTCCTGGTGGCATCGGCTTGCCAAACTTGAGATTTAGATCTCTCAAGGTCATCAGCTTCGCGTGCTGAGAGAGTCTGGTTTTCCTCCATTGGAAGGCCTGATGAATCCTCCCATTTTGATGTCTCGCAGGAAGAGATATCGTTGTCCCTTTCTCCACCCTTGGATTGAACGAAATAGCCATCCTTCGAGGTCGTTCTGTCTGGGCCACATTGGATCCGGGTTGGGTGACCAGTGCATCCTCGCTCAGGGCTTGTGAGGAAAGACATGCCAAGCTGGGTTCCTGGCTTTGCCACAGATGCCCAATCGCCTTCATGTATGATATACCAACTTTTAGCTTTCGAGAGTTCGGAGTAAACAACCAGAATTGTAACTTTTGAATAGCGGAATAAAGGAGAGGCTGTGATGCGAATGAAAATTGAAGAAAGTTCAGGAAGCCCTGTCAAGTCATGAATTAGCTTCATATGAGCTGACACTTAAACAGATGCGATGAAATAATTACTTCAAAGGAGCTGCAGACTTCCAACGGAACCGGATAGCGTCGGCCAATCGCATCCTGAAATCGCATTGGCCTCTGATCCCACGGCTCATCCAAGGAGCGAACAAGTTGTATCTTTAGATCCTCCGAACAATATCTAACCTGGATGATACCAAGCATGCATGTATAGCCGCGAATCCGGTTCTCAAACTCGTATATTTTTTCCTTCTCGAATAGAGCAAGTTGAATTCGTTTTGCTATTCGCATAATCGCACACCTGTCATCAAACCTCTCTAGATAAGTCTTAAAATCAGCCAGACACTGGTGGCAGGCTTCGAAGATGGCTAGGTCATCTGTGCTTTTAAGTGGGTGGTAGATGGCATGAATAGAGACATATTTAAAGGGCGTCATGTTACGGGCGCCAGGGTTAGCATGCTTAAGAAGCTCTCCAAGCAGCCGGTAGCAGGGACAGGTAAGTGGTCGAGATCGAATAGACTCCAGCAAGCAATCCAAAACAGCTCGTGATACTACCACGGGCTTCCAGATCACAGCAAATGGCTGGATTCTGCCCAGTTCGGGCAGAGCTAGAGGGATACCCGCTCATTTTAGCAGCCACTAAGGCTGTGTGCATCGCGAGTTACCCAAGGCAAAAGGGACAGCAATAATACCACCGGGCCCCTTAATATCAGGCAGAGTCTCCCATCACACTCAACTCGGCAGCCTTTCAGAAGAAGGCCACTCTGAAATACTCGGCAAGCTAGTACGAGCGTATCTTGGCGCTACTAGATCCGTCAAGTGACCAAAGACAATCATCTTTCTTTCGACATGTAAATATTTCAAACGATATCGTACTTCATTCCTCGTAAGGGCTCATGACTGTCTTATATGCATGCATAAATGTCCTCGGATATCCGGTGTATAATACCTTATCTTATAGGCACCTGATCCCCTAGGAAGTTCACTACACAACCTCTAGGAGGTATATATACCCAAGCAAGAGGGTGTTTGCCTTTGTACTTGCCCCTTTTCGCCTTAGCAAATGAGATCCACACCTCGAGCCGGCTCCCCACAGCACCGGGCTCATGTCTTGCTCAGGTATTCCTGGTGCTGGAGAGGCTATTCTTACTTCAGTTGTGGTTGATGACTTGCGCCCGCGATTTCGAGATGACCTCAGTGTTGGGAGTATCGGTATCACATACGTCTACTTCAACCTGCAGCACTATGACGAGCAGAGAGCAGAAGATCACCAACAAGTCTTCTGAAGCACCCCATTCAATGATAGACGTCTCTTCCAGAAGCGATGAAAGCGCTCCATGATGAGCGCAAGAATACACGAAATTAGCCTTCACTTCAAGAGCCCTCGATAGCCCTTCAATTAGTGGCCGCGGTGTACCGTAGAGCTTTTGCCATCGTCGATGCACATGAGGAATGCCAAGTAGGGGCTAGCTGGGCCGGTACTACATGACCTCTACGAAGTCATAACAGGAAAAAGGAAAATTAAGGGAAGACAAGTCAACTTTGAGGTTCAAAAGTACTTCATATAAGTCCACACTGGCACCCACCACTCGCCTGAGCTCTGACGTAGAAAGGGTATGCCTAATTCAACCCCTCGCTTCGTTGTGATCCTCGGCAAATTGGGCAACAAGGTTCTGCATTTCTTCCATGAGTCTGCGTTTGAGGTTGTTAGTATTATATTCTCATCATCAATTCCTGCTAGTTGAACCTCAACTTACTTTCCCCTGAACTTGGGCTCGTCTGGGTAGAGCGCTGAATCATGCGCATAAGTACGGCTACATCAAATTCAGTATTAGCCCCAAATTTCCATGAAGACTTGGCATCGGATAGCCTTCTTACATTGCGTAAAGCGAATTACGAGCATCCCAATCTTCGATTGGCTCCGATTTGGGAATAAGTGCATGATAGCTCTCCACACATTCTCTGGCCCATTCATTGCTCAGTGGTCGCATGGTGCTCAGCTCATCTAATGTTTTCCAATTTAGTAAGATATCTCAAACGTAGATCGAAGCACTACGTCTCACATTCATTGTGGCCCCAGAATGCAGACGCATCAAACATCAGAGGATCAGAGTTTCCTGCCTGTGCCGAAACATTTCCAATCCAAAGATCTCCATGTATTAGTACCGCGTCAATTTTCCTCCCTTGACTTTCGAGTGGTCAAAGAAGCCTGGGAATCACCTTAGACAGGAAGGGAACTAAAATCTTTCGTAGTTCACTGCTTGGCCCTCGGGCCTCCTCCTCCAACCCCAGAATTCTCTCCATCCCCTTCACATAGAACTCTTCCCAAGTGTCACACCAGGTATTGTCTTGCGCAAGGGTTCCGTTGTACGTGGTGATGTGGAAACCAAACTTACCACTTGGGTTACGCTTAACTGTGTGAAGCTGGGCCACAGCATTCACGAACTGAGGAATGGGCGGTAGCCCTTGCGAGAGTTCGTGAAATGTAAAAAGGATGAAGTGCTGGGTCGGGTCGGCGCACGAGCCCCAGGCCAGAGGCATTGGCGAAAACTTGGGGACGGACTCGTGTATAAGTCGCATGGATTCATATTCCCCATGTACCATGGGGCATCCTTTAGGACCAGTCAAGATCTAAACGGTTTTAGACAGACAGATTCATGCGCGAAGAAACCGACTGTGACTCCTACCTTGAGAAAATACGAACGAGTCTGACCTTCTATTTCGAAATCGAGACGAGCGGTCCGGTTCCAATTACTAGCACCGTGGCCACGGCAACTCTTGACAATAGCACCCTGAGGGAGCTCTGGGCACATATCTTTAGGTATGGCGTTCTGAGGGGAGTAGTGGGTAGCTCACTGTCAACAATTCTCTCGTCCAGATTAATGTCACCGTAGTGAGCTTTGGCATTCGACTGCTGCTGGAAATATTCTGACATGGTTGGTGCTGGTGCCGTCAAGGATTGATTAACAATTCCGCTAGGAGGCGGAACCAGAAGGGCAATTAGTTGCTGAGACTCCGCGGCGTTTGCGGGAAGATAATGCCAAAGATAAAGGGACACCTGATTCAAGGCTCGAAAGATCTCAAATAAGCAATACAAGGTCGCAGCGAATTGGCTGATGTAGTGGTGATTGGTTCAATGATCGAAGACTATGAGAATGATGTATGCAGAAGGAAGTTGGCAAGTACCTGCCATTGATATGAATCATGAGGTCCCTGTGCCACTTCGACCGTACCATCCAACACGCAAGGAGGGTGCTTTGACTGACACCAAGATGCAAAGTAAGCTCAAGAGTACAGCCCGAAGCAAGTTGGTGTAATTGCAGCGAGCGTCCATTGGTCACATTTACGCAACCACAATCAAACTTTCACGCCACCAGATTCATGCCTACTTTACATAAACTTGGAGCTAATGCAATTGTTTGGCCAGTGGGACTGGCCATCGCCAAGAATGCGCGGCTACTGTAGCAACATTCAGCCGTACGCGTGAGAGCGATCGCGAATGCGTCTTGAATGCATATACAATGGAGCACAAAGTTCCCAAGCTTTTTAGTCGCCCTCTCCCGCAGCCTATTATTGTGCATCCTCCCTCCCTTCTCCCTTTACCTTATCCCTCAATAAACCTACAAATACCAACGCCCACACACATATAACAAATGTAGAGAGGCGCCTTTCCAATCTGAATAACACTGCATCATTATGGCTTCATTTTATGTCCAAGGGCTTGACCCATTCGGTGACGGCGTAAAATTGAATCAATGTATCACGAGTGGTAAGCATAATACAGTCAGCCTATGTGTGGATGGAGTTAACTTGATTTGCTCCAGCACTTCCGCCAGGGGCCCAGATTGCATCTACAGGCCGAGCTAGCCAAAGGTTGTGGGTGGAAACAGTCAGAACAGAGGCCATGCTTCCATATGGAAGCACTAAGGCTTACTTGAACCGACAAGGTCTCGTATCCTACTTCTACTGTCAAGCTCACCTCCTCTTCAAGGATGCTGCCAGAAATATTGGTCGAGAGATGGATCGTGGTTGTTACGAGTATGGGTAAGTCACCCGACCCGAAGGAAAATTCGGGTTTCACGTCGGCGGTTCCATGGCCAATGTCCCAATTCAAACTCGTGGACCTCTTCGTGGGAAAGCTTCTGGGCTCAACGAAGGGGGTATCTTCTAGAAATTCAAGAGGCTCCTTGTGGAAGGGTGCATCATTCACCGGTCTTTAATCCGCCATTTTGGAGCTTGTTATCCCCCGATACCTTCGACCCCTGGAATCCGATCACCGATCAGTGCGGCCTTGTCTTTTTCACGCCGACCTATGGCCTGGAAACAAGTCCAGAACCGATTCGCCCGATACCCTCTGTGATTTTGATTCGACCAGGACGAATATCATGATCGCAAGAGTCTCTATGGCATTGGTGGCATGAGTCTCCGCTCAGCTATGCATAACCAAGACTCTTCTCGATTGCAGACCACGCAAGAATGCACCGGTAGCTCGGAAAGCACGACACACTACCAGAGAATGTCTCACAACCAATCGCTTTCGCTAATGTTGAGATACAAAAGCTCATTGATGGTGGATTGATCATCCTCGGAAAGGCAAATTTAAGTGTTAGTCTTTTACTTCATCATCCCACCCACACGAACTTGAATGCGCTGCTGACAAAACTTCGCCAACGATACAGGAACTCTCCAGTTTCAAGTCAGGGTCGTCATTTAATTGGCACTGCCTTGGCTCATCTTTCTCTCCATAACTGACTTGAAAGTAAGGGCAAAACCTGCCTAGTGGTTGGCCAGTCGTTGATGGTCAGACTCAATCCCCATATGTTCGTGAGGGGGCTTAAGAAGGGGACACTAAGGATGGCCACAGCGTGCATCAATTCGTGTCAAAAAGTCTTTTCTTTTTCTATTGCCAAACCCTAACCGTTACTCGCCACTTCTAGATGCCTTCCGGCTCATGATCTGATCCCGCAGCAGCCGTTGCTGCAGGATACAGCCCACTGTTGGCACCAAAACCAACGGCCCTATCGTTTGGCCTGTGGGTAGGTGCGTTCTATACATGTATTCAATCAAACTCACTATAGACCTCATCTCGTAGAAGGGATTTGTCCCAATATCCCATACATGTGGCACTGCTTCTGTACACAATCCTGGATACACCTCCAGATACAAGCTTCACCGGCTTCGTTGCAGATTCTTGGTCAAATCTATCTGTCGGTCTTGTGTATTATAAGACCTGGTGGCATGATGCTGGCTTTTTGAAACCCGTCGAGGATGCCACAAATCAGATGGTGAGCTATAATCCGGGAGCCTGTCAAAGGCTATCGGATCTAAGAATAACATGCGGTATGGTTCTTTCCAAGGGGCCTATGACCAAATCAAGTCGAGTGCCAAATTATTTGCCGACAATGTTCCATTAATCCTTCTGAGAGATTTCGATCTCGACGGACAGGACAGCATGCTGACTGTCCTCTGTGAGATTGAAGAAATATACCAAAAGACTTCTCTTTTGCAGCTAGTGAATGAATCACAGTGGCCGAACCCAGCAAGGATTTCAACGCTTATCTCAAGAACCTAGCCCACTGGTCTGACGAATTTCAACTCCCTCCGAGATTTCAAGGTCCCAGATGATGCCAAAGTAGATTGGCCTAAGAGTGAGTAAGCTCCATCCTACATATCGGCCAATCAACCGCTGACAAGAAGTCACCTTTACAAAATAGACCATAAACAGGTGCGGATCGATCCTGAAGCGGACCTTGTCCCCTCCTCGGATGAGTATGAAGCTCATGTTCGGATTGTGCGGGATCTGGGCGGAACGGGGGGCATCGACAAGGTTCTAACGAGCACAACATCGACGTGATAATTGGGCCCGCAGACAGCCAATTCCTGCTGCCCCCGGTGAGCCTTTCCAGTGATCTATTTCTTAATTTTCTACTAACTAATCAAATTGGTTACCCGGTGGCCTCCTTGCCTCCTGGGCGTCTTGATTATAATGGAAGGGGTTTTTGGAATGCTTGCCACTGCCGGCGCGAACCAAGAGGACAAGTTGCTCGAAACAATGGGTGCTTGAAATGCTACTTTCGGTCCCATGGGGCGTTCGACTTTGGTTGCAGAAAGCCTGGAGACAGAGGCGTCTCGGTGACTAGGACCTTTTTTTTTTTTCACATTCCAAAGCTTCATTCAGGTTTGTTATTGACCGTCCCAAATTGAGAATCACAAGCCTCAACAGACGAGGTGGCCAGGTGGTTCATTCGTTGGCTATCGCTCAATCACTTATCCAGATCGTTCAATTTAATCAACCTTCCTTCCTTGACCCCTGTATTATCCCTTGTTGCAGGCTACGTGGTTCAAGAGAAGGAAACCCTTCACGTGATCCTTATCAGTGTGCGAGGTGGATCGGCTTCTATTACTAAGGCTACTAATCAAAGTGACTTGGTCGCAGATCTGTTGGCGCAAGCTACAGCTCGCGTTAATAGCTCCAATTAATTTATCCAATTTCCCTTTTCTTCCCTGGGTAAATATCCACCGCGAGCAACCGCTCGTCATAGCCAAGAGATCCCAAAGTCTGCCATCATCCATGAGCCATTTCGTCGCCGCGTAAAACGGTCCAGCCGAGACCTTGCATGGATCTCTCTAATGAAAGGTTCAGGCCCCTATCATAAACTCTGACAATGATATTTACTAGGGAGCCAATTGTGTTCAGCTGCGCTTTAATTTGCGATAATGCCTCGGTGGCTAAAGTTGGGCTGTCCTGTATTACCTGGGTCAGGCCACTCGCGTTCTGACTATGGATGAAGAGCTCAAGCGTCTTTAAGCAAGTACATTCTTGCTTGAGGAGATTCAAACTGCGCAGGCTTTCTTCCGTCAGCTTATATCGCTGTGTGCGATCCTGCGCTTTCTCCACGCCAGGAAACTTGATACACAAGTGGGTAAGGGCACCAGAGTTCGAAGGTCCAATGCAAGCAAGGAAGGAATGCAGGAGGTCGGGCTGCTTCTCCGTTGTTTCCACGAGATTAAAGATGTTGGAGCCATAGAGCACCGCGCTAGCCTCCTTGTACATTTGTTGGCTGGTTTGCAAGGGCGCGAGCCACTTGCGTGGTTTCTCTGGCGCAAACGCCTCTACTTGCGATCCTTTGCCTTGAAAAAGATAGATGGGGTGCGCCACAATGAGTACGCTCTCGTATATGCGCCTGCGTATCCTAACTGGCAAGCAAAAAAAGCCTTTCGGAGCCGTGGGCTCTGGAGGACTCAAGGACCCCATATAATCTTCTTTTTCGGTTCGGTTATCGAAAATCGTGTTTTTTTTTTGCACTCGAGATCGGCTCGAACGTTGTTGCAAAGACTGTTCGGGGGCGATTGGGAAGAATACGTCGTCTGTTCCGTAGATAGAGCACGCGTTGGTGGAAAGTTGGAGAGAGCCTCGTTGCGCTTCTTTGATGCCCAGAGCCAAGGATATCTTACCACATGACCTTTCTGAAAGGTAAAAAGGCGACGTTGACGGGGATAAAACACGCGCGGGCTGGTCGAGGGATGATGAAACGTGAAATGGTGCGGGGTCAAGGAGGGGAAGAATTTGATGAGACCATCAGACGCGGACCGTCAATCCTGGTTGGGCAAGCAAGTAATGTACCCACTAATTGCTTCCCATGTAAGGATACAGGGTAGGTAAGATCAAATACTGCGCCAGCCGAGTCAACGTAATTGATCTTAACCACCTCCTTGCTATCTGCAAAGGTGACTATGTAACGCGCCCCGATGACCAAGGTGATTGCCCCATTTATTGCTTTTGGCTCACAAATACGACACTACGAATAATGATCCGGCAAAAGTTACGTGAGCGCTTAGATCGGCTGCGGCGAAAGCCATCCCGTCTATCGAATGATGCCGATGCCAATGTCCAATCAACACAGGCACCCCAGAGGTGAGAACAGACTATGATCGCAGCTTAAGGGCACCCAAACGCTAAAGAAATGAATAAGAAACCTACTAGCCCCGACGATTTCCGGGCCTGCTCCGTCTGTGCCTGCTCCGTCTGTGCCTGCTCCGTCTGTGCCTGTTCCGTCTGTGCCTGGCTCAATAACCCACAATCAAACAAGTACGTTGCGGCCAGCAGGCGACCCCATTGATAAAACCGGTATCCAATCCAACCAGGGCGCTCTTCTGCCTGGACCAAAGTCCAATGAGACCAGTTCGTCAACTACCGGTAGCCATCCCGACACAGTTCTTATTTCTTCGGACCTTTGGAGCGCAGCATACAGTGAGGCAGTTAGAAGTTTCGGAAAAGACTTGGACGTCGCCACCCTCCAAGGCAAGAATATGGAGCAGCTTTTCAAGCAGCTCGAAGCATTGGACAAAGACTCCACTCAGCAGCCAGGATTCCAACGGGGAGTAGGGTATCTGCGTTCTATCCAGGTGCCGCTTGAGAGATTCAAGCTGGCATTAGACCTGACTAGCCCATTGGCGACAGGCCTCGGACCAACTACGTCTGTCGTCGGTGCGGTCAGAAGTGTGACAGCAGTAGGCCATTACCTGGAACTAGGGGGCTATCGCCGAACCCAAGTACTAATTCCTGTCGGCGTAGATTGCGATCACTTTTGCGACTGCTGATCGGGAGTTTGCCAAGCAAATCGGAGAAATGCTTGAACAAATTTCCTATATTGATGACTGCGACACACTCGGCCAGCAGTCAGATAAACAAGATATACACAAAGTAGGTGATTTACACTGGATGGCTCGTATTTTTTATGTACTAACAATCAATTCGCAGGCACTTGTTTCGGTGTATCGGAAAATGCTAATGTTCTACCAAGCTGCATTGGAAATTCTGTCGAAGCAAGGGGCAAAATTAATGTTAAAGATGGCCTTGGAAACCCACCATCTCCCGCAACTCGTACAGGATTTCTTAAGACACGCCGACGTCCTTCGAAAACTTGTACAGAAAGCTACGTGGGAGATTGTTGAGGATATCAAGACAATGCTCTATGACCGCGAGAGTGAGTCTTTTCTAAAAAAAAAAAGAAGAAGAAAAAACCCCCTAGCCTATAATGACATACATTCTTATCTATTCTCAGTTGCTATTTGGTTAGGGAGCGACAAAATGAGCGATCAAAGCCAGTACCACGCTTCATTACAAGACCTTCGAGCTGACCGAGCCTGCGAACCATTACTTGCAAATACCAATTTCATTGACTGGTACAATGCGCCTGAATTCCGGGAACTAGTAGTCCTTGGACAAACAGGCTGCGGAAAAACTGTTTCTATGGCATTTTTGGTAGACTCGTTGATGAAGATGAATGAGCACCTGATACCTCAGCCCAAGATATGCTATTACTATTGCCGAGGAAATGAGACCGGAGAGGCCGTTCACATTATTTCTTCATTGATTTTGGCGCTCCTGGGGCAGCTGCCTGGTCTGAAGAAAACATTTTTCGAATGGTATAAACAGGCTCAGGCTTCTGGGTGTTATGATCCAGCAACAGACTATAGAAAACTAGAAGAATTTCTAGAACTTGTCTTCCAAACACTAAACCGCCAACTCTTTATTATTATCGATGGCCTGGATGAGTGTGGAAGGGGGTCGAGATCCACTCTTCTTAAGCTATTCAAAAAGCTCAGTCAAAGGAATACCAGGCTTAAGGTGATACTATCTTCTCGGCCGCAAGAAGAGATCCTAACCCAGTTGGACCGAATGCCCAGGATTTTTCTTGATACTAATGTCACACGAGACGGAATCATCGTTGAAAAGTTAGTTCAGAAAAGGTTATCCTATCTCTCGAACGATGTTGCAGAATTTGTCATCCAGGTTTTATCTCGAAAGGCCCAAGGAAGCGCGATATGGGCCAAAATGGTAATTGATCTCATCGAAATTCGAGGAATTAGAGCCCCAGGCCCTATGCGGCGATTCTTGGAGGAAGAACCGTTGCCCAAAGGGCTTTATGAGCTCTATAATACTTTACTTTCGCGGTGCACGGCAGATGACTTTGAAAATGAAGCGCTCGCGCATACAGCGTTAAGGTTACTTGCTGTCTCCCGCAGGCCTCTCAGTATTCTGGAGCTCGCCTGGGCCGTTACTTTGGGTGCGACCAAAGAAGACATTCTATCCATCTCTGATCTCACTATCCTGGTAGACTATCAGAGAGTGATGAGCCTTATTCATCCGTTTGTTACTCGCCTTGACTTTGGTGACCTTAAGAAACGTCAAGTAGGACTGGTTCACCAGTCCGTGAAGGAGTTCATATTGAGCGAATGCGACCCGACCCCTCCTCTGCTATTAAGCTCTGGTTCTAGAGCTTTTCACAAACGGCATATTGGCCAAAATATTGAATATATGGAGGCGTGCGCACTGGAAATATGTGTCAAGTATCTTCTTCTAGAGGAGATTGGCAACCAGACGCTATTTTCTGAAGAACAAATAGCTATCGAAGAGCTGCCTCAAGGTTTCGACCTGTTTGATAGCGACGGAGAAACAATCGAGTATGACCCGTATTGCTCGTGGGATGCAGGGGAAGAAAACATGATACTGTACGATCCAGCTGACCGCGGATTTGGCGAATTTTTTGCCTACGCTTCATGCTACTGGGTTGACCACTTAGGTGCTGTAACGAAGGAACCTCAATTGCATCTACCAGGTATTGAGAAGCTATGTGAAGCTGGATCAACTCGAATTCATAACTGGATCGAGCAAAATCGCCGCCCAGGCTGCACTATTAAACCCAGGTTTGAATTCGACGCCTCTTTGTACGATCCAGTGACAATCATGTCGCTGTACGGCTCAGATGCTATGCTTCGCTCCATGCTTGAGGAATCAGACTTCAACTCCATGATCTTTTATAATCGGCCAATTTTAGGGGCTGCTGATCAGATCATCCAATGGGGTGATCTTTCTCGGCTCAAGATACTTTTCCTGGATGACAGAGTTGGTCAGCAGCTCCAAATTTTGGACTTTTTTTTGCTCCTGATGAGTCGTTGGTCTTACCCACGTGTACAGCATCAGAGCTGGGACTTGGCCTTTGACCTCATCAACCAGATGCTCGACTTGGGGCCGGCTATTGAGCAGTGGGGCAATGAACTCCTGTGTGTGGCTGCGGGTATGGGCTGCATGCCCGTGATCTGCCGATTGATGATGCGAGCTCGACGAGACACAGTACTTAGGATCGAGCTGTTACGTGGAGCCCAGCGTGAACAAGGAACCCACTCTATGGACAAGCCCCTGCATCAATCGATTGGGGAGGCTGTGTGGTGTAACCATGTACATGTCGTGGAATACTTGCTAGGCGTGGAGGGCATCGAAGCGCACATTGCCTATCTCAACTCACGCGGCGAGAATATTCTCCATCTGGCGTCAAGATACTGTAACCCAGCCGTGTTTCGCATCTTGACTCCCCGATTCCAGCTGAGCATGCAACAGAAGGACAATTCAGGGAATACCGCGCTGATGCGAATTATGACGAGCTCTGCCTTGTTGCAAGATCGACTTGAGTCGGCGAGAATATTGCTTTCGCATGCTGCGACTATTCAAGATTATGGTTCTCAGGATGAGCAGCAGGAATCTCTTCGCATGGCCGTTCGTCTCGGTGAACTAGAAATGTGCGATGTACTACTCTCCATCGGTAGAGCTGATCCTCGCTTACTCTCAATACGCAATAATCAAGGGGAGATGATTTTTCCGGGTGAAATTACCGATAATGAGGGACTTTTGCCGGCCATAGTCCAGCTGTTACGCAGACATGCTGGAACAACATCTTTGGACACTGACCTGTAGTCCCACGACACAGTGAGGAAACGAACCACATATCGGTTGTTACTTTTGGCCCAAGCCTGTGGGTGACACTATTACGTGAAGCATACAGGTAGCTAGCTATCCTTATGACCAAGATGCTTAGGTCATTGAATAAACTTAGGGATTAGACTTCATGTTATCTTCCCTCGTGATGCTTCGCTGCCGCCTGTCTCTTTTCTCTTCATGAACATATTAGATTGTTACCATTCCGTTCAAGAAGACTTGACAAGGCTTATTTACACGACGATAACATCAATAGAAGAAGATGCTTAGTGCTGCCTACGCTCAGAAGGGCGTGGCGGAATCTGGTAGTCTCTCAGCCTCTTATGGTGGACTCCTGAAACTTCTATCTTGCGTGCAGAGGGTGTTAGTGTCTATAGACGTATGAAAATGCTCTTCATTGAACAGCCCTGAGGAGGTTTCCCGCTCTTGTAGGGGGAAGACTAATCCAAACTCTTCATAATCAGCTGTGCGAGTAATAGGCGCTGGATGGTAGCAAGAATGGCATCACCAGAGATGTTCTTACATCTCTGTAATTGTCGATCCGCAAGGGGTCCAAGATTTGCCTCAAATTCACATGTCCGAGCGTATAGCTCTTCCAAGGTCCCCAGAGAGGTGGGGGACTACGAATCGATGCATTTGTAGGGCTCTACCTCCGTACGAAAGAGGGGGATGGATCATCCACCAGGGCGAAAACCCAGTTCATATCTTATTGATGACCTAGAAGAACTCTTTCGAAAGTGCTCGGATCCTCATTCATTTTAGGACTTTCCCTCAACACAAATGCTGCAGAAGGCCATCATTTAAGTATGAAGAGCCTCGTGAATGTCAGTTTCTTGCGAAATGCGCAGTTGTTGGCGAGTGATTCCGCTGAGCAAGCTACATCCAAATAAGATCTATCATCGTCTAGATGTCTTACTTAATATTCTCAAAATTAGGGGACCTGACTGCGTCTGGGACTTTAGCGCACGTCTTCCTGACCCGCCTCTTCTAAAGTCGGCTCAACTCCAGGAGATCCCTTCTTTACGCCGCCGCCAGATAGTCGTACTGTAGGCGGGGTCTGGTTTGAGGATGCTTTCCGACAGAAGTCTGAAGTGATACATGAGGATCTAAAACTCGAGAATATGAAAGTGTAAAGGCACCATAGTAGCAACCTGAGTGAGCGCCGGTCGAGGTAGGGTGCAATATATAGTCTAAACACCAGATGTAGTGAGGTTCACCGCTCGTTGCTTTTGCCATTATGCACGCTTGATATTTGTTTGCATTCGTTGAAAATAATATAGGATAAACGCCACCTTTTTCAGATAGGTGTGGTATTTGCCAATGGGCGCTTAAGTATTCTACCTACGTGTCGTCGCCTCAGCCAATTGAAGAGATTCGCACAGCGCTTGGCTTCAGCCCAAACCAGTGGTGGGAGTGTAATTGCATTTTTCTTACCAGAATTGCTTTAGCTGGACTATTTCTGACACTACGAAATAGGTCAGCTTTCATTAGCTATGTTCAGCTTGTATGAGAAATGTTCACATGGAAACACGGACTGCAGAATGGTGACTGTTACAACATCTCTATCACTAGGCTCTTCAGGTTCTTTAACCACACTGCCGCCAGTCTGTCGCGCTGTTTACTCTAGGTTCGCTACTGATCATGCCTAGCTATCTTAAAAATGATGGCAGTAACTCTGAATGCTGGTCTCTACTGCCGTGCCTGACCGAACCACTGGGCTGATTGGCCAATTTTTAGCGCTATTAATGGAACGAGGCATTTTGGGCGCTATGAATTGGCTGACCACAAAATATACCGGCGAGACACATTACGTAGCAATGAGCTCCTAGGCTGATCACCGCAGCTGCAATATACTGGCCTAGGCTGTTGGGTTGATCAGTACCTAGTTAAATCAGATCGCTAAACGCTATATCTAGAGCTGAGGGAGGTAAATATATTATATCCCAGAATACATGTTCCGATTTATTGGAGGACTTCCAAGGTCCATATTACGCCTCAACCAATACATTATTCTATCAGGTCGCCTTGCTTATTTAACAGTATTTTTCAATGCTGAACAGCTTCCCCGCTTCATCTCACCATTCAGGTCGCAATGAACCTGACAGATGGACATCGAACAAGCAACCATGGACTCGATACCATCAGAAATATTGGTTCAGATATTTACCCATCTACAACCCTGTTCTCATTTGCATCAGTGGCAGGAGCTGAGTTTGTCGAATCGAAAGTGGCCCCCGCCAAATGATCTCGTGGCACTCTCAACCGTGTGCCGCAGATTCCATCAACTAGTTGAGCCGTTGCTATTCGCCCAAGTCGCAATTAGTTCCGAAAATTCTAAGAATGGCCGGCTCGTGGAGTTGTTCCTACGAAGGTTATACCGAGAGCCTTCGCCACGTCTCGCGGTGCGCAATCTCTTCCTGGACGCGTGGGATGTGAATTTCGACATTGCAAGTATCGTCCGCGAGCGTCTCGCCGCTGGTACAGATGATCTCGGCCGGCGACAGGAGCGATGGCTGAAATCCTGGCTCTCGATGCCGAAGAAGAAGGTATTCGAGCCCATTCCTTGCGTCAGCCTCTTCCTTACTCCCCGACTCAGACTCCTGGATCTGGGTGCAGCTTTTTGGCCTGACTGGATCGCCATGTACGTCAGCGGCAACCGGTATCTCGAAGAGAAGGCTTTGGGAGCCAATATGTCTTTTGGGCAATCCGGAATTTGCCCTGATAAGGCGTTTGTTAACGAGAGACGTGATGGTGATCTTGATCATTCTACCCAGCGGCACACGGAAGGGGTGCTTTCTACGCTATTCTCCGACAGTCCGCTTCCAGAGCTCAAGGAGGTACGATGTAGATATGTGTTACCTAACAGCCTTCAATCCGCACGCCGCATCGAGCCTCTCTTCCTTCACCCAGGGATTGAAACTCTGCGTCTGTTCGCCTTCTCCTGGGACGGTGGTATGAAATGGGTTCATCAAACAAGCAACCTCCAAGCCATCCAGTTGAACAGCTGTTTCGTGAATGCTGATGGCCTGGAAAACATCCTCCGTCGCTGCAAATTTCTGCGTCGTCTCTCCATCGAGTTGCCTGACTGCGATAGAATAACCGACGGTGGTGAAGGCCTTGCTAGTTTCGTTACAATGGGAGATATTTTCAGAACGTATGGACACTACCTCGAGACCTTTGAGTTGGACGCAAAGGCGTATGGCGAGGTTTTCAACCCCATTCGGCCCTTTGGATCTGTGGAAAGGATGAACTCCCTCCGCAACTTTAAGATTTGCGTGGGAGACTTCCAGGATATTGAATCGGGCGAATTCGACGAAGAAGAGGAGAGGCGTAGGTGGACTGTGCCCTTGAAGGGCGTTTTGCCCCGGGGGCTGGAATCATTTTACGTGATCCGCTCTCCGGGCATGATTCCGCTCAAGGACGTTGAGATCTTGAGAGCTCTCCGCGATGTCCTAGAAGATCATACCCTGGCCTCATTGCATCGGGTCGAACTGGAACTTTCCGGTGAAGAAACATTTGATGAAGACGACTTCCTTATCCCAGGATGGAAAGTGTCAGCAGGAAGGCATTTGATATCTAAAGATCCTTATAAGGATAAGTCTCGATACCCTGCCATTGATGAAGATGAAGAGCCGGACGAACGGGAGACTATCGTCTTTCAACGCGAAGATGGATGGCAATCGGCCTAATGCAGCTTCTATGATTTCAGCCCATCGCTACTATTAAGAATCTTTTGCTTGTTCTGAGCGCTACGGACACTTACAACAACTGTAGCGTTTTAGGTACTTTAATTCCCAAATTTATAATTATAGAAGGATAGCTACAAATGTGGTAGAGTTAGCCATGGTAGCCATCGTTCAAGGTAACGAGGAAAACGAGCATGTTAATTCGGTTTACTGTCATCTCTGTTGCCAATCAAGTACGAAGATATCGAGATTTTTCTTTTTTTCTTTTTGAAATTTCAGATGAGCAAATGCCGCAAAGCTCAGCCTCTTCCCTTAAGTCCTTGCTACTTGTTGGTCACTTTCTTTCTAGTCCGTACATTGTTAGATTCGCGAGCTGAACATCTATTTTTACCTTGGCTGATTCAAGAGAGACACAGGCACAAACAAACGAATCACATCATTTCGTCTCTGATTCCGCCTTCTGGAAATTCAATCATGTGTTTTCATTCTCGTGAGGAATCGGAGGTCAGGTCTGGAGTTGACCGGCCTCTACAAGCTTGCAGCCTAATGAAGAGCCAACATCGACGAACATTGATCGCCCGTCTAAGAATATTTGAAGGTGTCCCCCTCCCCTACGTCAGGGGAAGTAAGATGTGAGACACTTGCACCCCGCGCTTACGAGGAATGCGGTGTGGTGTTTTGGTGGTCAGCAAGGCCCTGAACAGAATAGTGAGGGGTTCAGATTACCAGTCTCGGCTGGGAGACATCATATGTATGCAGTCAGCAAATAGCACACACATGTTAGGCTTCAATCATGTAGTAATACCACTTCAAGTTGGATGGCTGGAATTTGCGGCTGAAGAGCCTTCCGGCTATTCTAGGCACGCCTTCGATCGTGGAGGCCAATTATCGTCGTCTGTTGCTCGATTGTGTGTGTCCTTTCTGATACCGCAAATTACTCAACCAATCCTACAAGGACCTTGATCAGCCTTATCAGATCCTTTCTGGGTATGGTTGAGGCGTGGTAAATTCTGGCCACGCTCAGAACGGAGCGAGGCAATAAGTCGAAAGACTCAATTGGTGAGGCAAGGCCAGGGATGGCACACGTGAAGTGTTCCTGAGTAATCGTGGGCAGGTAGGTGGATGGCACCAACCTGCATTGCCAAACGGACTGCGGCTCTCGCACTCGGGGAACTCGATCAGACGACAAAAACGGGCTTCGTTTCTGGAATCCTTCTGCATGGAGGGGTCCCAAAATAGTCACTGGGGACTATCTCCCATCACATTCATAGTTAAATAGAGGCAGAGTGCTCCCTAAGTTCTTATCGGTTCTCTTCCTCATAGATCCTCCAAAGAAATACAGCTCTTCTCTTTGCCCATCTGGAACAAAACCTCCCGAAACATTGAATCATTCACCACCATGGCCTCTGTACCGAGAGCCTGGCTGCTTCTGGCCATCGCGATGTGCTGCCTGCTGCCCAGCGTCCTCGGTGACCTGGTGCACTACAAAGAACGCCAACCAACCATCACCGATGAGGAGCTCACCGAGTACGCCCGAGATGTCCTCGACTCCCGCAGCCCCAACTTTGAGTTTGTTGCAGCCGAGCTGGACTCGCCGAACAAGCGGGGGCTCTTGAGCAAGGCCGTCGGTGCCATCAAGAAGGCCGCCCCCGCTCTCAAGAAGGCAGGGGCCGCCGCGAAGAAAGCAGCCGCTCCTGCGAAGAAAGCGTCTACTGCTGCGAAGAAGGCTTCTCCCAAGCCCAAGAAAGCGGCTTCTGCCGTTAAGAAGGCTGCCGCTCCTAAGAAGACGTCTGCCAAAAAAGCCCCCGGTAAGGCTTCTGCCAAGAAGGCTGGTGCTAAGAAAGCTCACCCAACGAAAGCTGGAGCCAAGAAGCCTGCTGCTAAGAAGCCCGCTCCTAAGAAGACAGGCTCAAAGAAGTCTCCCTCCACCAAGGCTAGTACAAAAAAAGCTGCTGCCCCCAAGAAGCCTACCGCTCCTAAGAAAGCTAGTGCCAAAAAAGCACCAAGCAAAGGCGTGAAGAAGGCATCTAGTAAAAAGGCCTCTGGTAAGGCTACTGCTAAGAAGGCAGGTGCTAAGAAGGCTCCCCTGAAGAAATCCGGAGCCAAGAAGACTGGCCCGAAGCAGTCACCTGCCTCAAAGGCCGGTGCTAAGAAAGCTCCGGGCAAGAAGGCCGCTGGAAGGACAGGTCCTGGTAATAAGTCTGGATCCAAAAAGGTTGGGGGTAAGAAGACGCCTGGAAAGAAAGCTTTAAGTAAAGCTGGTGTCAAGAAGACTCCCGGCAAGAAGAGTCCTAACAAAAAGACCGGTGCTAAGAAGGTCGCGGCAAATAAGGGACCTGCGAATAAAGCTGGAGCCAAAAAGACCCTAGGGAAGAAGATTGGAGCTAAGAAGGCTCCAGGCAAGAAGATCCCTACGAAAAAGGCTGGAGCTAAGAAGAGTTCTACCAAAAAGACTGGTACTAAGCAAGCTTCAGGCAAGAAGACGCCTGCTAAGAAGACCCTTGGAAAGAAGGGGCCTGCTAAGAAGGCTGAAACTAAGAAAACTACAGGGAAGAAGACTCCCGGAAAAAAGATCTCCGGCAAGACCACCGGTAAGAAAGCACCGGGCAAGGTTAAGTCGTCACCACCACAGAACTGCCCCCTTGGCAAGCGCTCAGGGGACGGCTCATGTGTCTTCCGAGGTGACAATCGAGGTCCCACCAAAATCAAAGAAGCCGGGGGCTTCAAGAGTAAAGGCTCTACTCACCCTCAGGGTCCCTACAATAAGCCCGATGCCTTGCACAGGCACGTCACGGAAAACTGGAAGGGCGAGAGACCCTACAGGGATCCTTACATCTCCACAGCCGCCGATGTGAAGGTTGCTGAGAAGCATTACCCCAATGGGCACATCTACAAAGTCGACAAGAACCAGGCTGGCAGACTCGTTGATGCAAACGCCAAGCTTGCAGAGGGTGGCACGCAAAACCCTCACAATAAGGAAGGGGAACTGTCCACCAAGGGACCCATTCGTTGGGACGGCATTAAGGGGTGGCACAAGATGAAGAACGGCCAGGCGGGGCCTTACAAGGAGAACTCAGACTACAGGCCAAGTAGAATACCCCTTCCTAAGCAATCGAACAACGGGGGAGCTTCAACATCGGGGCAAGGGCAGCCTCAAAAGCAACGGCCAACGTCGGACAAGCCGAGCAAAATCCCCATTTTGAAGAACCCTTCAGCGACTTGGAAGCCGCCCCCTGGGTCCCGCTAGTAGACTCGAGACAAAACAGAGTCCTTTTTGGGCACTCTTCAAACGGTGAGCCAAAGGGGAATGTGTAACTCTCCAAGGCTTGGCAATGTAGTTGGAGTTGATCTTTTTGCGAGACATCAGGATTTAGTTTTTATATTAGTATGGGTGGGGATTAGAATATGTTGGTATGACGAGATTCCAGCTTCTATTTTCATTGATATTAGATTAGTATTCATTGTGTTGAGTTGTCGGGCTCTGGCAGCTTCCATTGCTGTTGAACTTTATTCTCTTTCTCTTACGTACGTATTGATATTATATTATTAGGCATCAATTGCACTGTTCTATTTTCATTCTTTCCAACTTTTCTTCCTTTTTTCCCTAGACAAAATATCAATTTATAACTGCTACCCGAACTCAACTGAATTGTCTACTCACACTCCGGGCTCTCGGTCAGCTCTGACATCTGTTAGCTTACTAGTAAACAATGTATAGCCAATTTCTTTTATTGCGTCTAATTGAGATACGCACAAAGGGCTTTGCTAAGCCGGGGGTTCGACAGCGGGCGAATGGGATCAAAGGGATAGTCCATCCTATCGATGGATGTCAAGTGCCCGCGGAACTCGCGAGAATCTTGTAGAGTCTCATCCTTCACAGTATGATTTCTCAAGGAGTCGTATAGGCCTCTCGCACGGAGGTGTATTTTTCGTTCTTGACTAGCCGAGATTGTTGTTTGAAGGGACAGCTCTTTGCTTCAAAACTAATCTAGCCTTTGAATCATTAAAAATCATACTCAGGGTAATGAAGAAAGCTCCGAAGCGGGTTGTCACCCCAGTTGAGACGACACAAATCCACATAGCTACTTGATTTCCTTACTTAATGGGCACCTAGGACCCTTGGTCTATGCCCCACCCCATAGAGAGTACAGAAAGCCTACGTCAACCCGAAAAATAATCGTGCAACTACATGTAATAATAAGAGGGTTTGTTTTCAAACACAACATGCTGCCTCCTTTTCAGGTAGTCGTCGAGTTTAAGTTGAACTCCACTGTACTAGGGAGGCTTGTATCTCGGCCCCCCTTTCCTAGGACCGGGCCGCGTGGGTACATGTACAAACACCCTTGCTCAACCCCTGCGATGCTGTCGCATCTTCAGGGTTCCATGTAGCTCCAAGGAAGAGTTCAATGGCCTGGTTGTGTGCCAGATTCTTAGTTGAGGGGTGCTTCGTTGTCGCAATGACCCAGAGAAATAGCCCGAAGACGTCTAAACATCCATTATCTTCTTTGAACGTGTATCGTAAGCAAACCTGTTGAGGAAGGCGACTAAGACGAGCGGAGTCATTACAATCAAGCCCGAGGGAAATAATTACGAATGCAAAGCATTGTATATCTTTAATGTTGGACAGGCCGTAGTCATGTGCCTATATAGGGGCAGAGCTTTTATTCCGATATCGCATGCTCAATCTAAGCGACTCCTCCGTAATGTCAATTTCTTCTACAAATGCCCCAGAGTGCAGAGGATGGGTGCATGAAACGAATTGGCTTGAGCCTTTATGAACAAAGATACCCCTTAGGCCCAGGCTAATATTGCTCCATTGAGGTGGAGATTAATAATGTATCTCCCCTCGCCGCTTATGAACCTACAGGGGGGTCTAGCATTAAGTTGTCGATTTCTTGGTGCTCGGGTATTTCCCCTTTCTTTCAGCAGCTGCCGCATAAACTACATAGCTCTCTAACTTTACAGTACTTGAGACGACAGGTTCGAAGACGAACTCTTCCGCGAGATGTCGGTTGCGGTGAGTCCGTCGGAACTGTGGCCAGACATCTGATGACTTTGGTGATACTGGCTGACACCGTGATACTCAGCGAGAGACGCCCTTTTTGGGTGTATTGGACCGTCCCCTATGTTCCTCTTAGGGGACTTGTGAAACCAAAGAGTTGAGCTCATAGCAGGCCCGATATAGTCGTCAACTTCTCGCAAGACATCGTCGCGCGGCTTGATGCTGACCATGACTTTCTCTCCAGGCCTACGCATTGGTGACTAGAAACTCACAGGGCATTCGCTAAAAGCTCGCGGTCAATGTTACAGGTCGAGTTTCATCACTCCCTCCAGGTCAACATCGTCGTTGAACAAACAGCATGCACGCCCCAGTCCAAAAGAAGCTGGAGGACGGAGAAATACGCCACTACTTGTCTCGCGAGGCCGGAGGTGCTGAAAGGCAAGATTCAAACTCTGCGATTGAGATTGATGGACCTGGAGATAATGGCAATGTTGATGTGTAACAGAGAAAGACGGTGGATGTCTCAAAGCCCCAGCTAACGAGACCAAGCTCCTAGCAAATCCCCTACTTGGTGTAGAAAATGAAGGCAACTTCTTCCAAACTTAAGCACTAAAGTGTACCAGGTCTTGACCGCCTCGCTAGTGATGACTGCCGTGAGCTCACTAAGGAAGAATCTTCTCGATTTTCACACGTGCTCCACAAATACGAAGAGATTTGCACACACTTGCCCCAGTCGATAAGTTCTAGTCCGACCGTCAGTTGCAACGGCCGTAGCATTAGTAAACCCGACAACGCGCGTCCCACGGCGGTCATTTTGTCAAGTTCTCGCCGGTACTCGCATACTCAAAATAAGCACTTGAAGCGGAGGAGGACATTGACGGAATACGGTGTCGAATTTCGTTGTCTATCACACGATTTCAGTTCCGAATCACGCAAGTTTGAGTCACCGCCGGCTGCGGCTCCAGAAGGAAAGCCATGGCTTCGTAAGTTATGATCGTCGCCTCTTTCAAGACAACGCCCTCGCGTCGGAGATGAAGAGGGACAAGTCACCGAACCTTCCAAGCCAAGCAGGCGGGAAGAAAATTACAGGCCTCCAAAATAATCTACACTAAGCCTGGGCCAGAGGACTTCAATCGATTAAATAATAGGGTTCATGAAGATGCGGCGAAGAAGACTTCATTAAAAGTACCAACCTCGGAGGAACGCGTATCATCTGTCAAGGGCGCTGCGCTAGGCTTTACGAACGTCAGAAATGTGTTATTGCGATTCCATGTATTACAAACCGGGAACATGAGGGGCTATTTAGCTACTGTTTGTGAAGACGAGTGGCTGGAATCAGGGGCACAGCAACTGACGAACGTAGCTGTAGCTAAATAATGGCAACGGTCACGATGCTTTTGCCAAGCTGCTCAAACGATATTCTTAAGTCTTGGGAAATCGATCTCCATACTGAAGAGCCAAGCGGCCCGAATGCTTTGCCAAATTTATGTATGCAGAGCGATCAGATACCGAAGCAGTAAAGATCATGTGTTAGGCTATGATTATTGTATCGGAAATTTCGCTAGGTCACTTGCTTTGACACTTGAGAATGAATATGAAGCCGAGTGAAAGGACTAGACCGAAATCCATCGAAGTTGTGAAATGGGAAGATTTTTGCTGTGCTACACTCGATTCGTTCATTGATCCTTTTCTACACATCAATATTGATGCGTGAAATAAGCGAGCAAACCATATATAGGCTCTTGTTAGGAGGTTTCTATTATGGTGGGCTCATCTGCTAAAGAATCTGCGAGTGACTCTGCATCGTCGAAACCGCGCATAAATTCTCCCCCCTCGAAGCGACCTAGAGACTCTGGTGACGACGACGACATCGATGCCTCCAACATTGTAACCCCTCGGCCCAAGCACCCTCAATACAAGCCCGCCTCATCCGTGTCCTCTTACGCGTCCTCGTCCATGGCATCCAAGGCGTCGCGGACCAGCTCGCCCACGAAACAAATCCTCCAAGCCGAGCTGCAGACAATGGGCTTTTGCCAAGCAACCTTTGCAAGCGACCCTCTGCCACGGACGCTGGCGTCTCTCCGCCGCGATCTGAGATCGACATGATTTGGAGATGGCATCCTCCCGAAACGTCTAGAGCCCGAGGTGAGTCCTTTAACCAGCTTGCATGTTTCCATTACGATGATAACAAGAAAGCTGAACGCAATGAGATAGCTCGCCGATCTTGACATACCATCTTTCTTTTTCCATGACAATCAAGACACGGCTCGTCTGCGGTTTCCATCTCGAAGAGCCGTCCGCAACATATGGGCCCAGGCGAACATGCACGACATGGAGTCAAGCCCGGAGGCACAGTGGAATGCAGACGTGCACCAGCCACTGCTAGATGCAGCCCTAAAGGAGGACGGTGTGCCTGTATCTCCGTATTCATTGTGTTCAGTTGTCGGGCTCTGGCAGCTTCCATTGCTGTTAAACTTTATTCTCTTTCTCTTAGGTGCCTGTATCTCTTTTGGCTCCCCACTACTGGTAAGATCCGTTGACTGCTCTACTGTCTTCTGTGGTTCCTCTGCTGACAAGATTGCCAGCGTGGCTGCCCCTGTGCTCGTACAATACCGACCGAGGGACACCCCCCAGTAAAATGGTCGACTACTGTCTGTCAATTCAGCCCCGCGAGACTCGCCACCGAGAAGCCATCGAACACATCCGAGCCTCGCGCCCGGGCTGCTCCATCAACCACAGCGACTAAGGGGGGCAGATGATGAAGCACCATCGCAATTTCCATCGAGACTAAGCGCCATGTGGAACAGTTCGACACGGCGCTTCTGCAGGTCGCTACCTGGCACTTGGCGCAGTGGAGGAGCTTGCGCTGGGGCGGGCGTGTGGTGTCCAACATTGAGTTTCTGGCAGGCTTAATTGTGCAGGGGCACGACTGGCAGTTTGTCCCCACGGCCCCGGGGGATGGCGAGAATGGATTGGTGAGGGTGTTTCGGCCAGGGATCCATATCGGGGACACGAGGTCTGAGGAGGCCATCTACAAGCTGCTCGTGTCTTTACAGCGGCTGACTGCGTGGGCTGAGGATGTATTTTGGCCCGTATTCAAAGCTGATTTCAGCGTTCCCGATTGAACGAGCGGGTATGTCCCAGATGGAAGACATTATCGATGTACGTCTGCTGTACCGCGGCACCCGTCATGACTGGCGACATCAATACAGCTGCCACCTATTTCAACGCGCTCCTAGGATATAAGTGCCAGGCCGATTATAGCCACTCTTGATGTTTAAAAACGAGGAGGTTTCTATATACATCCTTGATCGCGGTTCTAGAGCTTTAGAGCCACTTGATGGGGGGTTTGCAGAGGATGTCTGAATAGTAGAGACAACATTCAAGCGATTTGGCCTTCCTTTTGCCCAAAGGACTGGTAGGATATCTTCTGAGGTTTCAATTTCGGCAAGGCAACCGAAGATGCGTCGGGACGAACTTCCTTCTCACAAGAAGAGAATTCCTTGCAATGCACATTAAGTTGAGCTTAGGAAGACCACGTATTTGCAATCAAACAATGGTAGTAGTTCAGTGCGCCCCTTGGCTGGATGTTCATATGTTCATCTCCCGTCTTCATTAGAGCCGCCGAGCATCTAAGGCAAAGGCAACCAACCACTATCTACGCGCTTCGCATCAAAACTATCAACATTCTATTCGCATACTAAGATCTCATTATTAAAAGAAACCAATTTAACTCGCCAAACTATCCGTCTCATAATTCAAAATAAATTGAAAGAGTGCAGATTGATGATCTCACCATCTTCGGACATCCCAAGCTCTCCGTACATCAATATTTGGACGTACGTATCTCCGGTAGACTTGAAAATCTAATGATGCTTGCGTCGAATGATAGGCACACTGCATTTATACATAACACAGAGCTAATCCCTGAGGCTCCTTCCATGAATGTTAGATAAAGCCTTTGTTAGATTGGTACCGTAAGCGGATAGCATCTCCAACAAGGAATTGCTTATCACCATCACGACCGACACATATATCGCACATTGCGGCAGAAGTCTTGAGCAGCAAATTAAGTACTTCTCTCAACATTGGTGTAAAGAGATGATGATATTCCTTGGAGGACATCTTCATCGTTTTCCTGGCCCCTGCGTGGCTCACTCTGGCTACATAAAGGAGAGAGAGAAAGCCTCGGCATGTAGCCTTCTCTCTCTCCTTAGGAAAGAAAATAAATACAAGAGTTGAAGCCCAACCGCAGCCGCCCTAGGACCAATCTGCTACATTCATTTTTATTTCGTTGAAGACCTGTTGAAATGACTTCTCTTTGGGACCATAGCAAGCCAATATGTGAGGAATGTGGCAAAAGCATTGAACACCACCGCATATGCAGCCATAAATCCAACGTTCCGCCGTGGCTCTGGGTCTAGGACTCGCTCATGGCGGCCTCATGCTGGCCCAAATAAAATTTGCTCGTCATCAATGGGATAACTGAGCCTGCTGGCACGACGGCACATATACAGAGGTAGGTGAGCAACTTTGCAATGCTTCGTCGGAAATCACTAACCCCAACAATCATGAGGCTTCAGTTATCGCCGGAGAGGAGGTTCCAGACGTGGGAAAGATTAATTATTATATGTAATCAGATTGCAAACTAGGCTTGCTAGTTTTCTCCGGTGTACTTCTACACTTCTGCATCTATGCTTTTAATATTCTCAATTTTTCAAATCCCATTTGAGTGTTTAGCCAAAATGACTGGACAGGAGCGGAGTTCCTTCTCCTATTTTTATTCTACTGTGATTTGTCGCTGAATTGGGTAGCTCTCAAATGCAGACATTGAAAGTTTGCACGTTAAATTGCTATTCGGACTCTATTTGATTACCTATGACTTATTTGTATCACCTATTTGCTACACGCATTAGGTTTATTGAAGGCTCATTGACATCTTTCCAGGTAGGGTAGGTCCACCGTGCGAGCTCTAGGCCGTGTACGGACACGACAGGACGGGAATTGCCGACCTCTCTTAATGACGATGGCAAATTAAAGTCATTAATAGAGTTAGCGCCAAGCACGCGGAGCATCAAAGATCGCCAGGCGCTAGGATAGGCTTAATCTTGGCATAGTTCAACAAGGCCGACGTTTTTCGGGGACCGAGGCAGTTGAGGTAGCCCGATTTGAACTCTCCAAGACGCGGGGCCTTCTTCCTTTCCATTTTGGATAGGGCACAGGTAGCACACCAAGACGCTCTGCGGGCAAGTGGCAGGCTAAATCGGGGGGCTGTGTTGACAACTTGGTGCTTGGCACTCTTTGAGTTGCCAAGGATGGCTTTGCACCGCTCTAGCTTGAGAAGCAAGGGGCCTCCAGCTCCTCCATCTGGCAAACTACAGGGTCCAGGTAGATTGCTAGCTCCTTCGCCCCCCTCTTGATTGGCCGCATCGAACTTACCAAGCTTCATTCACGTCCGGATAGCTGTGTATCCGGCTTGGCTCTCTGTTTGTCTTGCACTCCTATGACGCGCGGGCTGGTAGAAGGAAGTCTGTTAGCCGGTAGCTTCATCGTAGATCGGTATGATTAGAAGGAATGGCGGCATTCAGTTATGATATCAGACGTTGTTCAATGGCTCTATAAGAAGCGTCGAGTGGTCGCCACAAACGCGCTTAATTCCTCATCTCAGCATCTCACCAAATACACCTGTACACCCTCTTTTCTCGCCTAACACATCGACTTCACCACACAACAAACTCTACCTAAATCCAAGATGAAGTTCAGTATTGTTGCTGCCCTTGGCCTCGCTGCCATTGCCCATGCCCAGCCTGTTGCCAACTCTATTGAGCCTCGTCTTGTTAATATCAAACTCGGCGGCAAAGGGAGCAATGGTGCCGACAAGAGCCCCTTCTCCTTCACCTCTACCTATTCCCTCTACGCCACCCCCGAGGAGGTCGTCGACAGTAACAATGCCTTCACTGGAGGTCTTGCGGGTGCGAGCGGTGTCTACAAGTTCGGCATCAACTCACGCGACAACATCATCTGCTACAATATCACCCTGAGCTCCTTCCAGGGCGAGTACCAGTCCCCTGCCATTAGTGCTACCCATATCCACGAAGCTCCAAGGGGCAGAGCCGGACCCCCTCGGTAAGCCAATTCAACGTTGATTCTACATCAAGAAAGAAGTACTCTAAAACCATTTATTAACCCTTAATAGCATCGCCTTTCCCAATCCAGTCGAGATCGGCCCGAGCCTGCGATCCTCCATCGGCTGCATCCGTGGCCCCTTCACGACCGGTGTTCTCGCCAACGGCAAAGATACCGGCGAGGGCTTCCACGTTAAGCAGATTGAGGAGAATCCGGCTGCCTTCTTTGCTGATGTCCACTCCAGCCTGGCTGTTCCCGGTGCTGTCCGTGGACAACTTGAGAAGAAGTGTTAACCCTAGATTGCACGGACATTGATGACTAGGTTGAGGAGGATTATAATGACGCTTGGTATTATATTACCCATCTAATTAAGTAATTAGTAAACAATATTAAAATCTTGCACTTGCTCCCTTTTGCCCTCATTTATCGATGTTCGCGGAAATTTGCGATAACGTTGCAATAAAAGCTCTAATGGATCCCTGCCCTATATAACTCCGCCTCTTCTTCTTTCTAGAGATGAGCTTCATAATCAAACGGACTGTGATTTTTTGGATTCTGTATTTTTTTAAAAATGAATATCTCATTAATTCTTCTGAACCCATTCCTTGCCGGTAATGGTTCAGATACTTAGATGCGACCACTTGCGCGCTGGCTTAGCTTATGAGGCGTTAAACTTAGATTTCCACATCAACAGCTACGGCTGGTCCAGCACTGAATTATCACCACTGTCCCCCACCCCCTTACTCCATCCCTGATATGCTCTACCTCCGGTTGCCAATACAGCTTGAATGACCCCTACTCTTCTCTAGGAGAAGAATTGATGTGAATTGGGGATTGGAATACGGCTTCCATTTCAGGACGTTTGAAGCCGGAATCACGCCCAAAATTGCTAAAATCGGAATTTATATAGATATATAGCTATATATACCCAGCACTCCCCCTTAGGCTAATCATAAAGCCTCCTTAAATTACTAATTTTAGCTTTTCTTGAACCTATAGAAATAAATAATAATACGGGTGCTAATAGATAAGGATAAATCACTAGGCATAACATAATTCATATAACAAGAAATACATAGAGTAGAAGTCTTGCTTGGGAGGCAACCTCGCTACTCTAGCTCCCTATTGATCGGTCAAATTCTGAGCTTTTCTCGCTCTAGACACGAGACGCTCTGATGGGAGCAAGCCCCCAACACTCGCAGCCACAACACCTGGCATACCTACTGCAGAAACCATGGGTAGAACTCGCGGTCGATTCAATAAACTCCCGCTCCTCACCTTTTCCAACAGCGCTAGATCATCTCTGATTACAAATAGTGCGGTATCAACGCTATAATTCTCGGCATCCAAGAGAACTGGCAACAACTCGTCCCCGGTCTTTGATTTCCGGCGGAGCCGCAGCCAAGAAGGCCAGCGATCTTTGATAGATTGAAGCGATCTTTCGATGATGTGATCGGGGAATAAGCGGATAAGAACACCGATTGGGATAGAGAAAAATCCTATGGTAACGGAGAGTGCCCATTGTGTCCCATTCATTTGGACGACGACAAACGCATCACCGCCAAAAAATATTATAATAAGCTGGCCACCGGTCATCACGGACATCATAAACATAAACCAATAATTGCGGTGTAGTCCCTCAAATATGTTAAGCCGATTATCGATACGACGGCTATTGACCAACTTGAAGATCTGCATGAATACGAAAACGTTGAAAATGAAGGTCCTGAGCTCCGGTTCGGGGTAGTCGAGGAAACTGGGCCCTGCAAACCACAAGACAAAGCAGACAATTAACTGGAAGATTGATTGCCCTATTATCATCTTCCACATGGGAAGCGTGATTATAGACGCGCTTCGAGGCTCGGGCTTCCGGTGGAGGAGACTTCCGGTCGGCCGATCAGTGGCTAGAGCGAGGGCAGCGAAGGTATCCATGATGAGGTTTACCCACAGAAGCTGAACGGCGTTTAGGACAGGCGTTCCCTCGTCGTCTGAAACGGCCGACACGAATGTGATGATCACAGCTGTGATGTTAACGGTGAGCTGAAACTGGAGGAACTTCTTGACGGCATCGTTGATAGCACGGCCCCATGCAAGAGCCTTGACGATGGACGAGAAGTTGTCATCCATAAGGATGATGTCTGAAGCCTCTTTGGCTACTTCTGTGCCTGCGAGGCCCATGGAGAACCCAATGTCAGCCGCTTTGAGAGCCGGGGCGTCGTTTGTCCCGTCTCCAGTCACTGCAACAATCTCCCCAAGGTTCCTCAACGTCTTGACAAGGACTCGTTTGTCCTCAGGGCTCGCCCTTGCAAGTACACGAATATCCTTGACAGCCCCCGCGCGATCGGATGCACTGAGTTGATGAAACTCCGACCCTTCCATCACTAAGCCTGGCTCACCGCGCTTGAGAATACCACACTCTTGAGCAATGGCTCTCGCAGTTTCTATGTTATCACCTGTTACCATCTTGACAGTAACAGAGGCAGAGTGGCAATCTTCCACAGCTTTAGGAACGCTCTGTCTGACGGGGTCTTTGATGCCGATGATGCCAATCCAGGTCACGGCTTGGAAGACGTCGTCGAGCTCCAGTCCACTTGGGCTGGACTCATTGCCAGTCTCAGGTGGCCAATGTGAAAAATCACGGTATGCTAGGGCGAGGGTTCGAAGAGACTGAATCGCGTAGCTGGACGTGATATGGCTGAGGACTTGCTTGTGTGCATCTGTTAGAGGCGTCAATGTCAACGATTTCGTGGGGTTGCTGAGAATGAGAGTGCTCGCACATCGGGCCAACACAATCTCCGGTGCGCCCTTTATGAATAGTCGATATTTCTTGCCCCCTTCACCATCTCCATCTCTAGGGAGCTCTATGACAACTCCCATACACTTGCGGTTGGAGATAAATGGGAAAAGCTGCTTGACTGGGTGGTTGGCTCGCTCTATTTCAAGAGGACCGAGGGCAAAACACTGGCGGACCCAATCCAATAGGGCAGTTTCTGTTTTTGTACCGATAAAAACCTTTCTTCCCTCATCCTCTCCCTCAAAAGCTGTGGTATTAACAGCAATCGCAATCTTGAGAAGATCCCGATACTGTGCGTCCAGCGTGGATGAAAGTTGGCCTATCGGGACTTGAACCACTGGCTCAATTTTCTCAAATCGGGCGACCGATTTCCCCCTGACCACATGCGTCTTCTGGTCTTCTCCTAAAGTCAGCCCACCGCTTTCCGTTTGGTGATCAATTTTTACACCACCAAACCGAACTTGACCCCCCTCTCCCAAGGCCCCCGATACGACAGTCATGACATTCTCTGTTAGGGTTCCCGTCTTATCGGAACAGATGATCGTTGCGTTTCCCATAGTCTCGCATGATTGCAAGTGGCGGACGAGATTGTTCTCCTTCGTCATCCGTTTCGTAGCAAACGCTAACGATAACGTCACGGCCAAGGGCAACCCTTCAGGAACAGCAACCACGATGATGGTGATGGCGGTGATAAGGATGTGGAGGAAGCTCTGTCCCTTGTCTTCTGAGCTACGATTATCTTTCGGTAGCCGAACAAGGAATTCGACAAAGAGCACCAAAAAAAGCAAACCGCCGGCTGCACCTCCGAGCTTTGCAATGTAGCCTAGACACGGACTCAGTCTTGTTCTAGCTCCTGCATTCATAATCGCATTGGGGTGGCCTTCAATAGGTTACAATGTATGTGAGAACTAACCTGCCAATACATTAAGCTTGGACTGCAGAGGCGTGAGTCCAGGGTCGTCACGAAGAGCCATCATAGTTCTGCCAAGGCTCGAGTTTCTGCCGACCGCCGTTACAAGGAAGGATCCCACGCCATCAAGCACTTTTGCCCCAGAGAGGATAAACGGGTCGAGTTCCTTGTGATTCGGTGCCTCTTCCTGTAGAAGCGAGCGCATTACCTCATCTCCCGGGACCTTCTTCATCAAGTCAGACTCGCCTGTGACGGAAGACTCATCGCAGCTCAGGCTGTGGCCGTTGATGCAGACTCCATCAACGGGAATGATATCGCCTGGCTCCATGAGCATGACATCGCCCACGAGAACATCATGCACTGACACCGTTGCTGCCTTGCCCGAGCGGATCACCTTGACAAGCCGATCCTCCTTCTTCGCGTTCAATTTCCTGAATTGACGCTCCTTCTGCCAATCGTTCAAGGCACCAACGATGACCACAATGGCGACGGCGGTGATAATAGCCACGCCTTCAACCCACTCTACTTTGGCGCCTTCATCGTGTGTCTGGCCAAACGTTTGGTATAGCCCCAAGGCTAGCGAGATGACGGCGGCGATGCTGAGCAATATCAAGACTCGGTCTCGAAGCGCAATCAATACTAGCCGTAGAAAGGACGTTGATCTACGGTCAGGCAATCTGTTGTTCCCGAATACACGCTTACGATCGATGAAGCAGTCAACTCCCCCATCACAATCGTGAGGCTGGTAGTTACCGGACTGCTGCAGATTGATTGAAGTTTCCCGTGGGCTGCCTGCCAGCGCTAAATCTGAAGTCGCCTGTTCAAACGTGATGGTTTTCGGTGGGTGTTTCTCATCAACGCTCAAACCACACCGGAGATTGGTTTGCAGGCCCTTCTCCAGCCCTGACAGTCCTCCTAGTGCCACAAATGCAGGTAGGCTCTTGGGATTGATCAGCTTCCCCAGCTGTCCCGGTGAGAATGCAAAGGGCCCTTTGCTAACGGTGAATAGAGGCTCGTCTCCTGGACTAGGTTGAAGTGCGTCAGCGTTGCCAGGATGGGTTTCCAGGAGCGCAAGCCAGGTTTTTTGGCCTTCGCTGGAGCCGGCATGAGTGGTGCCGGATGAGACACCAGAATCTGCTTCGAGCCGCACGGGTGGAACTGTCAATGCATGCGAGGCCCTTCGAAGGGGTGGCTGAGATGTCGAAAGCATGTCTCCTATCGAAGAAGATGAACTAGGTGGGCTTTGCAGAGGTCTCCTCAACACTAGGCCTTCTCTTTTTCGCTATGAACGGCCGAGATATGTACCGTGATGGTGGCGATCACCGTATGAGCAGAGCGGTATAGCTAACGTTCTACTATAAGATCCAAATCCCGTGATTCTGGCATATTATACGCAAGAGGCATACGACGATGGTATTTTGGGGGTGGGGGCAATATATACACACCAAAGCATTTTCCCTCGCGTCTCGTAGCTTAGAAGAATAGGGAAGCACGGGTGAGGATATGGGGTTTGTTCATGATCCCCGCCAATCGTAGAGCGGCTGTTGCACTGCCCCTCGGCAGGACACCCTTCTTTTCGAGTCTTCCCCCATCATCTTCGCTCATTGGTTCGTATAATTAAGCTTGCAGAGGCCAGTTGTAATACAAAGATTTAGGTGACGGTAGTCACCAAGCCTAACGACGGGTGGCCATTTAAGGTTTACATGCTTAATTGGTGTGCTTAACAATGATGTCGCGATGATGAAACGGCTGGTAAAGCTCGTCCGATCACGAACATTTTGAGATTAATGTAGTGACCTTATGCAATCGCGCATAGCAACAATGTTATTACATCGTGCTCGGCGCATAGCCTAATAATAATTGGTCCCGCTGATGGAGGATCGGCAGTAGGAGTGCATAAGACAGAGAAAGGCAGATTGTTTTGGGATGGAGACGGGCCATTTACATAGCCACCGGAGGGGCTGAATCTTTGTGTGTCCTCTATTAACCTCGAGGTGAGCGAGGTGGCACCCCGAATCAGTCCACGGAATGTCACCGGGGGTACAAGAAGACGGCTTATATTTCCTCCTCGTTGCCAACGGTGTGATGAAAGGTTTGAAAGACGTCCTTTTCTGACAAACAGAGGCACGAGCGAGTACTCTCAACCCCTAGATAAATCCCACACGGCGATGCACTTGCGTTCCCATGCCCACTCTCACAGTCAGCGCAAAGTATGACGTAGGCGATGGAGTGACGTTTTTATTACACAGATAGACAGCTACAGTCTTCTCATTCTTCGTAGATTTTGTTCTAGCCAAGCATACTACGAGGCATCGGGTCTGCGTAAATAGATACCAACGCATTATTTTTAGCCTTGTCCGCCCATGCCATAACGGAACCGAACACTTCCGCACATGTTTTATAGTATAGCGAGTTTATATTAATTACTAAAGTAATGATAAGTTGTTTGCCTTTAGTTGTTGGTTCTTAGATGCTAGAAGTCAGTAGATAAAGATGAAGTTATCAAGGTAAAGGGGAAAGCGGAGGTAACTATTATTTCTAAGCAGGAAAGCGGAAGGAACAAATAGGAAGGAGAACAATGGCTGTAATACTTAATAGGCAAAGCTAGAGTAATAGTTGGGATGGTGAAGGTTTCTCTTAAGCCCTTGGGTGCTGGGAAAACAGTTAAATTGAAATAGTTAGATTCTAAATAGTTAGCCGCACTATGTACCTATATTGTAATGGTTATGGACAGTTGCCACACTATAGCATTTTTTAGCATTTTGCTCTATCAATCATCTTTCTGTAGATTGCTTGTTTGTTAGAACACCCTCATTGCCACACAGGCAAGAAGAGGTGCGAAAATGATACATAGCCAAACTCTGGCCAATGTTCTGTACGAGACTCACCCTAAATCCTTTGTTTTGACGTCTGTGCAGCAACACTTGTGACAGGGGTAATAGCTCGGCCAATTCTACCCTGAAAGGAATGTGACATTGGCGCGCTACGCTCGAGATGAAGCCATTGGATGCTTACTGTAGCATTGTCGCACGATGTAAGCAGAACTTCAGAACCCCGGAAGCATAAGGAGCTAATGTAGATCTTCTTTGCCCTCCTTGGTAGTTTGAAACTTCTCCTAAAGGAGGCTGTGCGCTAAGAAGTATAGCTAGTCAGCATATATAAAAGACCCAGCATCCGACAACATTCACCATACTGTTTCTCACAACCACAACATCAAAACGCTTTCAAGCACGATATTTCACGATGAAGTTATCTATCATCGCTCTTATGACTACGATTGGCCTTGCCGCTGCGTAAGAATTCCCTTTGTCATCTCTCACCTTCTACTTTAAGTTGAGCTAACATTTGGGGAATCAGCGAATGCTCCGAGGGCTTCTGGTATGCTGACCGCGAAACCCGTGAGCCCTGCGCCACCCCTTGCGAAGTACAAGGTGGAGGGAAGTGTATTCTCGATTGCCCAGAGGAGAACGACCCCAACTTCCCGCTTCTTTGCGCAGCTACTTGTCAGTGCCCATAAGCATCAGGGCAGAGTCTGAACGAAGTTGGCGCGACAAATCATTGTTAATCCTCTTTGAAGACACGTGGTTCGCTGCGATTTTGAAGAAGGCAACTGTTTCAAACTTCAACTATTTTCTCAGGTAGAACTTAGGGGCTAAAGATATTACTTCATGAAGCTAGCTATCACTCTAGCTTTATCTATATGATGAAGCTTCATTGTTTCTCTTAATATCTAACTCAATCCATTTTTAGTCACTCTCCACTCCTCCATGTGCGCGGCGAGGTAGCTGAACCAGGAAATACTTCTAACCCCCCTGCTCTATCAATAGACATATACTCAATAAGGCCATTCCGAACCTTGCGCAGGGTTCTCTTGGAGTCAAAGGACCAACCAGGCACGTGGGTTTGAAACAATATCCGTTCATCTGGAGCATCGGGATCTGCAGAATCGAAATCTAAGGAACTAGAGTGATGTATTTGAACTCAGATTTGTTGTAGAGACTGGAGACGCCTACTAGATATGATACTCTCTATCTCTGTGGATATAATCTTTCTTGGAGGCCACAGTAGAGGGGCCGGTGGTGGAATACAGTCTTGCTCGTAACGAATGTCAAGTGTTGCGATTGATGGTGGGAGAACACTCTCCAGAGGCAAAACACGGCGCTCAAATGGTTGATCTGCAATAAGGCCACCTGAATTCAAGCCTTGAGTGATGATTAGGTCGTTATTATAGCACTGTAGATGGCGGAGGCTTGCCATGCCACATAGAGACCCAATTCGACCGCTGGGTGTATGCGTCCACTTGTATTGGGAAAAGTCAAGGTGGAGACTGGTGAGATTGCACCCGTAGTTTCGTAGAGCCTGCCCCATCTGTTCAAGATCAAGAGCCCAGGAGACGTGGTCAACGAATGAATAGCGTTCAATCGCATATTGTGTCTCAGCCAAATGAATACTAAGAACAGTAAGCTTGGGGCAGTTTCGAAGAATGAATTCAAAACTACGGGCATCGACGTAGCAGTTTGTAAGTTTCCAGACTTTTAGACTAGATGGCCAGTCTTCAGACAGTAAGTCTGCAGGAAGCTCCTTATTGAAGAAATCTACAGCCTTGAATCCACCATTGATTGAAAGAGTGGAAAGCCCTGGTTTGTTGATGATATCCGCAAAGACACGATCAGTCAGATCAGTCAGGGTCTATTCTTCCCCATCAAGCTCTAAATGGAGGTCTTTCAGATAGGCATGACCGTGATTGGCAAAAGGCCCAAGCTCAGGAGTAAGATCTAAGTTAGGCTCAACCCACATATATGGTGGGTTTCCTTGTGGACGCCATGATGTTATAATCATATAGTTCTAAATATCATCGGGGCCACTTGAGAAAAGAAGAAGATTCCTAGTCATGGTAGCGTACAATAGAAGCACTATAGGAATCGCATGGATTCCTTTTAGTTCTGGTTCCAGTGTACGTCGCAGAGTGTACGGCACGTCCCAAGGGAAGCCGATCGGTGACCAGTCCAAGCTCGATGCAGAGCTTTGAATGGATAGGAAGCGGATATGTTTTGCGAGGTCTGGACTTTTTGTTATTGTTCTGAGGAGAAGGCTAGGCCACTGGTCCTGATCTGGGCCATCCGTCGTTTCGTAAATAAGGTTGATGGTATGGTACAGTAGAGGCTGGGCGATGTGATACAATCGTCGGCTTACTCGACAAAGGGAGGACAAGTCTGTTGGGCGTAGTGATCGATAAAGTTGCACGGTCTGACTTTCTTCTCCATCAGAAGGCCGTCTTGCAGGCGTAGAATGTAGTATAGGGATGAGGTAGCGCAATGTATGAACCAAGGCCTCGTTGGGGATATAGAGATCCATCTCGGGTGGCTGTCTGTTAACTGATTCTGTATCTTTGGTCTTTTGAAGGATGAAAGGATGACGTTATGCCACGTTGTTCAAAGATCTAACGAAGGACCAACAAGCAACAGGTTAAATCACGTAATTGCGCAGACGTATGATCTTTATGAATTAGCTACAGCTACGAATGACTACCGAAGCGGCCACGCAGCGATCACTCGCCTTGATAGAGGGTCGGAAGTCAAGCTCCCATGAACTGACTGTTGTAACCGCTGACAATGGGGTCAAGCTTATGAATTCTTGACTTTGGATGCAACGATGGATTAGTATTGCTACGCTTTGTTCGTTCCATATTGTTAAGCTAGAGGCAAAAAGCCTAGATCATTTGCCACAAGCCGCAATATTCCCGCTAGTTCTCAGGCCTCTCATTATCAACGAAGTTTGAAATCCCCTCCGGAATAGTCTCAACGGCGTCAACAGTCGCGTTCTTGAAACAGCTCATCTTTCCAAAATATACACCATGATCAACGGGATCATATTTGATGAAAGGGTTTGTGTTACAGAAGAAGTTTAGATTACCAATACAGGTCTTGATATCCTCAACCGGCCAGCGCTTTGGGTCGCTCGGGGTACCTGTGAGCCAAATCTCAGGAGAAGTGTGACGGTACCCAAAAAGTTGCCAAGGCGGCAGGCGAGGGACAGGATCGGCCTGGTGTGTCACGCGATACAGCTTGCCGGGCGATTGACTGATGTAGTCACTGATGATGTCGTTTCCCACACGGGGCTGCCCGTAGGTGTAAAGGTCGAGCTTGTAGCCGTCACTTCGGAGATGAGCTGCCGCAACTGCCGCAATGGCGCCTCCTAGGGAGTGCCCAACTACCTTGAGACGAAAATCTGGATGGAGGGCCTGCGCCTTATCTATTGCAGCACGGACATCCGGAGAGAGCTCGACCCAAGCGTTGTAAAAACCCAGATGGAATTTGCCGCCACGGACTAGGAGGCTGTTGACAAGACCAAAGTTTAGGTTGGTTTCCCAATTCCGGTTAGACGCTGTACCTCGGGCGGCGAAGATGATCTCGTTGCGAGATGGGACCACGGCTACATAGCCAGCGATATCACTGTTTGGTGCTGGGCCCGTGCTGTTAAGGGTGTACAATGGTCAATGATTCGATCCTAATCTCAGGAGAAATACTCGTTACGTACTTGAAACTTGTAATTATAGTCCCTGCATCCTTCAACACTTCATCACAATTGGCTTCACAGGCCACTGGTTTCCCAACTGGAGTGTTGGCATTGCAATAAGTGGCTGCTGCATACTCGGAATAACGACTGAGTTCCTCCGGGATCGGAAAACCCTCTGAGATAGAGTTAGCATTATTGGGACATAGAAATCAGGGACCTAAACAAACTATACCATTTTGTCTAGTGTAGACCTCACTTCCGGCGTTCGAGGCAAGCAAGCCACTAGCGAGTAAACTCGCAACAAAGATATGCGACAACATTGCAGCCAGCGCAGAGACATCAGCAGGACTCTGGGGGTAACTTGATATGGTGTGTGTCAAGCAAAGAAGCAAAGGTATCTGTGTCATTATTCGACTCTAAACTGGCTGGCGACTCTACCTTTATACGACAGATTCGTCTTGGCTAATGCAATGGCTCATGCGACTCCCTGTAAGGAGTCAGTCATTGTGGAGTTGTCTCGGTGAATTAGGTGCATGATGCCCGTAGTTGCTAAAGCGTCGGTCGAATGAGAATGGCGAAAGAAGAGACAAAAACGGTAGAGACGGTGTTGTGGACAGACGGGACGATAATCGCTGTCCCGTCTTACGGTCTCACAATGTGCAAATTGCCCGCCCCCTACTAATTGAGAAAAGATGCTCAATGTATGTCGGATATTTGTCTTACAACTACGTATCTCTCTTTCAGAAACGTATTTCGGGTCTTCGAGTCAGTGGGAAATCCCTCTAGATACCTTAGCGGGAAAGGGGTGTGCGTATGCACAGTCACACGATGGGGGAAGAGTCTTATGACGCCGTAACTGTCGCCCGGCGTGCAAATATTTATACTCTTCCGATGGAATACGATATAAAGTTAAAGGCACTATCCGTACCCAGTTTATGTACTAAATAAAAAAAGCAAGACTGAACCCGCCTTCCGTAATTCGGAAAGAAGACACGGAAATTTACTTGATAGAAATTGCCATAATCGTCTCCAAGTTAAATAATACCCTCAAACCTTGTCCTGTATTGAATTCAATCATCCATGAATTGCTCTGCTGAGGTACTGGCTCTCGGTGCCCTGCCGTATCATCCCCACTTGTTAGTCGTGCAATACTCCCATTAGAAGTCTACGTATGGCCGTCGAGCAGATCTTGATTCGACTGTCCGCAGTTGCTCGTTCTTAGGATCATTTCTTCTAGCGTATTAAGGCCAAGATCCAACATCTCGTGGTGATATCCGCACTTGAGGCCTAAAGCGAACAGAAGAAGAATGCCGTTGAAGATGGCATTGGTGAGGATGAACGGGAACTCGCGAGTTTGAAGGCTTTATAGCGGGTGATTGCGCTGACTTTCCTGACACCGAAATCACTCTGTCCGGTAAAATACTGCGCACTGGCAAAGCTAATGAGAATAAGGTCGATCATGACCTCAATGGCCGTTTCTATGCCGTGGTGTTATATCGACATCCTAAGGGATGAACCGGTTCTTTTCTGCCGGTTGGGTTCTTTCGATGTTTGACATCAATGCTAGCAATTATTAGTAAAAGCAATCGAAGTAGCCATGGGTGATGCGGCTTACCAGCGCCAAGTGAGACGAATAAGCAGCTGCTGATGTTTGAACCACCATCCCAATTTTGCGAACCGCATTGTCTGTAGAAATTAGGCAACTGAGGTCCTTGCTAACTGCCACCTGCAGGACACGATCGTTAGGTGAAATCGAGACCTCGAAATTGCGATGTTCACAAAATACTTCACAGAATATCATGTTCAATCTGCTATACAACGTTGGATTTTTACCGGTGACAATCCATCGGCCGGCTCTTTTCCCGATAGGTTTTCCAAGCAGGGCCATAATTTTGCTGTCTCCATTGAAACCTGGCAGTCGAATGTTTTGGCGTGAATTATAAGGTAAGTGCTGGGTCACACGGTACCAACCGTTGCGCCCAGGCTTGACTTCACTCTTCATTGTGCTATCGCGTGAGCAATTCACAATAGACCAACAGTCAGGTTGGGCTAGGAGACCTTTTTCAGGTCTTGGTTCGCCTGCTTTTGGATGTCCTCATTGAATCATGCGGTTGCCCGACGCCATATGAGCGATGGAGATATCTGTACGAAGTGTTGTCGAGCTTTAGGTGAGTCTTTGTGGCATTATCGATCACAGTTGCGGTCGACACGTACCTAGTTTAAGATAGAGCCGAAGACAGTGCAGATGGGAGAGTAGAAAAATAAGCCAAAATCAGTTTTCCCACTTTCATTTCCTCATCGATAATCAACTAGTTCCAATGTCTGTGAGTGCCATCAGTCGCGGAGTATAGAGTCTTAATGTTCTAAAGAAGCTCCAATTCAGACGCATCCGGAGTCAATGCACTCGTCCAAACCGGCCCTGCAGCCTGCAGAGATGCTTGAGATGTACTATTCGTGACTCTCTTCTTCATCCTTTTTTTCTGCTCTCATAATTGAGATTCGTGGTGCTAAATATGTCTTAGCAAAAAAAAGGATTGCGACGAGTCCAACATCCTCCAGGGAGCGAGAACGGGTCATCTTGACTGATCTATGAATTCAAGGCCTAGTGCAAACAAATATTCCCGAGTGAGAGGCCACGCAAGAAAATTGATAGCGAAAAAGGGAAGAGAATCCGGAATTCAGCCCTGGTGTTGGAGTTGTCCTAACTTTCTAAGGTAGTGTGAGGTAACCGGAAAGTCCCAGAGCCATGGGAAGGCCTGGTACTAGCACCTTGACCAACCCATCCATGCTGGCAAGTTACATTCGTACAGAGAAGTTGTGGGTGACATGCATCACTATAATGCCCTGGATGCCTCGCTACACAATCTGCCATATGGAATCTCCAGAAGTGGCAAGAGGCGAGTGCATATTACCCCACATGTGGACATTTATTTATCTGATAAAGCTGGACTCGCTCGCTGTTTCCTCTTCTGCTTGACCGTTTAGCCTGGTAGCTTATCTGGAGTTTGTTCTTCTCCCTTCCCTCCCTGTGAGGGCTGCCACGGTCTATGTCCCCAGATTAGCCTGTCAGGTAACCTTACAACCCCTGAGACCCTGATTCCCCAATCATGTTCCTACCAAGCGGCCATCACCAGCCGTTAGCCTTGAGGAGGCATCAAAGACTTTCACCAGATGGTGGTACCTGCAGATCAGATCACAGGCTTTAGTGGAGCCGTGACATGACTCGCCGCAGGGGTCCAACGCTCGCTCGGAACTACCTGCCTTAACCTTCACGGCTACTCTCCATACCCGTTTGTTGGCTGCTGTCTTGGTCGTACCCATGCTGATGAGATTCCTGTAATTCTTTTACGTAATACCCCAGGATCCCCAGGATCTTGGCGGCGGTCTTGGACTGGGCCAAGGGCAGCACTCCATCGGGGCAGTCTTCCCATGAGAAACACAAACGATGGCCAGGCCTTGGAAAAGAACTGTCAGCGCCATCCTGTCGGAATCTAGAAGGGGGGCTAGGCGTGGCAAACGGCCATGGAGGCGAGCCACGATCGTAACACAGCACCCTAGGGGAATACCCGCTGTGCAGGCATTTAGATCCGAGTCTTATCGCGGCACCATGCACTACTTCTTACCCCGGACCAAGATAGGAAACGACAGGTTAGCCTAAGTATCTATCAGTCCAAAGCCAGGGAAGGTGCTGGCGTTGTTACCCAAACTTGTACGGGGATATTCGCTATCGTCTGGAACTCACTTCCATCTCGATGGCAGCACCAATCATTAATGCTTGTATGGTCACCACCGTATTTCGCTGTGTATCTGGGAGTCCCTAGACCTTGTGATATCGCAACGTCACCACTGATAACGAGATGTGTGTCTCTGTGGTTTGGTTTTGGGAGCCTTTAGTACATAGAATTGGTCGAGCATGACTCTTAATTCCTCCTGAATCCCATTTGGCCCAATATTATTATATGTTGACTGTCATTCCTCTCCAAGCCTCTTGCGTTCTTAACCAGCATCTTCCGACCCTCTTATTTTCTTTTCACGTCCATTCCTATACTCTTCATCATCTGCCTAAATAGCAAAACATTCGGTCACAATGCCGAGCGATAAAAAAGATGACGAGTTTTTAAGGAGGACTGACTCCAATAAGGTTGGAGATGTCTCCGCCGGCGATGTCATAGACGAGGTAACACAGGCCGGCGGCCTGCACCGCGTCTTGGGTAACCGACAGATCCAGCTTCTCTCAGCCGGTGGTGCCATCGGTACGGCGCTCTTCATTAGCATCGGCGCCGCCCTGGCCAAAGGTGGCCCTGCCAGTCTCTTTATCGCATTTAGCCTCTACTCGGGCGTGCTTGCATGCATCAACAATTCAGTGGCAGAGATGACAACGCATATGCCCGTCGCTGGAGGCTTTGTTCGTCTCGCCGGGTACTGGGTTGATGACGCGCTGGGTTTCATGGCCGGCTGGAACTTCTTCTTCTTCGAGGCACTGGCCATCCCGTTCGAGATTACGGCCATGACCTTTGTCTTCTCGTTCTGGAGTCAGAGGGTGACCGATCCGGGCCCCACAGCCGCCATTTGTGCTGGCTGCATCATTATATACGGGTATGTCGTCTTGACTGCTGTGAAACCTAGATCTTGGGTATACAGAAGCAACTGCCCCCCCTTTCCTCCGGTAGCCTCCACAGCTAACCGCGCTTCTATACTTGCATAGTCTTCTCAACATCGTCGCTGTCAAGGTCTATGGCGAGTCAGAGTTCTGGCTGTCTTCGGGCAAGATCATCCTGCTCCTCATGCTCTTCGCCTTCACCTTTATCACCATGGTAGGCGGGAACCCTAAGGGAGACGCGTACGGCTTTAGGTATTGGTCCAACCCTGGAGCCTTTACAGAATATCTTTCCCAAGGCGACCTAGGTCGGTTTCAAGGATTCCTCGCCTGTCTGTACACTGCCGCGTTCACCATTGTTGGGCCCGAGTACATCTCTATGGCTGCTGCTGAGACCAAGCACCCAAGCGTTTACGTCAAAGCGGCCTATCTGTTTCTTCTTCATTGTCGGCGCTCTAGCTGTATCCGTCGTCGTTCCATATAATGACCCGACTCTTCGTAACCTGTGGTTTGGCACTGGTACAGGCAGTAGCTCCGCCGCTGGCTCCCCCTACGTTCTAGCTATGAGCATCCTCGGTATAAACGTCCTGCCACACATTGTCAACGCCCTCATCCTCACCTCGATATTCTCAGCCGGTAACACATATTGGTTTTGCGCCAGCCGCGCGCTCCACGGCCTAGCTCTCGAGGGTCGTGCACCTAAGATTCTAGCTCGTACTACCAAGAGTGGTACCCCGATCTATGCCTTCGGCGTTGTCCTCGGCTTCGCTTGCCTGTCCTTTCTCCAGGTCAGCAGCGGCACTGCCACTGTCCTCAGCTGGATGACGAGTCTCATCACCGGCGGAGGCCAGATCAACTACATCGTCATGACCGTCACCTTCCTTCGCTACCACAAGGCCTGCAATGTCCAGGGCATCGATCGCAAGACAAGGCCCTACTACGGCCGCTTCCAGCCCTACAGCACTTGGCTCGCCATTTTCATGCAAATTTTCATATCCCTACGCCTAGGCTACACCTACTTCCTCCCTTGGGACGTCGGCAGCTTCTTCGCCAGTTACACCATGCAGATGCTCATGCCGGTCCTCTTCATCGCCTGGAAACTCTACCACAAGACGCGCGTGGTATCAGCTGCTGACGTCGACCTCGTCTGGGAGAGGCCTCTCATCGACGCCTGCGAGGCTGCCGAGACTGAAATCCCGACCGGCTTCTGGGCCGAAATGGGGCATCTGATCGGTTTCCGCAAGGACAAGCAGAGCTCACTGGAAGCACCGACGCCCAGTAGCAAGTAACCCCCCAGGGCATAGCAGCCACCTCGAGCCAGGAATGAGCATGGAGCAAAGGCCGTGCTATCTATAACAGAGACTTCTCATCTTCACTCCATACAATCGATAACATTTAGCAATAATGAACTATGACATAGAGGATTACGGGAATAGTTTGATTGCAGAAACTCTTCTCTCGTTTCGTATCATTCTCACCCTCATTGTGTTTCGCTTTCACGATGAATTCGTCCTTGACGTGCAATGAATGCATCTATTATTGAAATTATCCATATTATCAATTTCGCGATTCTTTTAGAAAAAACAATTCAAATGCCCGACTTTGCGCGCTTGTCCAGCGTTCAGCTTAAGGTAATTTCCCCCATACTATGCCCCCTGAAGGGCTGCTCATTGCTAGTACTGAGGCTGTGACTGCTATTGATGACCTATAATCAGGGGGAACCCAAAGAATCCTCTCATCCCCCTTGACAATCCATTCGCCGTCTTCACTGACCCTGTAATTGTTGAAGCTTTTTGAGTGCCATGTCTCGCCAGGGTCTATCTGAAGATCATCGACGCCTTCTCTGTATACAATCCCCAAGTTGGTGGAAAACCTCAAATCGGTGGATGAGTCGGCCTGCAATACCTGGATGTCCGGAATATTGGCTGAGAGTATTGTAGCAGGCGACTTCAGGTTATATATTCTCAGTTTGTCCGAAAAAGCCACTGCAATCCATTCGACATTTCCAGAAAGCTCAAGGAATCTTGGACTATATTCTTTCACATCGATGGTATAGGTAAAAGCCATTGTATAGAGATCCAACACGCGGATCCTGCTGATCGATGAGCCCATAATTTTCTCGAGCAGTGCAGCATTGCAAGAATTCGAGGAAAATGAAAAGTCAATGATGTAGTGATGCTTTGTACGCAAGAGCAAACGCCAATTGGGCGTGTTCCATATTCTAAGGGTGTTGTCAGTGGTACAGACAAGCCACTGATCATCTTGTGAAAAAAATAGGAGAATCAGGTCCTCGTGCCAGCTAGATCTACGACTGGGCAGTGTGTGAATGCAAGTCTGGGTGGGTATGTCCCAAATTCTAACGCCGAAATATTTGCCACCATCCGACTTCTCTACAATCCCCGCTGATGCAAGCCACCGCTGGTTGTTTGAGAACTTGAGGGAAGACGAAGGGGCATGGCGATCCTCAACCTCCTGTGCAATTGCCTGGTCTATTGACATATCCCAGAGCCTGATAGTGCGGTCTTCTGATGCTGAGGCAAGTAAACGTCTGTTTGGAGAATATGCGAGGTCATTAATCGGTTTTGAATGGCCATAAAAAGTCTGGGTGCAAGCTCCCGCGAAGGTCCAGATTCTAATTATTTGGGAACCGATTTCAGCCGTTGCGAGAAATGCGGGTCCTAAGCAAAAACCACCACTTATGATTTGCTCGCCAATGGTGAAAGTATGTATGCACTCCTCTGTTTCCGTATTTCGTATTTCGATCTTATCTCTCTCAAAGACCAAGGCAAGCAAGTTTGGGTCGGTGGCGGAAAATGAAACTGTGTCTCTGCCCTGGAACTTCGAGAGACGGTTCCCGGTGGTCAGATCGAACAGTATGGCATCCTCAAAATTAGGAGTTATCGTCGCCAGTTGTCGACCGTCTACAGAGACCGAAAAGTTCTCAAACGAGCTCGTGTTGATCGTGCGGACCCAACTAGACGTAGTCATATCCCATACCTCAACACCTTGACCAGCTCCCTCTCCCTCTTCTAAAATGACAACTAATTCATTGCACTGTGCTGAAAACTGGAGCCACAAGACGTCTCTTTCGCCGTTTGTAATAATATCTTGCGCAAATTCCTTGGCCTCAAGGTCCCATATTTTAATGAGACCACGTGAAGCCATCGCGAGCAAGCGCCTATCGCATGAAAAAGAAGTACTCACATTGTGTCCTGCAAAGTTCAGTGTCTGAATGCATTGACCTGAGGACGTGTCCCAGATCCTCACAGTCAGGTCGTAAGAGCTAGAAGCTACCAGGCAACCATCGTGAGAAAATCTCACAGCTATTATGGCTTCCGTATGGCCCTCGAGTACGTGGGTGCAGGCCGCGTCCCAGTTTATACACAAGCCTGAAGACAATTTCACTCCTGTCGTCTCTTCTGCTTGATAGGTTTGCTTCATAAAACTGCTCGTGGGGCTGAACACGAGCGCTGATCCATAGACCTGGAGAGGTGCCATCTCGATTACTTGCTGGAAATAAAAAACAAATTTTTGCATATCTCCTGCGAGATCATTTAGGCTTTGATTCCCTTTGTCCCGCTACCAATTATTTATTAGCAATTACTGCATCGTTTCCCACACAAGAGTAAGATCTACTCACAATGACGGATCCAAGCTTCTTCACTGCCCTTACTGCTTCTGGCATTTGCTGCATTAAGGATGTAGCTTCCAGCCAGCTCAGGAGCTGACTACTGATGAAAGCCTCAATTTCCTGTCCTGTCCGTGTGTACCAGTTTTGGATTTCCGCGAGATGGTCCACCCAGAAAATACAGGCATATTCCAAACCAGCTAATGGGTTAGGGCGGGGTTGTGTAATCTCTTCGACAAGCACGCCTGGGTTTTCGAGATCATAAATGTTCTTCTTAAGCCCTCTCAGAGCAGCTAGAGAGCGTTCAAACATGTCTGAGTGTTGATACAGGATCCCATCTGTCAATATCTTTTTTGATTTGATCAGAAAGTCTTGAGCTGTTTGATGCACAAAGTAAACAGTTCTTTCCTGCGTAGTCAGAAATGAGCCACAGTCCTTGATGACCTCTTCCAAATTTTCAGGTTCAATATGGGATTTCTCGAGTTCTGTAACTAAAGTATAGAGCTCATCAAGCGTCATTGGGCGGAAGGCAGTGCATGTACTGGCAAGGATCTGTTTCAGAATAGCCCTATCATTGCCTGCAAAGATCTGCTCTGTCATCCGTTCATACAGGCCGTTCAGCCCTTCTGGTATAGATTCTAACTTTGCCATCGTATGGTGAAGCTTGGTCTTGGGGTGCGCCAGTTCTTTACACACCAAGGCTGCCCAAAGGAAAGTGTCGCTGGCCTTACGCTGCAAAGTTTCGAGAATATCCTGCTTCATCTTGGGTTTATATTCCTTGATTTTTTCCAGGTCATCTACTTTTTTCTGAATAAAATACCCCACTGCCTTGGAAATGGAAGCCTTGTTCAACTCAAGAGACAGCTCGATATCGCTGCAGGCGCTTCGAAACTGATCCTCAATATCAGTAAAGTTTCGGCTCGACACAACCCATTTAGCATCGAATGTCTTTGAAAGCTCGATGACGAGGCGAATAATGTCATGCCTATCATCATCACAGCATTCGTCTAGTGCATCAATGACAAAGATGGCGCTTCCTAAAACCGGGTCGCAGAGCATGGAGCGAAGGATATTCTCTAGGGCATCCAGTGCACATAGGTCTTCAAAAAGCTTCTTTCCTTGAACATTATAGCTCTCGCGTATATATGATACCAATTCTGGTCGTTGTTGGCAAAGAAACCATATCAGGCTTCGAAATACCGCCGGGGCACTTCTTTGATCCTGTTCCCGCGTAGCTTGGCAGAAGAAATACGTTATGAGTTGTGTAGGCTCCTCCTTCAACTCATCAATTATGCCACAGAGAAGCATTGTCTTTCCCTTGCCCGGGTCTCCCTTGATCCACAAGAGGCGTCTTTCCGGATCTAATCGAAATCTGCAGTAGGTTTCGTCGTGCAGGATCCAGCGGTATGCATCCTTCAATAATCCACCCTTTGTACGCTCTATGAGTGCTTTGTGGTCCTGAGGATTGATCACAACCAAGTCGCACAGGCACTGCTGGTCTTTTTCATCCAGTTGATATTGACGAAGTGCTCTAGTTTGGTTCTGTATGGCCATATTGACCCCTTTCAAGCCTAAGTTCCAGTCTTCTAGCTTCTTAATGAAGCACATCCAGAGGTCTCTTTTGGAATCGACTTCATTCGGAGACCCAGATAGCACTTCTAGAAGAGACCCAATTGGAATACTCTCTCCAAATGATCTTCGCCTCTTCAAACTGGTGCCGTTACTTTCCTGGACATTCTGTGAAGTGACTTCTGGTGTGAGCTTTGTTAAGGCGTCCATGGCTTCGCGGGATGGTTCACTTTCAGGGCCATCTGCCGTCCGTATCATCGCATCTCTTAGACCGGGTTCGTCTATAGACCTTACTCGGTCATCTAGTTTATCTTGCATTAGCAATTGACAAATAGAGAAACAGAGTGCAACTCCATGACTCAAGTCAATGACCATCTCGTCCTTCCGTGAGATGCTACCAGCTTGTCCCTTGTACAGTAAAGGATGTGCTAGTTTGTTATAAAGGCTCTCTGCGAGGCAGGTGACTTGAATTTCAAACGTGACGTTGTCAAATTGATGGGATATATCAGGAACCTCGGGCCTGACTGTGACATGATGGTTCGTACTCTCATAGGCACCAAATAATGCTTTCCATTGCCTGCCGACACTGCGATGCCGGGGAAAGATATTTGCATCTTTTGTGGGCTGAAAAATCTTTCTGATGAATTCGTTGACCGGCTCAGTGTCGGAGAGAAAGTCAACAGTAATTCGGATGCCCGCGAGATCGTGCACATCCTCCAATATCTCGTGAAGTGTTGTGTAGGGGCCATTTCTGTGAGTTCTCCGATATTCTTCGCGTCGCGTGATAGACTTTTCAATCGATTCGCGAGATTTCACCCGACCAGTCACAGTGTGAGGAACATTGACGTGGCGAGTGCAATACTGCTTCATCTCTCGCATCACCAATTCATAGTCACTCTCCAGCTCTGGCCAGATCTTTTCCACAAACTGGAGCTTGACATGAGCCCCTGCCGGTGTACCGGAGAAGAGGCGGCGTATTTTGATATGGAGTGGTTCAGGTTCATCATGGCGCCCTCTTAGCTCGAGGGGCTGCGACGACGGCGAGGAATTCATTCTAGAGCTAGGCTCTAGCAATACCCCACGAATAATTGCAGAGAATGAACTGGGTTAGTTGGTGAAGTATGAGCTTAAATGAGGAGCAATTTGCATCTCCCTACGACTAACGCTAGTCGAGTCTGTCTTGCTCTGCTCAACTGTGCGAAACATGAAAGATGCTAGGCTGTAGATATTGGGTGAGAATAAAATGAATTACCCCGCTCGTGTCACCCCTATTAGTCGCGTAAGGCAGTTTGCGGCTGGAACCTGCAGATGTTCTGTGGCTTACGAGGTATAACTCCCAATCAAATACGGCCTGGAACGCCACATTGGTTCGCATGGGCATTCTTCGTTGGCTTGGATGATGTGGATGGAATATTACGCAGAGCTGTATGGCTACCTAAAGTGACACGTAGCAAACAGCCATTGTTTTGAGAGCCATTCTGAAGGTACGCAGCTTCATTCATAACTAAAAAGCACTTGTATCTCGTGAAAAGATGGCCCGGCCAACTCCCAGTTCGTACAAAGATTTTACCTCATATCGATCCAAATTGAACCCCTCACTGTCTGGCCTCAACCAGTATTTGAATCGGGAAACTGTGGCCGTGAGCGCGGTCACAGTCTTAGAATTCGGGGAGCATGGGGCAACATCTCAACATAAAATGGCAGAAGGAGCCGATTTATCTCATTTGACTGCTGCGAGCTCCTCGGTTTCCACGAGAATCATCCTTATCGAAGACATCAGCCCACGACTAATTAGCAGCGTGGGTGCAGCATTTGATATTGACCCTTCCTTTTTTGCTGGCTACATCAGCACGTATTTTGAGGCTATTGAGACTAAACCGCCAACGCCCTCACTTGCAACACTCCCATCTGTCACTGCTGAAAGGGGCTATCTTCATCTTCATTATCATCGTGTCATGGATTTGGGGAGTGCAGAGAGCTTTACTACTGATACACCTTATGCGTTGAACAGCGATGGAAATGTTGCTCGAAATGTCAGACGACTCCCACCTTTGTCGGGAAGACAACTCGCTCTTGCCCGCGCGTGTTGTTCTATCTTGTTGAAAAAGATTGGGGATTTGTGGATATGTAAGTCTCATCTCGCCATGGCGTATTGACCGTCAGTTGACTAACTTGAATAGGCTTGTTTCTGGTTGATGCGCCGATTAATGTTGTCCTTGAAACCGGGAAATTAAATAACCGCTATGATGTCAAACCCTTACATGGTGGCTACGAGGACTTTAACCCATCGCCAACATTCTCATCATTCTCACTTGGTATAGAAAAGGACCTAGACTGCAATCGGTCAATGGCTGGCGGCATACTCCGCCATTTCATGATACCTCCGGTGTTCTCACCAGTCTCACCCCAAATCCTTAGCATTAGCTACTACGCTCTCCGAGTGAGTCTTTCTGAATGGCTGCTCTACACGCTCCTCATAAGTCGATACTGTAAGCACTATGAGTACTCCCTCAACGACATCTCCACAAGGCTCCATGACAATGATATCATTGATCTACAACGTTGGCGACGTCGAACCAAACAGAGCCTCCAAAAATTGGCAATCCTCGCGCACTTCGTCGAGTACTGGGGGCAGGGGCTCGACAAACAGGCCGGGGATATGATGCTGAATGACATACAGTATATTCAAAAGCAATTGGATGACTACAGTCGGTCACTCGAGCAGATGCTCGCGGTAGCAACCTCCATGGTACAGCTCCTCGACTCACGCCGCTCGATTCTGGAGGCTGTGAGTGTCAGGCGACTAACGTACATTGCACTTGTTTTTGTGCCATTGTCCTGGGTTTCAAGCCTGTTTAGCATGTCGGACACCTACTTGCCCGGGCATGGCCGGTTCTGGGTATATTTTGTGGTGGCACTTCCGTTAATATGTTTATGCTTCCTCTATGAGGCCTGGCCTATGATCAACTCTTATAGAATAAAAAGGCCTTGATCCTATACCTAGAAAAGATTAAGATTATAAAATAAAGTAATTTTAATGTAGCTTTAATACTATTATTATTATAACGTTTACTTTTTACAACTTTCATTGCTAAATGGAACTCTTCTGTGCAATCTTCATCCATACTTAAATATTAGAAGTGCTCTCGGTTGCCCTCTCCTTCTCGATAGCACCGGATCCAGCTGGAGAGATGACTTTATTTGGAAGCCGATGCGTTAGAGTCAGCTAGAACCAACTCCGATATGTAGCGACCACAATTCCGGCATTCTCGTATTTGTAGTCAAGGGTAGCGCATGAAGTTCTACTGGTAGAGTAATCGGATGTTCGACTTCAGTAAGTCAAGACGAGATTAGAGCTAGAAAGGCCATTTTCCCACTGCGAATCTGCGATGCGGGTTTAGGCATCCAGCCATCACTCGCCCAAACTCACGTCACGTGCTTCATGTATGTTGCATGTTGGCCAGTCTCTCCAGGTGCGATAGTTAGGTACATCACTAAAACCTGTCATCATCATTCATTTCAAATCGCACAAATAGGATAATCTATTTTACCACACAGCTTTTCGAGTCACCTATCAGGATAGCTGATCAACTTTGTTTTCCACATGAAACCTCGGGTTTTAATTGGATCTCGGCCATGAGGCGAGTAGTTCCCCGGAGTCAATTATTTTTCAACATTTCGACACAGTACCAATCGCGAATCCTACGCAACTTCTCCTTGTCATCGCTTTGGAATCATCGAATCGCGCATCAAACCCGTCAAATTACGACGTCGCCAAAACCCAGCGACCCGGTCACGTCAATCAGCGAAATCAGGCAACGTTGTGGGCTAATGTTCAACAGAGATGATATTCAGCGTGCTGTCGCCTGGGTTGGTGTTTTCGGTTCATTCTCACGTTATAAACAAACCCCATTAAGCGATGTCGATCTACTCGTGGGTTTCAAAAAGGAGGCATCCAAAGACGATATTTACTTTTTGGGAGATTTGACAGGAGAGTTGGAAGGCGTGCTTGAAAGAGATGTCGATGTGCTCTATATGCAGTATCAACAACCCTTAGACTTCATCAGATGCCAGGCTCTAGTCACTGGTAAAACAGTATACGGCTCTTATGAATGGCTGCAAAACCACCAGCCTCTGGCGGAAAGACTGCTCTTTGACACACAAAGCAGATTTGTCGAGGCTTTGCGTCTAATGAAGAAAATTGTCGAAAGCCTAGCGCCTCTTTCCGAAAAGGTAGGATGAGACATCTTTGACTTAGCAAGGGCCAATAATAACTGAGCACCATTATTAGGAATTGTTTTCATCTTCCTCTTTCTTTGCTGATCTGATCGGAAATTTGGAGAAACTTCTTCATCTACTCTACTCAGAAGACCAAGATGCCGAAGGAATAAATAGCCATTTCGATGTCCTTTATGAATGGACGAAGCCGCTCCCTTCAATCATTCAGCGGTACCAAACAAGAGGCCTCCGTTCATTTGAAAGAGAGAACCGAGAATGCCTTTGGCATCTTTTGACTACGGATCTACCAGACCGCGCTCTGTCGCTGCAGAAGATATACCTGCCTATTCTCCAGGAAGTCTTTGACACGAAAAAACTAGAATTGGATTATAGCACGATGGAAGAGAGTTGAAGCTTGTCGTGTAATGTTCACTGTAATTATGCAAAAAAAGTTTTTACGAGCCCGATATAGCAATAAAATACTTCTTCTTCGCTATATACTCTAGCTAAGTGGATAGAACAAAGTTTTTGCATGCCCAACATACAACGATAAAATCCCTCTTCTTCGTGTCTATTTCGTCCATAAACTCTAGTTTACCATCCTTCTCGATCCCAACTGCCGCTCCATCTTCGTCGATCCATGTCAACTCCTTGGATCCCTTTCCTGGGCCCTCTTGCACTGTCAGCAACAGCTTCTTCTTCCAATCATCACTATCACGATACCCGCGCTTGTGCATAAGTGCCTGCATCCTCTCCTCCTCAGCTTGCGTCGAGGCACGTCGGATGGGAATCATGTGGTAGAACTTGTATGACCGGCTAAACTTTTCCATCAAAACGCTTCCTTGTACGGTGCCTTGCTTCTGTCCTCTGATGACGATGAGAGGCTTCGTTCCAAGACTGATGGGGATGTATATCTTTTCGCCAGAGTAAATGGTCAAGTCATCATCGTATTTAACAAAAGGCTCAGCAGCCCCACTGCTTGAGGCTGCGCTCAGTCGGCGGGCATCGTTGGGCAGAAGGCGGCAAATTTGCAGCTGCCATGGGTTGCCGGTTTGTGTGTTGCGGGTAGAGACGTGATAGGTTGGAGTGATCGAGGTGGCTGTTGTTTTGTAAACGTAGCGGCCTTGCAAGGCGAATGATTGCTTGTTTCCGTGTGCCGATTCTCCCGCTAGATATGGCGAGTTCAGCCGAAGAGTCGTTGTATTATCAAATGCTTGGCGAGGAGGTTCGCCGGAGCTGCTTTCAACGAGGCTGGTTTGGCTCATTTTCAAGTACTGAGGTGATTTGCTTATGTGGTGATTGTTCAGAATAAGAGACGACAAAGGTGGAAGAAGAGTAATGAAAGTAGAGAAACAGGATTCTGGTACAAAATTAAGACCAAATATATGAACCTAGAGAGTCGTGCGGGGTAGTAGGTGCAGCTCAGGGCAACCCTTCGTTGTGATTGTTCATCGGTCTGGTAACTAAGTGTGCGGGATTAAAATCGAAAGTTCGACTGGTGGCTAGACTCGGTTACGACGGCAATGACCCTGTCTTTACGTATTCTATAATAATGTTAATGTCTTCTGCTGCTATGAACGGAGAATAAGTACTTTTGCATCTGAGCTTAATAAACATAACGCTACCAGGCGGCTTTTTGTGTGGAGTTGCCAAGGCTTCGCATCGCCCGACTACTGTGTCGGCCTCACTCTAATGTTCGGGACCGAGATTATATCAGTTCCGGGTCAGAAATGACGCATATATAACTCCCGTGGATCCTCGAAAGAGGAAAGATGAACCATTGAAGGGAGTCTCGCATGCTCGACCAGGTCACATCAAACTTAGTAGACTGGGTCCAGCTGCCCGTGTGCATAGTACATGTGTTAGATCCCTGATAGCACATAACTTGTGAAGTATCCGATTCGAATTGAACCAGGTACGAACAAAATCCACTCGTAATAATACCCCACCTGTCCAGACCAACCTTATGTCTCCTCCGTGACGGCCCCTGATCAGAGTGCCATAATGGGCAAGTCGGGTGACTGAAGCGGGTCTTGGACAGCAAGTTTATTCCCTTCATGGCACTCGTAAATGCATTTTGTCGCCATCTAACGAGTGTTGTAGGTACCATCACGTTTCCAAACATTTAGATACATTATTCAAAAAAAAAAAAAAAAAAAAAAAAAAAAAGCCCGGCTATACTTGACTGTGGCATCGTAGGGGGAGGTACTGCGGATAGCGGCAAAGGATTAGGTCACAGCTCTCTTACCGACTCTCGTACGTATGTGACCGATATCCTCAAAGAGAGTGATGAATAGTGACTTACCATCGACCTAATTCTCAAAGATAGTTAGATACGTGGATCTACTGAATTTGACGAATGGGCGACGAACGGTACAGCGGCAAGGGCAGCGGCAAGGGCCAGCTCCTTAGTTCAAGACGGCCCGAAATTCGTTCCAAAATTCCAACCTAGAACATCGTGGCCAAGACGGATCGATTTCCATAGCCTCTGCAGAATCCAAGAACCGCATCTTACATCTAGCTCCAAGTGCCGCAGCTGGCTGGGAAGAGCCGGTATTTCATGCTCTGCCAGAGAAAAATGACCGAAATGTAGGCGGTAATCTTGGGTGAGCTTATGTCTGTGAGGCTCGGCGAGAAGGAAAACGTCAATTGGCTCCAAGTCTATATCTACTACGTTGGATAGAGTTTCGCGTCGAATCTCGATTCACGAGGCAATTGGTGAAAACAAGAGGACTACTTGCGTTCGCCTTATCGGTGGCACGGCCATCGATGCGAAGGAGGTCATTCTGTCGGCAGGACTTCGGTCTCCCCAGCTCCTCCAACTGTCTGGGATTGGCGACCCTGAGGAACTCAAAGACGCTGGAATCGAGCCTCGTGATGATATGCTCGACGTTGGCAAGGGTCTCTCAGATCATTTGTCCTTCTTTCAGCACTGGCGTAGCCTGACCTTTCGGCAAAGTATATACTGAGTACTGACAATTCTTCGTTTACGGGATGTCAATTTTCTCATGGAGGATCCTTCAGCAGACCAAGTTCGCTGCATGGGAATACGTTCTATCGAGAGCTACAGCCGAACAATACTAATCCAGGGCCAAGAGTGGTCTACAGTGGTGCAACTTGGCCTAATTGAAGAGGACCGTGTTAGGTTTGGCTACTGCGACGGATGCGGCTGGCTCATGGCTCCCCACGAAGTACATGCAAATAATTACAAGGTGTCCCATCCGCACGATTCCAAAGGATACTGTGACTTATACCTGAGTCCTCAATTCTCGTGGTCGGTTTGCCATGTTCTAACGCGAGGGCACAAAGTATGTTGGTAAGTTGCGGGACCTACACTATAAGCATGGCCCTGTGCACATTTATTGTATCCGCCAGCGACAGGATGTTCAAATTATGATTCATCTCACGAACGAGGGATGCATCCACTTGCCTTATTTGTTGTCGTTTGAGCGTGAAGACGGCACACTCGAAATCACCCCACCCCGTAACGAGGCACTGAGCTTTAACCAGCTCTCGATTGATTACGATGGCCAACCGTCAGCCCAGGTATTTCCGATGTTTGGCGGTGCACAGGTCCTTAATTTTCGACATTTCGGCTGTCGCCTGTGTAACAACTTTAATCTCGGAGCTGGTCTCTGAATGCTTTTGTGCTGCAACGAGTTGAGCCTGGCCTTGTGTTCAGAGCGGCTCACCGAGCGAGTGAGGCTACTGCCTCGCTAGACCAGATAAACCTATCCTACGAAATCCTCAGCAGGGCATTCTACACGCTTTCAGAAGTTGTGTGTCAGTGCGTTCCTTACGGGCATGCGTACCGGCGCCTTGAAAGTCTGTACATGTTCTGATTTACGTCACATGATGTGGTGCGGAGCCTCAGGGCTGGCAAGAAGGTGAATGAGGCCTTACTCTTACTGTTACAGCTTGAATTAGGACGCGGAGTGATAGCAAGCTCACTCACAGACATCAGGGCGAAGGTCTTCGCTATGAGTAGCCAGGCTTCAGGCTTCGGATGTGGCAAAAGAGTTCGTGGCCGTCTGGAGGCAATTGGACTCCCTCACGCAATCTCCCCAAAACTAAGTGTCGAAACCGTTGTCTCCCTGCTTGAACGGCAACAAACTGGGCGCTTTTCCCTTCTTCGTGCAGTTCGCTCACGGTAAAAGCTGGAAAATTTCGACAGGTTGGTCGAGAAGGACATTAAAAATATATTCAGGAAGGAACCATCAACGTCATCAGCGTCTCCAAACACAGCCATACACTCATTGTTATCAACGTCTAACTCGTTGAAATTGCCAGAATTAACCTAGGAGGATGGAAGAAGCAACATGGGCAGTTGAGGTTTCAGGTCAAAAGCTATCCTAGCAAGAACACCGGAGGTTCCTAGTGTTGGCAGACCTTATTAGTAGAATTAATTCTACTAATGGTTAGGTTATAAGTCTATACGGAGGAAGAGGGTTTAAGCATGAAGTTAAAAACAACAATAGAAGATGCCAGACCCGACATCTCAATACAATGAATACAATTCTATGCAACTAAGGAAAAAAGAGACATGTTAATGTTTACCTGATATAGGGTAGGCTTCAACAGAGCTCAACTTTGACTAGATCAATTTGACTTGGATACTGTGACAGTGCAAGGCGCATGTTTATCAATACCTAACGTAGGTAGGACCAAGGGGAATGGAACAGGTCATTCATCACCCATCCCCTAATAGGATGAACATCCATGCAGAGTCCAACTATCGAATGTTCAATATCGCCCCTTCTCAAGAGAGGGTCGATTGGCGACGGACCCGCCGGATTGGCCAGCTGTGCACTGACCTTTAATTACCGCTATATGCCGCGGGATTCTTGGGATCCAAACCATGGCTCCAGGAAAATGCCGGTATTAGATGCCGGTAATGCAAGGATATTCCGTAGTACCGTACCTGGCGTAATGAGTCGATACGCTTCGAATACTTATCTACTTGGGCGAACCAGCCATGAAGATCTAGCGTTACATTGAAATTATAAGTATCCCTCTTCCTGCTGTCCGATCTGGTGCTGTCTTGTCTTCCGCCAACCAAAGATCCATTTCAATTTCCAAGATGCATTTCATTAAGACTGTTATCTCCCTCTTTGCTCTGGCCAGCCTCACCTCTGCCCAGCATGCCAATACCAATGCCGACCTAGATGCGCGCGATACTAAAGAATACCTCAACTACGTTGCAGCCCGCGACAATTTCATTGTGGCCCGGGACCTCTACCGCCGTGTAAGCTAACCACTGAACCCGCTTCCCGTGCAGCATTCTAATAGATTACAATCTCAGGGTTCCAGTTATAAATGTGTGTATTCCCACATCTTTAGCTCATACCAATGCTCTCTCAATGGGGTAACCGAAAAGTGCCCCTGCTCAAAGGCCCAGGCGGGCAAGAAGTGCAAGTGCTAGAAGCGTAATGTTTTTAGGTCTTGTATTCTATTATAGCTTCTGCTCTCCAGGATGGGTGGAAAGTTAGGCAGAGGATTGAATAATGGATTTAATTCACTCAGATTATCTACTCTGTTAGTTAACTTATGAATGCTTTAAAGTAATAGTGCTTCTTGTCACTGAGCCTGGTATATTTACTAAATTCTGGGTCTATCAGTATTTTTCTTAGAACTAGATTTAAGACTTTACTTAGACCTATGGCATATCGCTCTCCGAGGCACAACTAGCAGCAAGTTAGTGATGAAGATGCGCGAGAGGAAGTATATTATGTATGTTTATGTTTGGGATTTGGCTTGCTTGGTAGAAATAATAACCCCTGCTCACCAGTGCCGTGTCCTAACTGGATTAGTCGCCGTGAAAGATTAAAATCTACAAAGACCTGATTCGCAGGCCAGACCCCATAATGGATAAAAGGGGCACCTGCTGGGGGATAAGCTGACTACGCGCTACTGAGAAAGGGAGACTATACCCCCCCGACAGTCCCGTTGTATTCGTATTGCCTCTATTCAAGGGGCAGGCCTAGCCTTTTAAAGAAGCTGGCTACTCTTTAGCATGGGCTGCACGGGGTACTGGCAATAGCAACAAATTATCGAGCTATCTTAACCAGGGCATAGTCAGACCAATCTTCTTATCATAGAGGAATTCGCCACTGCGTTAACCGGACGGAAGCAAAGAATTGTTCTTGTTGTGGCCCATATGCACATGTTCGCGGTGAATCGGCCGATTGTATAAGAAGGGAAGTTCATTTTATGACAATGGCGTGTTAATGATTCTGAATATATGCCTACATGGGGCGTTTCTAAACCTTGATTAAGCCTTTCCCTGGCATTCCTTTATCCACCGTGGTTACGCCGCCTCCCCAGCGGGATAAAAATGACAAGCATCCTGTCGGCAAAGCTTTCTACCTAGAGTGGGTACGGCTGCCTCTCGAGTCCTGCTCCTTACAGTTGATTCCTGTCCATTCATGGGTGTTTCGTCCCAGCCACTGCGCCTTCCAGGGGACGGAGCTTTTTCACCGCCGTTGTTGGGTGGCCTTATCCTATGTACTGTTGCCACTCAACACGTAAGTTGCCCAGAGAAGAGATCAGTGGTTCAAGCTACAGTCAGAAGAAGATCCTGGCTACGCATGCGTTGACTACTGTGAAAATCACATAAACAAATGTGAGCCGCTACCTGAAACTCCGACGGGAGACTTTGCAACAAGCCCGCATCGGTCCTAATTGCCCATGTCCCTTGTTCGTGCCACTGCCTAGCGCGTTCTCTCGGTGCACAATTTGCGAGCCATGGGCGGAGGGGCTCGATTATCTTGACTTGTCTTGTCACCAACGGACCCGGAGATGCCGTAATTATTGAACTCCTCCGTGTCTATGTTTAGGTTCAGGCATCAAACCTTCAAGTTCAATTGATACTATATTATTCAGATTTAACTGTTTTTTTTATTAATGAACTTTATATGTACTGACTATTTGAGAAGAAAAGAGATAATACTTGAACAATAAAAAATATGAAATTAACACTATAGTTAATATTATAATATTAGTTAACGTATTCCGCGTTAATACTTGTACTTAATTATAAGGCTTATACCTGACTAGAACGGCGGATGCAAACGACTCTTATATAAACAATAGAAAGAAGGGCCCGCTTGTTAATACAGAGCTCACCACCCGCGCTGATGACTTCTTAGATGGGGACCCCATCGTCGTAACGTTCAGCCTGTTCACAAAGACGAACGAGCAAAGTATAGCCACCGCTACAAATTCAGCACCATAATCCTTTTGAGATTGATCGAGTGGCTGGACAAGGTTTTCACGTTGCATGCTTCCTTAGACCAAGCATTTGGTCATAGCTGCAGCAAATTAGTATAAAAGTCGCGAGCAGTTTAGGCCGGCCATAATCTATCTGATTGGGCAAGATAATGACATCCAAAAGGAGGAGCATACTTTCTAATACATGAGATGGCGAGGAATGTATTAAGCTGGAGAGGAATGTGTGGAGCCGGCGAGGAATGCAGTGGCTTATATTCATGGAAACTTCCATTTACATAGACCGATCCCATTTAGATGAAGAGAGGCGCTAAATAAAAAAGCATTGCTAGCCCATAGTCTATCCCAGGAGGTGCGCCCTCCATTACTATACCTACTAACCTTTCCCACAAATTAGAGGCTTCATTCCTACCAAACAATCGAGAACAATCTGGTGGCAGCAGCATCTCGCTCATGAATGTCACATTTGGTTACTGAATGTCGCTATTTGACGTTGCTTTCCTGGCACCTGGCCTTGTGTGTTGGACTATAAATATGTGCGAGGATTCTTCTCAATATCCAGTAGTCCCTATAGCAAAGATCCTCCTATATATATTGTCCCCGAAAGAAGTGACAGCTACAACCATGCCTACCCTTGTCAACTGGAATAACGAGATCGAGTATACTGTTGCTGATAATAATTACAAGACGCCCACCAGGATTGAGGATATCCAAGCCATCGTAAAACATGCCTCTGAGCAGAACCAAAAGGTGTCCGTTGTCGGTTCTATGCATTCAACTACAGAATGCACCATCGGCAGCGGCGTCATTATCGATATGAGGAACATGGCTCGCATCCTATCGGTCGACAAGGACAATCTCACGGTCACAGTGCAGGCCGGGGTGTCTCTACACCAACTTTGTGAGCATTTGAAGGAAATCAATCTCCAGCCGCCAGTCATTCTTGAATGGGGCAATTTCCAAATTGGTGCCATTAGCGGTACCCATGCCAATGATACCTCCATGCGGCGTAGTGGGCAGTTCTCGTCGTATGTTACGGGCGTGAAGCTGGTCACTCACGCCGGCGTGCTCATGGAGATTTCAGAGGCTCACAATACTGAATATCTCACGGCTATCCGTTCGCATTTCGGCCTAATGGGCGTTGTCTGTGAGGTTACGGTGCGTGTCTTCGAGTCACAGCCGCTGCAGGTCAATTTCCAAGTCCAACAAATCGACAAGTTTATGGACAACTTCACCTCTGAATTAAAGGCGCTCAAAGACACCTATGACCAGGTATTCGGTGTCGTGTTTCCACACTCTGGCCAACTTCTGTGGCAATGCCGTAGATACATCGATCCGAAGATCCCTAGACCAGTCACTCTCGAGACATTGCTTGATCCTATTGAGAGTAAAAACATCAGCCTCTTCGGCGGCCTATTTCTTCCGCTCGTGAAAGCCGGAATGGCTCTCCATCCCTCAGCGCCCCAGGCAGCGCTACTCAACGAAGCGCTCGTTGGCTTACCGCTCAAAATCATCCGGCATACCACCTATGTGATTGATCCATGCCAACGCGCTGTCCTCTACCGCGAAGACGAGCCTGATTTCGAATTCTACGACTGGATGTTCCCCGAGGACAAATGGTGCCATGCTATGCAGGCATTCTTACAGCTGGCTGATCGCTTTCGTCGCGAGCGGGACTTTTTCATGCCACTACCGGCCATCATCTACTTCATAAAGCAGGACAAGGAGTCTCTATTATCACGGGCGCGGGATTCGAATATGATTGCTATTGACCCCGAGCACCCAGACCCCAAGGATCCCACATGGAGAGCTTTCCGTCTGGCATTCAATGAGGTTGCCACGAAGCATGGCGGCATCCCGCATATCAACAAGACGCGCGATGGCGCCATACATCATTTTGCGAAGTGTCAGGACCAAGAGAGCGTTCGGAAGTATCTGCAGATCCGCAAGCAGATTGACCCCAAGGATACGTTCCTCAATGATTATTTCAAGACCCTATTTGCTGCCTACCTATAGGACGCATATTTCAATGATTTAGAGATAAGACTTTATGAAGTAAAATTCTTAGTATCCCAAGGTTCCAGGTTGTGGTAGTCTATCAACTCATCCGTACGAAACGTCCTCTCAGCGTTGATGAATGTGGCTGCGATTAGAGCATCGATTACAATACTCAGATACCTAAAGTCGACCCGTTTAATCCCTTGTGCTCCCTTCTCCGCCGGGCATTCAGATTTAAGACTCAGACTGCCGTCGGCATAGTCGAGCTTGGCTTGTCCAAGGTTAGTGCCAGAAGCTAAATAGCAACTGGAATGGATGACGCATTCGCATTAGTAAACAGGAAGTCAATACCTCTATGTAAATCTGGCTTAAGAATACGTAGATGGCTGTCAATTAACTTGGCTGCATGGTGGATTTATCTCATGTCAGAAGTCAACGAAAGCATGAGACGTACAGGTACCCTTAGTCTAACAGCTCTAGACACAGAACAAGTTCGGCAATGTTGAAATGATCGCCCCTTGCTCGCGTTCCTCTACTCTGGAGCCAAAGACAGCTTTGGTGGTTTCCACAAGCATTGAACAGATGATGGATGGGTGCAATAAGCTAGGAGCACAGGTGGATGTCAATACGAGGACATAACAATGATCATCTACTCGTAACGTCTGGGAACTGACGTAACTTTAGTGGCTAGCACATTTGACCGGACCTGCCTCACCTAACCTGCCGGCCGCTTGCTTACATGATGCGAGTTAGTACAGTATACATCATATGGTCCAGGGCTGAGATGAGATCAACTGTCGCTGAAGCCAAACAGAATGCAGGATTCTGGAATATTTCATACCACATCGACGATCTCTACTAAGCAGCTTCATATTCAAAGCGTTACTATTAGTCAGACTCTTTCCGAGCACACCCTCGTGGGCGGCGAAGCCCGCTGATCTCACCACAGGACTGTAGAAGTTCCAAATCGCTTATTTAAGTGCTCCAGCCCCAAGAACCTACTATTACCCGGCGGCCTTCCCACGCGACTATGCGCTTGTATGGTCTGATCCATTGATTGTTCATGCGAGAAACGCAGACGTATCGAAAATGGACGACCAGAAGAAGACGTTTCGGCCCTCGTTCTTTGAGCGCATCGCGATCTCGATCTTCCACCTCGTCAATAGGGTGGTACCATGGTTCAAGCTTCCAACATTTCTTGGAGCCATCAATCTCGCATTGCTGAGGATTGAGCTCCGGGGCTACAACCTACACGATGGTTACGCGTCCCCGTCTGAGCAAGGGTCGCCAGGGGATACTCCTATGAAAGATGAGCGTTTCCAGACAGCTCGAAACTCGGATGGCCAGTTCAACTCGCTGGAGCAACCGCGCATGGGATGCACAGGAAGGCGATTTGGTCGCAACTTTCCCCGAGAGCACTGCCAGAAACCAACTGAAGAGAAACTGTGGTCCCCGAACCCGCGACTTATCAGCGAAAAATTCATGGCACGCAAAGAGGGCGGCTTCATCCCAGCGACAACACTTAATTTGCTCGCGGCTGCTTGGATTCAGTTCCAGACGCACGACTGGTTCAACCACGAGCTCGACCTTGTAAGTCAACATCGCAATATGACAGCACGAGGGAAAGCCTTGCACTAATATTTCGTGTAGGAGAATGAGCCTCACGATATCCCACTCCCTCCTGGCCACTCATGGCAAGGAAAGATGGCGCTACCAAAGACTAAGCCAGATGAGATCCTGGACCCATCGGATTTGAAGTGTCCTGGCTACAAGAACATCAACACGGCGTGGTGGGACGGGTCACAGATCTACGGATCTACCGAGGAGGCAACACGTGCGCTCCGAACATCACGGCCCGACGGCAAGTTGGAGCTCGCGGAGAACCGCACCGGGGCTTTCATACCAAGGGACAAAGATGGCAATCCACGCACTGGATTCAACGACAACTGGTGGGTTGGCATGGAAATGCTGCATACCCTTTTCGCCCTCGAGCACAATGCCTTGTGTGATATGTTCCAAAAGACATACCCTGACTGGACTGGGTACGTGAAGACCCCATATTGGAAACTTCTGTGGCTAACAATCTCTATACATTAGAGATCAAATATTTGACAAGGCTCGGCTGGTTAATAGTGCGTTGATGGCGAAGATTCACACAGTAGAATGGACGCCTGCTATTCTTGCACACCCGATCCTAGAACTTGGCATGGATGCAAATTGGTGGGGCCTTGCGGGAGAGAAACTTACCAAGATGGTGGGACGAATTTCCAAAAACAGTGAGATCATTTCTGGAATTCCAGGTTCTGGTGTGGATCACGATGGAATCCCGTTCAGCCTCACTGAAGAGTTCGTCTCGGTATACAGGATGCACTCCTTGCTACCAGGTAGGCATCGTCCCCATTTCTGATCTGCATTCCATTGACTGATAGGGATTAGACAACATTGCATTCTTCGAAGCCAAACATGGAAAGCATGAGACCACAACGCCCCTCGCAGACCTGACTTTCAAGAACGCGCAGAAGCCGCTTGAATCAGGCATCTCGTTCGCAGATCTCTTTTACTCCTTCGGGATCAACTATCCGGGAGCGATCACAAATAACAACTATCCTAACTTTCTTCGCGACCTCCACACTCCTGATGGCCTCCACAGGGATATGGGAACTGTAGATATTGTGCGTGATCGTGAGCGTGGTGTCCCACGATACTGTGCCTTCCGCCGCATGCTACGCCTGAGTGTGCCAAAGACCTTTGAGGAGCTCACAGGTGGCAACAAGGAGCTCGCCGAACAGCTTTCGGAGGTGTACAACGGAGACATCGAATTAGTTGATGCCTTGGTGGGATCCCACAGCGAGTCTGTGATCCCCGGGTTTGGTTTCAGCGAGACGGCATTCCGCATATTCATTGTCATGGCATCACGGCGTCTAAAGAGCGACCGATTCATCGCCGGACAGTGGAATGCAGAAATGTACACTGAAGAGGGTTTGCACTGGGTGCAACACACGACGATGAAGGATGTGTTGATTAGACACTTCCCAGAGCTGAAAGATACCCTAAAGAACAGCCAGAATGCGTTTGCACCCTGGGCGATGAAACCTGAGTCAAAGAATTACCAGGGTATCGAGACGAATGCCAAGAAACCTTAGGGATTCTTTTACCACTTGCTTTCATTTGTGTTGTCTGTCTATTGCCCAAGTATTTGGATTAAGCGGGTTGAGATTGGCTTATACTGTTAGAACTTAGTCTCGAGAAGAGTTAGAGTTACTTCATAAGGTTTTCAAACCGATCCCGGTTCTTCCGGGCTCCAACGGCAACTTAACAATACCACTTGTCTGTCCATGATAGCTTCTGAGCATAGCATTTCATTAGATTAGACGTTTAATTCTATATTTCGTTTCAGTGTACTGAGGAGTAGCCTAAACACCGTTTCGTTCCCGTGTCAGGTAGCGAGTCTAGGTGGTGTTCGGCTAACCTAATTACCTTCAAAGCTTGCTTCAACTTATCTATTAGAAGTAGTAGAAGTAGTAGCTAAATGGTAGTCTTATAACTAGAGATAATAGTCTTTAAGAGTGGCCTCAAAAACTGAAAATGTCTAACTATCATGGATGTAGCACCTGAGACAGCTTCTCAGCAGCATACTTTCCAAGCACCTGTATAGTTCCCATACCCAGCATCTCCAACACGCTGATATCCAAGCCCAGCGTCTGCTTCCACCAGAGCCTCATCTCGATAGCCACAAGGGAGTCCATGCCAATATCCGCCAAGCCAAGCTCGAGGTTCAGCTCGTCAGCGGGAATGAATAGCAAACTCAGCACCTTCAGCCCTATGGCACGAGCGAGGAAGTCGGCCGCTTCAGGGGTGCTCAGAGCATTTGGGTTCTCACGGGCTTGGGAAAGGAACCCCTTAATACCATCACCCGCGTCACCGGCGCCGGCGCCTGATCCACCATCCGATTCGTTACGATACACAGCGAATCGCGGGTCTCGACGCCAAGGGACGCGACAGTTGGGGTTGGTCAGGGGCAATAGGCTCCTGATACCCAGGGCAAAGGTACGGGGATCGGTCGAGCCAGCCCAAGACAGCGCACGCGGGGACGCAGGGGCAGTGGCCGCGGTCAGGGCATCCAAGATGTCAGTCTCCCGGAGCGCGTGGTACCCCGTCGCCTTCATCTGGTGAATAAGCTCAGCACTCTCAGAGACATATCCAACACCGAAGACGGCACCCAGATCTATGGTCGACGCCGCGAGACCGAGACCCGCACGGTACTGCACGAAGGAATCCAAGAAGCTGTTGGCGCTGCCGTAATTGGCCTGGCCCATGTTGCCAATGATGCCCGAGATGGAGCTGAACATGACGAAGACGTCGAGTTCCGCGCCGGCCTCGATCGCCTGGTTGTGGAGGTTCCAAGTTCCCTGGACCTTGGGACCGACAGCTGTGTGCCAGTCGTCCCAGGTCATGTTGGCCCAGGCCTGGTCACGGAGGAGCATTGTCATGTTGATGATGCCCTTGAGAGGAGCGTTGTCACCGGTCACCTTGATGGCCTGCGCAACGACACTTTCCTCCGTCACACTCCCGGCAACGAGCTTAACGGATGCTCCCATGGTCTCCAACTCGCGGGCGAAGGCGAGGTCCTCAGGCTTCCCAGCACTGCGGGAGAGGAACACAAGGTTGCGTGCGCCGTGTTCCACGAGCCAGATGGCGACCGCCCGTCCAATTCCACCGAGTCCCCCTACGAGAAGATAGGACGCAGCACGTTCAAAGACGGGTGTCCTCCTCCGGTCTGAGACAGCAGCATCTTCGTGGATAGTACCGTCAACATTCCGTAGCTCGATGGCAACCTTTTCAATCTGCTGCTCGCTCTTGTGGACGAGCTCGAACGCGTCTTGGATCTGAGTGGCGGGATAGACTGCAACGGGCCGAATCGGGAGGATTGCCCGTTCCTCAAACAATTCGAGGGCGGAGCGGAGAAGCCTGTTTATGTGTTAGTCGTTCCTCAGTGAAAAGGCACGGCCTTCGAAGAGATGAACAACACAACTTACCTTTGAATGATGGCAGGCTTCGTAGACTGCAGACGACTCCAATCAACGTGGTGGAAACTCCGGTTCTGCCTCGCAGCATCACCAATGTCGCTTCCAATGCTAATATGTCTGCCGAATTCTGCAACGGTATCCCAGCTCGCCTGGGCCAGTTCACCCGAGAGGGAGCTCAGCACCACATCGACTCCCTCTCCGCTCGTCTCACGTAGTATGCCAGCTCGGAAGGAGACATCCTTAGAAGAGAAGACCCTGTTCTGCGGAATATTCCAGGAGTTGTGTAGGTGCTCGATCTCTTCTTTGGAGCTGGCCGTGGCATAAATCTCTGCACCAGCGTGCCGTGCCACCTGGAGGGCCGCAAGTCCAACTGCGCCGGCTGCGTCATGAATCAGGATAGACTATGTGGCTACTGTAAGCTTAATTCGAACGGATAAAACCTTGGGAAGTGTTGTTTCCTCACCTGGCCGCGCTCCAACAGGCCGACGTGCCTTAGAGAGTAGATGGCAAGGCCATACGCCGAGGCGAGCGTAGCAGCATCATTGAAGCTGAGGTTATTCGGAATCCGGATGACTCGCTGAGCCGATTCCGTAACCGTTGTTGCAAGAGTCCCGTGACCCAGGAGAATCACCCTGTCGCCGGCCTGCAGATGCTGAACTTGGGGCCCGACTTGCCGAACGATTCCTGCAGCTTCCTGGCCGAGGAACGGGCTGTTTGTGTCGATGCTACCGGTAGCAATGCGCACATCCTAATACGGACTGTCAGTACGGTTTACTTTGGCTAAGGGGCAAAGGCAGATTTCTTACTCTTGAGTCTAGCGAAGAAGCGTACACGTCTACCTGAACCTCGTCTCCCGAGGGCTTCTTTGTCTCCCGGCGAGACCACTGCAGCTCTGCCTGGCGGCCAGAGCGGCTCGCAGACAGGGCAACAGCATCGTCCGCATCCGATGTGAGTAGCAGGTCAGTTAGAACAAAGGGGAAGAGTCGTCCAACCTTGACAACCCCTTCGTGAAGAGCATACTCCATCTCAGGATTGAGGACCTCGTCCTCTGCATCTCTGCTCTGAAAATGCGCAAGGATGTCCAGCAGCTTGGAGGTATTCTTGGTTGAGTCTGCATTGCCATCTCCGGAATAGACTACGCCAAAGTGCATACCTGTCTCGCTGCGGACGACGCGGGCCAGTCCGAGGATCTGAGCATACCGCGGATCCTTGGCTTGGATGGGTGAGGCTGGAGTAACCCAGAGCAGGCCAGACCCGTCGATTCGTTCCATGAAAGCCTTGAGTTTATCAAAATCGTCCTTCGTGATATCCGTGAGGAAGGGCCCCTCGGCATCGAGCAGTGAGATGACATCAATGCCCGGCTCAGGAACGTCCTTAAGCGTGGAGCGTGTGATGCTATATCCTCTCTCCTGCAGCCCCTGGACCACTGGACCGAGGTCGGACGAGGTATCTCTGGCTAGAAGCGTGACTTTCTTGAGCACAGGACTCTTCTTGGCAGGCTTGGCAATGAACAAGGCGTTCAGCTGTCCACCTTCTACGACCGGCTCTGGAACGTCGAAGCCGGCCGCTAGAAGCTCGTTCTGCCACCTCGCCGTGCTCGCGTAGGGCTCCTGCACGCGACTGTCATCCACGCCCTGCCACCATTCAGGCTGCAAACCACGTACGAAGTTGATCCACTTGCCACCGGAGCTGGGGTTGAGCTCTTGCAAGAGCAGGCGGCCATCGGGATGAAGCAGTTTCCGCACGTTCGTCAAGCTCTCCTGGATATTCTTTGTTGCGTGGATCACGTTAACAGCAATGATGAGATCATAGCCATCCTTATCGAAGCCCTGCTCCGCAAGATCCTTTCCGATGTGGAGAGTGGCATAATCGACATTCGAGTACGCCTCGAGCTTCTCTTTGGCCGAATCGAAGAGGCTTGCCGAGGAGTCAGAGAAGGTGTATTTGGAGTATTGAGAGCCGAGATGCTTGAGGATGTCCTGGGCGCTGGAGCCGGTCCCGGCGCCGAGATGTAAAACACGTAGGTTAGGTTTGGTGTGTGCTAGATGCCCCAGGAAGTTTGATATGTCGTACTGGTCCACGTAGGTCCGCAGCTGGGTTAAGATGTCATCTTCCTGCAGCACATCTGAGACCTCAAGTCGTCCATCGAAGATGTCCACAAGAGCCGTAGAGATTTTCGCCAAAGCTTGAGCGGCAAAGATGGCTGGGGTGTCTCGGAGGCTTTCCACCAGACCTTGGATCTTCTCACGAAGGTCTTGCTCGCCGGCGGTGGAAGAGCCTTGGTGTTGTTCAGCCTGCGACTGAAGCCATGCTTGATACAGCTTCAGATGCGGCACACTAGTCTCCTTGCTCGCAACCAGGCTGCGTGCGTAGAGCAAAGCGGCTTGGTATATGTCATCCAGGATCTTGGAGTGCGCTCCGTAATCAAATGAAGGCTTCAGAACATTCTTGGCAGGGAGGAAATCTACATGTGGCTTCCAGACATGCCGAGCCGCCGCATGGGTGTCAGCTGGTGCAGGCTCGTTGAGAAGAGCCAGCTTTGCACCAGACATGCGCATGACCACCTGGCCGCCTGCGACAGCTTCTGCGGTCCCCAACACGGAGCCTTTGCCGACAAATGCGGCAGAGACGTTGACAATGACATTAGAAGAAGTGCGGCGGATGATCAGTTCCTCGATGCTCGTGGCAAGCACCTGCTTTGACTTGCGCACGAGACCAAGCGAGGCACCGCAAGACAGAAGCTGCAGGGAAGCATCGACAATGGTTGGGTGCAGGTGGTAGTTGGACACGTCAACTTGCTTGTTGTTCTGGATCAGCGCAGAAGCGAGACCTGGCTTTGTCGTCGAAGTGCGGATCTGCTCTAACCCCTGGAAGTGAGGACCATAGTCGACGCCAGCCTCACGGATGGCAGTGTACCATTTCTCCGACGAGAGCGGTCGTGGCAGCTCAGCATCAACCGTTGTGACGCCGAGGTCTTCGACAAGGCTCGATACCTCGCCGGTGGCATGTTTGGTCCACGCGTGGCCGTTATGGGAAGTGATGCTGAACTCCCACCACTGACTGTCCGTGGTGCTGTCAAGACGCTTCCTCCGCAGAGTCGTAATGATCTCGGTGGGCTTTTCGTCCGAGACTACCATGGCTGTACGTACTAGGAACTTCCGGATCTGAAATCCGGTGTCGACGCCGCTGATCTGCCGGATTGCCTCGCCGGCGATGGCAATGTAGCAGGCAAAGGGGAACACCACATCATCCTGAACCTTGTGGTCGCGGACCCATTCAGCGTTGCTGAGAAGGAAGTTGTTGCGCCAGACGGGCTCCAGATCGCTGCTCTCTACCGTCTTGAGCCCGAGAAGATCGTGATGAGGGTACTTGGGAAACCGCCACTCCTTGGTCACCCGCGTCTCGTTCCAGTGACTGACAGAGTGGTTCCATTGGTAGCGTGGCAGGTCTCTGAGGGTGGAATTGTCCTCATCTGGGTAGAGAGACGCAAAGTTTACCGGATAGTTGAGAGCCCACAGCTTCCCAACAGCAGAGAGCAGTGTCTCTGTGCAGCTCTGGCCGCGCACCATGGCCGCGACATATGGAGCCGCCGTGCTCGATGATTCTGCGACGATTTGCCGAAGGGGCCCGGCAAGCGCTGAGTGAGGTCCGATCTCGAGGAAGGCCGTGTTCTTGCCAAGGACTGGGTGTTGCAAGATGTTTGAGACAGCACTTCGGAAACGCACCGGGGACTCGAGGTTCTGCTGCCAGTACCTGACACCGAGCTGCTCGTAGGCAGGAAGGAGCTTGCCATGCACACTAGAGAAGAAGGGCTTAGAGGGGGACTTTCCGAGGACCTTGTCACCGACCAGATCGACGTATTGCTCACCAATCTCAGCCATGTGGTGGGAATGATAGGCCTTGTCAACTTGTAAGAGTCTTGCCAGTGTGTCTGGCTTCTTCTCTTTGATATTCTCCACGACTAACTCCACCGCCTCTGCGTCTCCAGATAATGTGACACTGCGAGGGGAGTTGTCGCAGGCGACAGTGACGCCAGGGACAAGGAACTCGGTAGCCTCGTGCCAGCCAAGGCCGATGGCAGCCATGCGTCCCTTTCTCGTCTGCTTAGCAGCGCTGATGCCTCGGTAGTAGGCAACAGTAATGGCCTCCTGGGCCGTCAGAGCGCCTGACGCATAAGCTCCTGCAATCTCGCCACTGGAATGCCCGACTACAGCTTCAGCCTCGATTCCAACGGCCCCGAGGGCGTCCACAAGCGCGACTTGGATGGCTGTGCAGAGTGGCTGTGACAGCTCGGCTTCTCCAAGACGGCTGGTCTTGATTGGCTTGCGCAGTTCAGCTTCGATCGTCCATTCGGGGCTGGCAGCTCCCAGTCCCTTCAAGGTCTCATCTAACAACTTGATAGTTGCCTTGAAGACGGGATTGTTGCGGAGGAGGTCACGACCCATCTGCGGCCACTGAGCACCCTGTCCTGTGAAGACGAAGACGAGAGTTGGCCGCTGGGTGCTCTTTGTTGCCGGAGAGACTGTCCCCGGCTGTTCTTTGCTGGAGACGGCGAACGAGCGGTATGGGAGGTGTTCGCGTCGCTGAGCGAGGGTGTAAGCCAAATCGCCGATACGCTCCGAGTGCTTGTTTAGGTACTCGGTGTGAGATTTGACCACTCCTTCCAGCGAGTCGGGAGAGTTTGCCGAGTACAGGAGAAGTTGCGGTGTCTCTGGACCGTCGTCCACTTCCGTCTCAATGTTGTGTTGTGCGGCAGATTCAAGAATGATGTGAGCGTTTGTGCCTCCAATACCAAAGGAGTTGACACTGACTCTCTCGGCTCGATCATTTGGCCACGGGGTCGGGTCTAGGGGTAGTTGCAACTTGGCCGACTCCCAGGGGATGTTTGGGTTGGGCGAGGAGAACTTGATGTTTGGCGGGATGGTGCGGTTTTCAAGGGCAAGGACCGCCTTGAGTACTGAGTTGAGACCTGAAGCCCCCTCAGCGTGGCCCAAGTTGGGTTTGATAGAACCGATATAGATCCCACGATCACCGAAGACTCTGCCAACGGCCTTGGTCTCGACGGGGTCACCGACGGGTGTACCCGTGCCATGGCACTCAATGAAGGCCGTCTGGGAGAAGTCCTCAATCCCGGCAAGCTTGTATGTGTGTCTCATCAACGCCTCCTGGGCGTAGGTACTCGGGTAGGTGAACCCCGGCGTCTTGCCGTCGTTGTTCACCGCGCTGCCACTGATGACAGCTCGGATGGGGTTGCCGTCCTGAATCGCGTGTCGTAGGGACTTGACGTAGACAGCGTTGATAGCCTCACCTCGGGCATATCCGTTGCCGTCTGCTGAAAACGCCTTGCACGACCCGTCTGGTGAGAGAACGCCCATCTCCACCAGTTTCGTGGTAGCGGAGGGCGCCAAGATGAGGTTTGTGCCACCGACAATGGCTGACCTGCACTGACCTTGCGAGATAGCCAGGCAAGCTTCGTTGAGAGCTACCAGGGAGGCAGAGCATGCTGTTCTAATCGTCATACTGTTCACTGTTCTCAGCGTCTAAGCTTTCCATAGATCTTGTAGATTTTTCTTCATACCTGGGCCCTTGGAAGTCCATCTCATACGACACGCGATTGGAAAGGTTGAAATCAACATAACCAGTCAGACTGTAGGGAGAGTACTGCTGAGGATCTCTCTCCAGCATGTCCAACCAGTCCTCGCCGAAGTTTCCCATGAAGACACCAATCTTCTTCCCTCTCCAGTTCGTCTCACCTGCGTCTTCCAGAACTTCCCTGGCGACCTCAAGCATCTGCCGCTGTTGAGGGTCACAACGCTCCAGCTCCTTTGGCGACATGGTGAAGAAGGACGCATCGAGAGTGGTGAGGTCGTTGTCCAGGAAGTACCCATACGGACAATTCGTGGTCCCAGGCTTGCCATTGTCTGAGAGATACGCGTCGATGCTAAACCTTGACTCGGGCACGCGACTCTTTGCGTCGCCCTTGTTTAAGAGGAAGTCCCAGAGCTCTGCTGGGGAGTTGATTCCGCCGGGGAGACGGCAAGCCATGCCGCAGATGGCGATGGGCTCGTATGTCTTTTCAGCCGCCGACACTGAGCCTGCAGCGACGGGGTCGGAAGACTCGCCATTAGTGCCGTTATCTAAGGAGGTAAAACCGTCTGAAGAAGGTGGATGAGATGGGATACTCTCTGCGCCGCCTTCAGTATTGGGGAATGAGGAAAGACGGCCATCGTCTGAAGATGCAGCGTGGGGAGCCATCGTTCTCAAGAAGACACAGCTCGTTGAGGGACTATTCAAAGCAGGAAAGATGTTGGATGTTTGATTATCGTGGGAAGACGAGACATGGCCGGCATACGTGCTTTATGTACATGCCAACTATTCGCAGGTTCCTAGGAACCAGTCAAAGAAACCGATTTGACTTGTCAACTCACAGGCGTTTCTCTCCATCAGAAGACCATACATGATGGTGGGGCGTGAGACCAATAGACTCTGTGATCGCATCATTCGGCGTTTCCAGAGAAGACCCTGTGAGGCTCATTGCTATAGTCTGAGACCCTCGTCTACCAAACCCTACCACATGCGGCAGTATTGCGAAATCGCAGGTATTATTGCGAATCACAGACTGCATCACCTCAAATGGCCGAAAAGGAATTCGCAGAATGCCCCTCCTTCCGTATCAGTTGAACGCTGATCTCAGAGAACGGAACCCGTCGTGCATTGTCAGCATGCTCCTTCGTCTCACCTGCACCCGCTGACGGGCCGTATTCTGGCAGAGGCGTCAGGGGTCGTGTTCTGGCCGATGCTTCAGGGGTCTGCACGCTGGTACGAGGACTGATGCCTAGAATCTGGTAGACGGAACCCGTCTTGCATGATCTGGGCCTTTGTCCGTCGAAAAGGAGGGGTAACGTGAGGCACAAAAGCACACAACTTTTGGCTGAAAGCAACTCTTTCTACCTCGCGTATCGCGCCCCTCTCTCGTCTCACCTGGGCCTGTACGGAACCCGCCATGCATCCAGAAAAGACGCAGATGAGCACAAGTTAAGCGCCAGTAGATGCTTGCGTTGACATGATGGGCAAGTCGCCGCAAAAAGGACCTGTAGATAGTCAAGCCAATGATAGAAATGTAGAGATATAACATGGTGCATTGGGCCACGACTTGTATGACTTGAGCAAGATCAACAAGTTGCTTGCTTCAACCAAACCGGGTTTTATTCCATTACCTCCAACTGCCGTTTACAACCCTTCAATCTGCGAGACAGTCACTATGGCTTCCGCGGCTACTCTCGCGTCCTGGTACCCCGACGGGACAGCCAAAGCCAAACAACTGACAAACGCCAACATCTTCCAGCGCAACCTCGAGGCAGCGCTCGACCTCCGCCGCGCCGAGGGCGGCTTCTTCAAGATCCAGAAGGGCCTCCCCGCGCCCGACAGTGTTGACTTTAGCACGTTAGACGTGCTGTCCCTCACATCGAGCGGCACCATGCGCCACGCGTACCTGGAGGAGCTGGCCCGCCACCCGGAGTTCAAGCTCAACGACGGCAGCTCGCGGCTGATGAGTGACAGCTCCTACACGGATGCGGCGGAGCGCGAGATCGCCGAGTTTCATGGTGCCGAGACAGCGCTGATGCTCAAGTCGGGGTGGGACGCCAACGGCGCCATCATGACGGCGATTCCGCGGCCTGGGGATGCCATCGTGTACGATGAGCTGATCCACGCCAGTATACACGAGGGGATGAACCTGAGTCTTGCTGCCACCAAGGTCGCCTTCAAGCACAACGATGTCGACAGTTTCCGCGAGGTGCTGCTCAATATCCGCGAGACACAGCAGCTGATCCGCGAGGGCAAGCGCTGCGTCCTCGTCAGTGTCGAGTCCGTCTACAGCATGGACGGCGACGTCGTGCCACTCAAGGAGATGGTGCTGATCGGAAAGGAGATATTCCCCGAGGGCGTAGTACAGTTCATCATTGACGAGGCACACTCGACAGGTGTCATCGGTGAGGGCGGCAAGGGCCTCGTCAATGAGCTGGGGCTTGAGAAGGAGATCGCCGTGCGCATGCATACTTATGGCAAAGCACTCGCGACCAGTGGAGGAGGCAAGTTGGCCTCCCTGTCTCTTGCTGATCAGAGCTAACCACATCTACAGCTGCTGTCCTCTGCAGCTCCACAGTACGCGAGATGCTGGTCAACTACGGCCGTGTCATCATTTATTCCAATGCACCCCAATTCTCCATCATTGCTGCCATCCGAGCGGCCTACACGTTCATGAAGTCGGGGCAAATCGAACCTGTAAGCCCACCATGTCGGCCAAAGAAAGAACATATGTTCCTTGCTCATCCACGCATAACTGACAAAATCTCCTGCCTCACACAGCTACAAGCCCAGCTCCAAAGCCGCATCCGCTACTTTTACAAAGCCATCACCTCCCGTCCCATCTACGACGAGGCCAACGACGCTGGCATCCTCTCCATCCCCAACGCCGAGAACTGGGAAGCTGAGACGCTGTTAACGCACATCTCGTACATTCTAACCCGTCAGCGGTACACGCTATACCTCTACTTCCACCTACAGCTAGCCAAGTTCATCGTGCTGCCCATCAACTATCCCGTCGTGCCCAAGGGCAAGTCACGCGTGCGGATCGTGTTTCACGCCCGCCATACCGATACTCAGCTCGACGCCCTGGCTGATTCCATCTGCAACTTCGCAGAGGAGATGCTGGCTATCGAGGCGGCTGGAAAGAAGGCGAACAAGGTGCCTACTGCTGCGCGCCAGGTCTACGCGGCGAGACAGGGTACTGTGGCTGCTTGAGTCTTTCACACGCCATAGGTACCATCTCGTTGAACCCTTTCCACAGCCGCTTAGCTAGCTTTGCTCTTTTAAACCTTTCAATACACGCCTTCGTTTGCCTACTTTGTATCCGTGTGAAAAGATGAGATTCCACTTTTAGGGTGAAGAAAATGAGATTCTCTTGGCCTTTTTTAAGCCCTCCGCAGTATACTATCCGGCCTCAGGGGTAGCCACCAAAAGGTTTCCTATTGTCATCTTGATGACTCGACGCAATTCAAGACGTACGCTTGATTTCCAGAACGACGAGTGAGGAAGCGGATAGTTAGCTGGGCTACGATGTGCACGCGAACAGGGCAGAACTTGACAGAATTACATAAGTAGGAGGGTGAATTGTGATAGCATTAATCTTTAATCCAGTGCAAACAAATTAATAGAAGCTCCCGCTATGCAGATGCCTCTGGATCCGCCTGCCCTCCTCTACCTCGCTGGTTTCTGACAGCACGTGGGAACGAGCGAGGTAGTCAATTGTCCACAAATTTATAGAATTAGGTTTCCATGTTCTGTCTTCCCACCTCCTCCGTCTCAATAGACAGCTCCTTGACAAACAGAGAGGACAGGAAGCCGATACCGCTGAAGGCCGCCATCAAGTACCAGACCGCCCGGAAAGAGTCTGCGTAGGCAAGCCGGACACCATGCATTATATGCGGCTCCAGATCCACGTCTCGCAGATAGGGGATGAAGCCCACCGCCTCGGCCGAGTCTTCGAGGATGGAGATGGCAGCAGGAAGCTGGCCAACCTTGGCAATCGACCCAGCGAAGACGTTGCTGAAGATGGTCGATCCAATGGCCAGTCCAATGAGGGCGCCGAAAAGACGGAAAGAGACGAGAAGTCCGACCGAGAGGCCCTGGTCGTCTGGTTTAACACTTGCCTGGATGGCGACGGCGGGAACGACAAATTGGACACCGAGGCCGATCGCCGCTAGAACCTGGAAGCCGGCTGTCTCGGCCACCGTAGACTTTTCTCCCCACAGAGCATATAGTCCCGTGCCGACGGTCATGACAACCCAAGAGGCCCATAGGAGCCAGAGATAGCGTCGCAGGTGATCGATAGCAAAGCCCGAAATGAAGCTAAAGGCGATGAGGACGCAGCACATGGGTAAGATGGAGACAGCTGAGTCCAAGGGTGTTTGGAGAAAGACAGATTGGAAGAATAGGGGCAGGTAAAGCAAGGAAGGGTATAGAACCAGACCGTGGATGAAACCTCCGATGAGTGTAGCCAGGGAAGTGATGGAGGTCAGGAACCGGTAGGGGATGACGGGCTCGGATGGTCTCTTCTCGTATATGCCAAAGGCAACGAGAACGAGGACACCGATAACCAAGGGGACGATCGTCCGCCAAGAAGCCCATGAATACAATGCACCAGCCCAGCTCAGCGGCAAGGAGAAGATGGTGCATCCAGTGACGAACAGAGCCATACCCAGCCAATCGAGTCTAGCGAGACGTGAACCCAATGTCCCTTCGATGGGCTTCAGATGCATGAAGAAGAAAGCGCAGGCAGCACTGATGGCGACGAGCGGCAGGTTAATCCAGCCTATCCATCGCCAGTCGACGAACTCGCTGAAAAGAGCACCAATCACAGGGCCAAGGATAGACCCTGCGGCCATGGGGATAGCCAAGAGACCGAGCCAGAATGGGCGCTCCTTGAGCGTTGTGATGTCGCATATGATGATCTCGTTGAGCACGTCGAGGCCTCCGCCGCCAAGGCCCTGGATGACACGACCCAGAATGACGACGGCCATGCTCTGCGCAACGGCGAAGACGATCGAGCCGACGAAGAAGAACAGGAAGGCGCCGTAGAGCAGAGGCTTTCGGCCGATGACGTCGGAAGCGCTGGTGTAGAGAGGCTGGGTGATGACGACGGAAAGCATGAAGGACAGATTCGCCCAGAATGCCTCGAGCGTGGTGCCGTTGAGCTGGTTGGTCAGAACCTACGCATCATGTTAGTTGAGACTTGGAGTGGAATGTGGCAGACCACGCCAGAGTGTGAACGAACCGGGATGGCAACGGCCAGAGCTGTCGAGTCCAACGAGACGATCAAGACCATGATGACGAGCGACAGAAAGGCGAAGTAAAAGGCCGCGGGCTTCCGTTTGGACGTCGACTGTTCTTGGATGGATGCCGGGTCTGAGTCAACCTTCTCTGGAGGAGTCTTCTCTGCCACCACCGCGCCGGCTTCCGGGTCAAAGTCCACATCACGAATGCTTTTCGTATCGGGAGCAGTATCTACAGGTGTCCCCGACATGGTGATGGTTGGCGCCGCAGAAACAAATGTTAAACCAAAAGAATCCTACTCCCTAGATGATTTAGGTAAGAAATTTACATATAGTCAAGGCCAGTTACCATGGGGGCAGACAGATTTATCAGAGCGCGTCTGCGAATATGCATTATTAATCCAGGACGGCCGCGAGACTAGAAGTGCTGCATAGGGCCGTTATACATGGTTACATCCCAGCATCATTACCTCCCTCATCCAGGCATTTCTAGACAACTACCTACCCCAGGCCTTCGGGCAATTCGTAGAAAGCCGTAAGCCGGAAATCGCAAGGAAAGGATGATCGCACGCCATCTAACCCTTGCCGCTGACCGACCATTTAACTTGTCAATGCCTAACGTATTGTGGGAATTTCTCTGAATGAACGACCTGTCACATCATAACTCCAGGCCCCCAAGGACCTTTCAAAAGTGCATCCGGTCCGAAACGAGCGTGGTGTAAGACTTGGCTCAGCGTCCACTCACGAAGTGGAGGAGACACGGCAGCGGCCGCCGCCAACAGTGAACCTTATGTACTTTATTCTACGGGGTCTAGGCAAGGATGGTGCCGAATAGCCGATTTACAGGCTTGCTCTAGAGGGCTTGGCGTCTGTCAAAGGTCGAGGGCAAAGCACGCCTTCCCTCCCCTAGAACGGAGTATCTTCTGTTTCCCTGCACAACTCAGGTCACCCACTGAACCGCACATGCATCTGAACAGTCAGCCCTGCAAAGATTAAGAAAATTCGGCACACCGGAGGCGGAGCGGTTAAGCCGCCCGCTCAGCTGGCCCTGCCTCCCTGCACTGTACAGCTAAGAGGCCTCACAGTTGCTTGCCCCTTGTCTCTGCCGGCTCAATTCGACCCTAGGCAGGACAATATGAGAAGGATCCTCCTGAGGCCTATGCATATGTCTCATTGAGCGTTCACACGTCCAGTTGACCATTCTCTTCAATCGGCGTCTAATGGTACATGTGGCAGACTTTGGGTCTCAATAAGTAATGTTCTTGTTGAGTCTTAGTAGGGCTGTGTCTGTCATGAAAGCCGACGGATTGTATGCTTAGGAGGAAATTGATTTGTACAAGAGTACGGACTGCGTCCATACGCCCATAAAACATACTTCGTTTCCTGACCCCCCTGCCGGCTTTGCCGCCTCTGTTGTGCTCGCCCCCCGGGTGTTAGCACAAGAAGGATACGGAGTAGATACCTTGACTTCCTTGCCGAGTGGTGAGACGCCCAAAGTCTCCGGAGGAGCGTGAAGGCGTCATATGAATCAGTATTAAAAGCTCCAAGAACCACCCTAGAGGGCCAAGAATCGCGTGCACTCCGGATCGCACCATCCACTTATGGCTATGCAAGGCTACGCAGGTGAGTTTCGCAAGAAAACTTCTCCTTCAGCTCTCGATGAACTAATCGCGTTTATGTACATGTAGTATGTTACCGATGCAGGAGGCGCAAGATTCGATGCGGCAGAGAGCGCCCGCACTGCTTGAATTGTGTCAATGCCGGCTACGAGTGCGACTGGTCGGGGAAGGGGAAAAAGCCAAATCAGTCCTCGATGTTGTGAGTCGTCCCTTGGTAGCTCAAAGGCAAGGCACCAATTCTACACACGAGTAGCTAACCAAGCATCAATCTTAACAACCAGGCTGAATGCTGTATCAGATCTCAGTCGCCGCCTCGAAAAATTATAAGACATTACTTCAGATATGTTCAACGTGTTGGCGAGGCTCAGCGCTGCCTACCCACCAGACTTTGAAGCCTCAAACTCGAACACCCCGCCTCAGCAGGCCGTAACACAGCAGAAAGGTGCCACTGGAGTTTCACTCATTCGACTCTTCCCAGAGCAGCTGCTGACTTATCATTAGCAATACTACACCAGACAGAGCGAGATGAGCATCAAGGTATATGCTCAGAGGAAGATCTTTCTCTGGTGTGCAACTTCAACGCAGATGAGCAGCTCCAATACTTCAGAGCAAGGATAGGAGAGCAGCATGGCCTTGGTTCCAGGTTTGGCTCGCTCTATCCAACCGAGAATACGTTCAACCCAACATGCCAGACCAGAAAAGAGTATCCCGATTTCTCGTCTTCTCACTCATCCATCACGGATCCAACCCCTACACCTTTGCCATCGGCCCTGCCTACGGTGACCCAGCGGCCTCCACCTTCCTCCGCACATGGGTCCGTGGACGAGTTCGGCCAGACCCTGCCAGGGAGCTATTATCTCCCCGCTGATTTTTGCCCAAGTTTACCAGACTCCAGATGAATATAATAAATTTTCTACATCTAGCCTAGCTTCGTCTCACTTGGTGTATTGTAAGAATTTAGTTTACCGCTACCGTTACATATAGTTATTATGCCAGAACTTGATCGATCGGTCCCGTGAGAGCGCTGAGGACTTTGGCCCTGGGGCCCTGGAGACTCCCATTGTGATGAGTGGGTTTTCGGGGATCTCTTACTCATGCGCTGTCACAGTACTTTTGGTGTGGTGTAGATCTCATGTAACCAAAAACTCCGGGTTTCTTCCTTGGCAGTAGGGGTCTCACAGGGTTCCCTGACTTGTAAGATGCACTTGGCTTGAGGATTAGGACCAAAACACCCTGACTAAGCGGGAAGCAGCATGACTATCAGTGAGAGTTTCATGAAATATTGTATTTCTTCTACCAGAATTGCATAGCTCGGGATGCCTGCTGTTACTTAGGTCTTAATTTACTGTCA